GTTTGAACGCCTAAAGATGTAAACATCCCAATGAAACGTTCAGGAGAGATATTACATTTGACAAGCGAACAGTAAGAATTCACCAAGTGCAAAAGTACATGTTTATTTTACTATACAAAATTAGCTACTGTAATCGGTTTAAGTAATAACTTCAAACAATCTTAACTTTCATTTGTCTCTTAGTATAAAGCAAGACACGTTGGCATAATTAGAAAGTCTGTTGACATACTTCTTTTACAACATGTTGTGTAATAATTACTCAAAGAAAATTCATAATATTTTCTCACTTTGATTTGTCACTAAGTTGTCATTCGTACTAGCATAGAAAGATATAGTCATCAAGACAAATCCATTATCATGTGAAGAAAGTATAGATAGAAAAAAGATATACTAACATTTTGATACTCAGGAATTAACACCAGAGAAGAATCGAAAGCATCTACTCCATCAAGATTCATTTTGAGCTACTTCACCCAAAGACTCTAATCATTGGTTATGATAATCTTGCAGACTTCAGTCAAATTGTCTGAGCCTATCTACATAACTCACTCTAATTGTCTTCACTGCTAGTAATACTGTCTCTTTTTTCTTCTTCTAAAATTATTACAACTTACTTCTACACCAGAAAGCATTACCTTTCGAGATAGGCGGTGGCTCAGTATACCTAATACATCTTCGACCCATTTCAAATAAATCAGATTCATTACCTCATTAATCGATTTTCCACATTTGCCTAACACTCTATGTTCAACATCACCATTTCTCGCTTAGATATCCCGAAATTTATGAGTTATGTTTCGAAAGATACCTATGATTAAATACTAGTAAAACAAGAATTCACTCCATTCATAGTGTTCATGCTCAGTAACCATAAAATCAAACAGAAGGAACTGATGCATCATAAACTCGTCCTTTGTTTGATAGAGGGACATCTCGTCTATACCATGATGTGAGACAAATTGACAAAAGTCGAACAAGTTTTCTGTATCGGTGACAAAATCTAACTGGTGGAACTGGTAGACATACGTAAAAGTGATAGGAAGTGGTTGTACGTTGATTTTTCAAATTCATAACATATTAAATCAGTTGCTTCTAATTTAGATTACATTTATTTATAATAATGATACATCAAGTGACACTATAAGTTTCTTATTTATACTCAAGGTCTCCATTATATTGACGAATTTATTAACACCATCTTCTCATTATATTTCTTCACGTTATAGTGATGACATTTCACGAACTGTGCTAACCACTCACTGTTGTCTAGCGATCTTAATTTAACCTGTTTTAATATGATGTTTAGAGCCTAAAAAATGTCTTAAAGTAAGATATATTTGTTGGATTCTGAAATATACGCTTTTCTGGCCATGTTCAAAGTTACCAAACACAGCTAGACAAAAGGAATTATGATGAAAAATATCTTCTCAGGAAGCTGTATAACTTTTACTTACAAAGAACTATGTGAATATATATATAATATATATACACATGTATATATATATATATATATATATATATATATATATATATATATATATATGGGCACTATTTCAGAGCTTTAAAAAAGATTCTATCGTTTGATTAGATATACATTGACTTTCATTCATGATAAGACTTCACATTCTCTATATCTTTAATAATGTGATCATGTTTTTTATTAATCAATTTAACTGACTGAAACATCCAAAACTGAATAGTTCAAAGTTCATGACTCATCAATTAATCATAGTCAAGCTTTCTTTCTGATAAATTCTCATCAAAGATTATTGGTTGAAATAATGATCGCTATGTTTTGGATGACTACAATTTCGTATAGAGAATGTAAGTTTTTAAGTTAACAAAATACTCTTCACAATGACATTGTTAAAAAGCGTTGTATGCAATTAAAGCTCAAAGCAATTTGTAGGTCATACTGCAAATCAATATTTTTAGTAAAAATCAATAACCACAGTACAATGTCATTAAAAATTTTAAGTTTAAAAGGACATTATGTAATCTATGAAATATAGTATTTCAACAAGTTTTTTAAATTTTTAACAGGGTTTTTTAAAAACTTTTATAATCCTTAAAATTTCAGAAATGAAAAGAGAAAAACAATTTGATTTCAAATGAAAAAGCAAAAAGCCCCATTAAAAATGGTTATTGAAGATAGATACAATGTTAAAGATGCTGCATTTCTTGTGGTGACGTGAATTACCAGGCCGCTGCAAATGTTATGAGGTTATATATTAAAAATGAATCAAAAGTTGAAAAGAAAATGCAAAGATTCATCACTCCAATATTACCAAAGATTTTTTGATGAAAAGGGAGTAAATGTTATGTTTTTTAGTTCCCTTATAGCTATATGCTTAATCCAAATGAATTTGCATTTTCAAAAAATTAAATCCACTGTATAAGAAGATCAATGGCAAGTGGATTTAATGATTCATTTACAAATCTTATACATATATTAAATTCTGTAAATCAATTAACCACAAATGATTTATACAAAGTTATTCGAGACATATACGTCACAATTGTTTAAAAGTGATTGCTAAAGAACGCTGACAAAATTTTTAAAAAATTTTTGGTTATTTTAAAAAACCCTGTTAACAATTAAGAAAAAAGAGTTGAAATACTATATTATTGAAAAAATAGTACTCTGTTTACTTACTCTCGTTCTTTATACTGTCAGAAGTATTAACTGTTTCATGAATAACCAGCGGACATCTCTATCTGTGCTCAGATTGGTCATCTAAACAGTTGCAGAGAGATGGAATGCTTTTATGATGCAAACTGCCAAGAATATAATGTAGTAAGCTATTAAAACGTTTACAACATGTTTCCTAGGGCCGATTGCATTCTTCATTACTGCCATTAATCAACAATTAAATCTGGGGTAGTATCAATTATAAATAATCAGTCTACATGACAGACTAACCTTAATCATTGGAAGCAACTCATTTTGCAGGTACTCTAGACCACATCACTTAGTTCGACAATCAGAAATTTTACAACTTAACCATTTAGGTCGTAAACGAATCCCGTTAATATTGGACAATTTTTAGCAATTGTTCCATAGGTAATAATTATTGAGATTAAAATTTGACTGAATGATATATTGTTTATCTAGTTCTTTAGTGATTATCAGATTTTGTTGATCAAGTTACACTGTGTTAAAATCCGTGCAGTGTATTCATAAATATGCTAGTAAAAGTAGTGGAGAGATAAACATAAACTAAAGTTTCATGGCGAAATGTCACCGAAATTCTTTAATTCAAGTGGTGTCCGTCAGGGATGTCCACTCTCTCCATTCGTGTTTAATTTTATCATAGACATGCTCCTATAAATAACCTTATCCTCGTCTGAATTTTCAGGAGTAGACCTTTTACTAGGAGGCTCGCTTATCGAATTAGAATATGCCGATGACATAGTTCTATTCGGTGAAGACGCTGACAAAATGCAGAGTCTTCTGACTACCATAAGCAACAATGCAAGCATGTTCGGGATGCGGTTTTCCCCCTCGAAATGCAAAATGCTGCTTAAAGATTTGGTTGCATCGGCACCTGAACTAGTGATAGGGAGTGAAGTAGTCGAACGTGTAGACCGCTTCAATTATCTGAGAAATCTCATCAGTGCTGATGGTCTGGTGTGTGACGAAATCTCAGCTCGGATACAGAAGGCTCGATTGGCTTTTGCCAACCTGTGTCACTTATGGCGTAGGCGAGATATCCGTTTGCTGACTAAAGGACGAGTGTACTGTGCAGCAGTTCGCTACGTCCTACTTTATGGCTGTGAAACATGGCCAGTGAGAGTAGAAGATATTCGTAGGTTACTGGTTTTCGATCATATGTGTCTTCGAAGCATTGCTCGTATATCGTGGGACACCCGAGTTAGCAATGCTATCGTTAGGAAACGAGTTTAAGGTAAGGATGGCAAATCAATAGATGAAATATTGAAACTTCATCAGTTGAGGTGGTTGGGACATGTGTTACGTATGCCTAACCACCGACTTCCTTGTCGAGCTATGTTTCGCGATGTAGGTGTAGGTTGGAAGAAAGTTAGGGGCGGCCAGATCAAAACATGGCACAAATCCATGAAGTCATTGACGAGTGGACTGAGTCATGTCGGTAGTTGTCGACTACCTGGTTGGGGTCCGCGAGATGTTAGTAATTGATGGTTAGAGACCCTGAGTGACATGGCTCGAAACCGTTTGCAATGGCGCAGGTGCATTTTTTTGTGTTCTCTCAAATTATAATCTTCTAGATTCTTCAACAAATCTAGTTTTGACTTTCTAAACTTTTCTCACTGAATCATACTTCTCGAATAATATCTTCTGATCCTAACCTCTTCGATTACTTCTAATACCTTTACTACCTCTACCACTATTGGATTCGCATTGACAATTACATCTGTGTTAATGTGGTATGGCAACATGAAGTGATGTACTTACGTACAAAGTTCTACGTTGCATCTGACTGACTGACTGAAAGTTTCATTCTGTTTGATACTTGTCCACAAGATGTACTTAAATCCCTCAGCGAATATCATTTACCTGAAGTTTACAGTTACTCCTGACTGACAAGTGCTTAATAGCAAGAAACTTAGGCTCAGAATTTTGTATGGACTACTTTAAACCACCTAATAAATCAGAATTTCTGTCTAGTTGTATAAAATCTAAAACAATTTATTCATCGTTTCATAAAATATGCAAAACTAAACGAAATTATTAATGACTTTGAAAACGTTCAATATAAGACTGAAATAAACAAACGTGTATTAGCTTATACTATCTATTAAATGTTGATCACAAGAACACCAATAATAATAATAATAGTAATATGTTTTATTATATATGACACATTAACAAATCTATGTTAGTAAAACGATCTCTAGGTCAGTGAATCTTTATCCAATACTATAACGGAATATGATAAATTATTGATTATTGATTATCAAATTCTCATGGCTATTTAGTGTTATTTATGTACATATTTTTTATCTTTAATTACTCTTAAGCATTTAAAAATTAAAAACACTGTGTTGTAATGATAATACGAAGAAAACTTATTTTTCTATCACTTATAGTCATTTGTATTGGCTATATAATCCAGTGTTTTTTCAATAATTCCAATGATCCATGTATTTATCAAGTGAATCCATCGATAGAATTCAATGATCAATTGATTGTAAATAAACAATATGGACAATTGGAAAAAATCAAGTTGATCAATTATACTGGTCCTGAAAGTTTAATTTATCATGATGGTAAGTTGTGTAGTTTTCTAATAATAAATCATTCTATAGGTTCATTGTTTACCACAGTAATTCAAGGGAAAATATTGCGAATAAATGATTCTGGAATTTATACTCATGCAACAATTGGTTCGCCAAATTGCAGTAATACATATATTTTTTGTTTTAAACTTGTTAACCAAACTACATCTTATTCATAGATGGCATACATGAATGTGGTCGACCGTTAGGTTTAAAATTGTTTAATAATTCAGAGAATTTCTTAGTGACTGATGCTTATTTAGGTGTATTATCGGTCTCTGTAAAAGATGGTGAGTTTTTTTCAAAATATCTACAATCATAAATATATTGCTTCTTGTAGGTAGTGTAAAAAAATTATTCCCTTTGGATGAAAATTTCAAAGTTACATTTTTTGATGATTCTGTTATTTTACCAAATGGTAGTCTTGTCATTACAGAAGCTAGTACAAAATACGCTCTACATCATTTATGGTCAACCCTTTTAGAAGGACTACCTAGTGGAAGGTAATGATAAATTTTATTGGTAGCTTATATATATATATATATATATATATATATATATATATACTTTAATGTTGTAATGCGTCCCCAATGTTAACTAGATTTAAGATGATACTTTTTTTCTACGAATTTTGTCCTAAAATAAAAAAAACACTGAATATCAGTTTATGAAAGCTAATTGATCGAAAGTTATTTATCCAAGTAATATACTTGATGCTAGACGTCAAAAAAAATGTCAGGAAAATCTCAATACGACCGATCTTTTCAGAAAGACAATCTTCCAAGCGAACAGTTGCAAACATTCTTGCATAATAATATTATATCTGAATGCTGGGTTTCGTATAATTCACATTTGGTTGATTTTGCTAAAAATACAGATATAGTAATGATAAGTGCCAGATAATAGAAATTTTCAATCTAAAACTTTTCGTTGATCACCTGTCACCACTTAACATTAAACAAAATATGCAATAATCTCAATTTATTTAGTCTAGTCGGAACACTTTACTATTTAATCAATAGACTTGATTATTACTGATGACTAGATAATACAATACTATTTATTAGTGTATTGTAATTGAAAGTTAGTGCTTACTATGGAATTTCGCAGTAAAAAAAATGTGTTACACAGAAACATGTATCCTTTCAATGTTCAATGTTAATTTTCCTGACAAACTAAAGAACAATTAAATAATGTTTATTGAATGAATACTATTTTTTAAAAAACTGAAGACAAAATATACACAGATGTTTTACTATTGACTTATAAAAGTATTTGTATAGCTTTTTTTCAACCGTATGTCAGATGGATACTACTTTTCTAAATGTTTAGAATTAACTCTGTTAGATAAGATTGTTAAATAACAACCGAATAAGTTAATCTAGACACAAAAAAAACATTATCCTAATGGCAGTCAGAAACCAGAACGTTGTGTATAGATATCTGACTATCCTCTGTAAATTCTGTACAGGTAATAATTGTAGAATCGTGATATTCCAGAAAATGCATCAAAAATGATCGAAAATCGAGCTAAACACATACTTGGACAGGACTCTGGATTTCGATCATTTCTCAGACTGTAAGAATTTCAATTCATAAGACATACTTTAAATCAATTTTGAACATGGTTTAGAATCATTATTTTAATCCTAGCATATGAATTCTTAATGAAATGGATTCTTTTCTAAAAATATTTTTCTAGATTAACAATGGTCGACACAAAAACTAATCAATACAGTCACATAATAGATGGTTTACGCTTTCCCAATGGAATTGAACTTCATAGCGATGGCAAATCCATGTTACTTGTTGAAACATTGAAACTTCGTGTATTACGAATTTCATTAGATAAAGGTGAAGTTACTGTGTTCAGTGATGGCTTACCCGGTTATCCGGACAATATCAAAGCTAGTCCACGTGGTGGTTATTGGGTCCCTGTATCGAATCTTCGCGATGAACCTCTATCTGTATTTTTATTAAAATATCTACCAGTTTATCCTCGTATTCGTTGGTTAGCTTCTAAAGTATGGTTATTAATCTGCATGTTATTTTGAAGTCAATATTTTCTTATTTTGTGGTTACTTCATTTTTAAATAATCTGGCAGGCAGTTAATAAGCTTAGAACAATGTGTGAACAATTTTAAATTTAAATAACTAACTATTGTCATGATCATACAATGTAAATGAGCAAGATTGTTTCACTACTGAGATGTCTGACCTCGACCAGTCACAAATTCCTAATAAGACTTGAAAGACTAGTTTTTAAGAAAATTAACAGTGATTAAACAATTCTATATCAGTTGCTTTACAGGATCGTGAGTGCAAACATTGAGGGTTTCCATACAGGAATAGAGAAACTAAACAATGTTCTCTGGTTTCCACTGATACCTCAGCTAATGTAAATCTACAGCTGAAACATTACAAATTAAACTAAACTTCACAATCCTTTCTCCAGAATTATGATAAGGACAGAACAGAGAATCTAGCGACAAAGACTTAACTTTATACATTTTTTCGTTAAAATTGAACAACAATTACTTTATTTCACTACTTCTTTTCCTTCTTTCTTATAATAGATTATTTCCATGCTTCCATTCACACTTGTACCTAAAGGAAAATCATCAATGTTAATTCGTTTAGATGAAAATGGAAAAATAGTGGAAATTTGGAAAGATTTTCACAATGAATTGCCAAATGCTTGTGAAGTATTAGAATGTAATGATACTTTATATACTGGAAGCTTTTACTTACCTTATATTGGTCGTTTAAAAAGATTACCAAGTGAGATTTCGTAAAATTGGGAAATCATCAATTCAAAAGATGAATACTATGTAACTCGGTCAATATAATTATTGAATTAATTGATTTAATGTCCATCTTAGCAGGTACTTTCTACACTTTTATTCGACTAAACTTTTCCTTTCAAAGAAAAGTAAATTAATGTATCTATTTATGTTGTTTTCTTATTTATCTCTTTTGTGAGTAGTTTAACTTAACTATTTTTTAATAAATAATTATTCTGCACAAAACTTTAACTGTATGAATGGTTAATCTGTAATACATGTGACACACGATAACAATAAAACCATTTTTATTTATTTAATTGGTCAAGATTTTTTCAATTATTTGTTTATATCAGTTAGTCAAAATTGTTGATTAATATCATAATGTATGCTCTATGATTCATAATAAAAAGTTTAAAGAAATATCTAGATATGAATTTTACCGACTTTCTTTGTCAGTAGTGAAGAAGTAGGCAAACAAGTTTATATATGCACATATAACCATTTAGATTTCACTCCACTCCGCCTGGATCCTCTGTAGAGCTATTGTTTGTCTTAAGCCCATATAAAGGAAGGAGTGTCGAGCGTGAGGTTAGCTACCTATTCCGTATAAAACTAACTAGTTTGAAAGACACTAACCAGACTAGCTTCTGGAGAGCTGCTATTATACTCCAGCCATGAAAAAGAAAATGCCTCACACACATATGAAGAGTTGCACGGATGCTGTCAAAACAAGCACAAAAAGCACTGATAGATTGGGAATCTTATGGACTCTGGATCATCAACGCATCCTTCAAAATGAAGAAAGAGGGCATTGCAATGAACGTTATCGAATCCTAAGGACCTACCAACGATTACAATGATGACGTTAGAGATCAATTCTACGAAAGGCTGCAGTTGACTATTGATACATGGCCAACAAAGGATGACGTGAGAACCAAGAGAGGAGCTGATATAGCCTCAGATTATCATTTGATTGTCTGAAACTGAAGAAGCACTGAACAACAGGATAGACAGCATCACTAAAGTTCGATACGGCCTTTCTTTGGTATACAAACAAACTCAACGAGTCCAAGATAGCCCTCAGCGATAGGTACCACGCATTTCGTAATCTACTCAATGAAGAAGAAACTACGTTGGAGAACAACTGAAAAGGGATCAAGCAAGTAATCAGTTCGATATATTATGAAGTGGATCTCTGTTAATACTGTGGATAAAACTCAAGAAAGACGGAACACGAAGGCAGTGATCAGAATGAACCAAACAAGGACAAAGAAATCCAAAGAACAAGCTGAATACACAGAAGTAAAGAAGCAAGTAAAGAAGAGAATCGAAACTGACAAACTTAAATGTAAGGATTGTCTATCAAAGACTGCGGAAAAAGCTGCAACAGGGGGAAGTATGCGATAGCTTTATGATACAGCGAAGAATCTAGCTGGGAATGAGCGATCAGTGAGGAACAAGTAAGGCGAAACAATCACTGACATTGAGGAAATAGGTGGGTGGAGGACTATGAAGAACTCTTGAGTAGACGATCTCCACTGAATCCACCTAAAATCGAAACCGGACCTAAATTCCACCCATTGATGTTGATCCATCAGTACTTGAAAAGATCAGCATGGCCATCAGACAAATCAAGAGTGAGAAAGCATCAGGACCAGATAACATTTCAGCTGAATCACTGAAAGAAGACATAACAGTAACTGTGAAGATGTTCCACTCTTTGTTCATCAAGATTATAGATGAAGAATAAGTAGTAAAAGAATGGAAAGAAGGACACTTGACTAAGATACCAAAGAAAGGAGATCTCAGCTGGCGTGAAAACTAAAGAAGCTTCACTCTTTTCTCACCACTGAAAACAGACTTCAACAGAGTTTTGTTTAACCGAATGAATGTTCCGATCGACGCTCAACCTGGATATCAGGATATTGGATTCCGTAAGGATCGATCGTGCACGGACGAAATCGATACACAGTGAACCAATCTTATGTAGCTGACCTGCATACATCAACTTCATTGACTACGAGAGGCAATTCTAGAGATCGGACTGGCAAATAAAGGACTGTATTTTTATAACTGAACAGCATCTGCAACTCATAACAACTGTCAACAAACACCAAAGTCAGTACTTTCAATACAAATGCCAAGACAATTCTGCTGAATGAGACGGAAACTTGGAGAACTAAGAAAGTCGACATCGAGAAGATAGAAGTATTCATTACACAGAATACTTCTGATCTGTTGGCCAAACACCACCAGCAACAACCTACTATGGAAGAGAACATTCAGATTCCAGCCAAGGAGAAAATCAGTAAGAAGCGGTGGAATTGGATAGGGCACATGTTGAGGAAAGCACTCAACCGCGTCACAAGATAGTTCCTCACTTGGAACCCTCCGGGTCAAAGGAAAAGCGGAAGGTCCGGGAACACATCACTCCGAGAACAGAGACAGAAGTGATGACACTAAACAACAACTGGACTGAACTAGAAAGGAGGTCCCATGACAGATTAGGTTGGGGAATGCTGGTCAATGGCCTATGCTCCACTGAGGGTAACAGGCTTTAGTGAAGTATGTTTAGTTCCCAATTTCGGAAGGTAGCTTACTGGAAGGTAGGGCCGCCTTTGAAAAATAGCACTCGCATAAATACTGCGCAATCCTCGATATGTTCAATACCTCAGCAAAATTATGCCACCTTTTTAAAGGCCAGAACGTCTCAAAAGGGTAACACTAGACTTGGCACAACTTGCCGAAGATATCCTCCTCTCACCCCAGACACCATTGGTACATGCCACATGGTCACAAGAATGGCGGAGGCTGATAGCAGATGATCAGTGGCAAACAGTGAAAGATATCATCCAGAATGCTGCCGTAGACAATGTACCTCAGTCAGACTACACACCCGGGAATAGAAGAACGTGGGTTGGGCGCGAACCTACAAACCAGGGTTGGTGTTCTCTCCAAGGTTCGAAGGGGAAGTCCTCACCAACCTAGAGTTAGCTGGGATCTTCAACACAAACTTCATCGATCAGTTGAACCAAGCCTCCACATGTTCAGAGTACTACGCAAACTCGTTGTCAGCTGACGGCTTGGGGAATATCTGTATTACTCCCGACTTGGTGCTAAGGAAACTAAAATCCCTACGCCCACGAAAGCCATCAGGTTATGACAATATTCGTCCCAAGGTCTTGAAACAGTGTGCAAAAGCCCTCTGTTCACCGATATGTGACCTGTTCAGCAATTCACTGGATTCGCACCAACTTCCAACTGAATGGAAACAAGCTACTCTCTCTCTCTCCAATTTTCAAAGGAGGAGAAAGGAAGGACAAAACTTGCTAAAAACCAGTAGCATTCCTACCAATACTATCAAAGGTAATGTAAGGGCTGGTAAATGAACAAATGGAGAATAAGAATAAAATACTCCATGAAGCTCAACACGAGTTATGGAAATGCGGGTAGTGCGCATCCAATCTTCTCATATTATGGGACAGTTGAACATCCTTCGTGGACCGAAAAATACCGACATTTCAAAAGCTTTCAAAAAATTATCCCACGGCACGCCTAGATGCAAAAGTTGCGGAAATGGGCTTCACTGACCCACTCCTATTTTGGCTCAGAAACTAACTTGATAGTAGAAAGTTTCGTATCAAGGTAAATAAAGAGCACGTGAGTTGGCGAGTCTCAATATCCGGACTTTCACAGTAGACAATCTTAGGTTGACTTCCTTTCCTGATATATACTAACAACCTGTAAGGCTTAGTTACCTCGCCGTGACTGATCTCCGCAGACGATGCGAAGATCTAGGGGTCCACTAGAAGCGAAGAGGATTAGACTGATATTCAAAAGGACCTTACATCCATTGAAGAATGAGCAGGGATAAACGGTTTAAAACTAAACCACCCGAAGTGTCACGTCGTATATATTCTGACGCTAACGACTTATACCCTTAGTGGAAGTTCGCTCCCTGTGTATCCTCAGAGCACGATCTCGGTTTAATAAGCACAGAAAGCCTCCACATATGGCGGACGCGGCCAAGGTGAATGCGACTCTACACTTTATATGGAGACAACTTGGTGCTATCACCTCAGAAATTTTCTTCACCTTATTCAAGACACACGCGCGCCAACACCTGGAGGTTCGCAACGTCGTGGTTGTGTTTCGTTCTCTGAGCTCAGAGAACGAAGCATCACCACAATCATCCACCTGAGCTACAAGTTTTCTCCACCGTTCGCAACGTCGTCGCACTCCCTCTCCTTAAAAGAGACATAAATCATCAACGAAATGGATGATAGGGTTGAAGGACAGACCTTACGATGATAAACTCCAGAATCTAGGATCATTCTCTCTGAGTAGCGAAAGGATCGGTCGAAACATTTGTTCTCTCACGCAATTTTCACTACTAATTACTGAACTTATTCATTTGCCCACTTATTTTTGAAAAAATTAATCATCCTTATAGTTTTTTAGTTAGTCAACATTGCTATTGACTGATCTCTGGCCAAGTAGTGTGATAGTTGCTATTTTCAGGAAACCTTACGTTCCTGAAACAAACTCACTCACACATATAAATTCAGAAACGACTGCCAATAGATTAGAATTAGTGCAGCAAACTGGCTAGACCCTCACCCGTTGGACTAGACCATATACGTGGAACCGTACCGGAAGAACAAGAATCAAGCGTAAAAAAATCATCTGGTTTACGCCAGCTTGTGAAAAAGAGGTTGGAGTATTAGGATTTGTTTAGATACACTGACTTGGATTTTGCAAGTCGTTTTGCGAGAGTCAAACTGAATAAGGTCATCTGAAGGTCGGACGGGCTCCTAGTAGACTGACCTTTATCCTATTTTGGATTCCTCATACGGGTCAAACTTGCGAAACGTCACCAGCTGATGTTTATAAATGAAATTCCTGCCATTAGAAGGTGTGATATTAACTTTGTTTTAAAATTTAAGTTAAACCAGATAAGCCAAAAAAGGAAAACAAAGATGAACTTTGCAAAAAACCTTTTAGTAAAGTCAGCGTCAATAAAGAAAATAATGAAACTAACTATTTCCCTTCCGACCATCTCTGAATAATTATTGCAACTTTTCCTCAACTAGATTAAATGTCTTGAAATTAGCACTTATTTCTTGTTGTAAATGCTTACTTCTCTAAATTAACAAATAGCTGTCTAATTTTCGTAAACATTAACACCAAGTTCATAGTTTACTTACAAATCGGCAGCATTTTCCCTAGAAATTCTTTTCTTGGATTTCTGAGTATCTTTTCGGTAGGATACTAAAGTGTTTAGGATATAATAAGTCATTGTGAGGCATCCTTTGATTTTCCTGTATTTCAACAGACATAAATCCCATATTTTAATGTTTCCAGCATAGATTAAACTTAAGACCAGTTCATATTTTGATCACATCTCACTAAATAATTCCTCAAATCAAAATGCTGTTCTCAACTTCTCATACGGCAAAGAATCTAGGCTTTTGATGTTTAGAGTAGACGGTACACAATCCAAGTTGTGTAGTGGCCATCAATTCAGAGATGCAGGTTAATCCAGCTAACGAATAGTGAATACAGAGAGACGCCTCTACTGAGTACCACTTCTGGCCACATTATTAGTTCTTTATCAACTTGTATTTTAATGGCTACATCGAAGCTACCTGCACAGGACGCCTCTATATTAATCAAAAACCATAAAATTGCAGTCGAAAACAACTGCATATTTCGAACCCTTTTCAAATTCAATATTCGTTGTACGGGTCTGCCTCCCACACTACATATAGCCGTTCTATGGGAGTCTTCATACTGTTCACCAAGCTCTCTCCAAATTTAATGATGAGACTGATTTAAGCATTATATATCGTGTCGATCTATCCATCACGATAGTTTTCCCCACCTTTTTTGTTAAACTATTGTTAATTGCGATATGTAGTATTCTGTAGTTACTTCTACTAAAACGTTTAGCAAAGGAGTACAGATCCGTGTGTTAGTTAACATGTCAATATTGTTGATTTCTCGTACTAATAGTGCTGGCTTCATCTCATGAGTGAAAGTAGATAAAGTGAATTGTCGATCGTGCGAGAATTGATGCTGAAGCACAAAAGACGCTTACGTTACAGCTCTCATAATGAATTATCTTGAATCAGAGGGCTTTCAGTAAACAGATCCCGAAACAGAAATGACGATTAATTAGGACTTAAGCAAAAAAAATCTTTATACGTTTACATCAATTTAGTTTGGTAAGCATTATTTGATTGATGTGACTAATTGTTAAATACTCATATCATTTAATAATACATAGTGTATTAGAAATCGTGTACCCATATCTTGTGACGTTCATGGTTTGCAGCTCTGCGATTAGATCCGTCTGCTGCTTTCTCAGTTTTTTTTTCGATATTGCACTTAATAACATAGATCTTTTTATTCTTTTAAAAATTTGATGCGGTTTATTCCTTTTATGAATTCAAATAAGACCAGACAAACATTTAAGGCAAAATCATATGAATTCATAAGGTGTCGTGGTTTCTCATCAACTGCTTACAACCATGTTTGTAATGAAGTGTATTTATATATTTGAATACCTTTTTACATTTCTATGGTGTTTTACGTTACACGATAGTGATCTGCGAATGAACCTTGTTGAGAATCTTTATATTTCAATAACCAACTCTCTAGGTGTTTTATCGTCATTATTGTTCTAAACATTTTGATTAGCTTATGATTTGAAATTTTCAAGCTTATCGGTAGTCTCATTTTAGTAACAGCATCCCATTGTTGTATCGTTTCACCTAGGATCTAACCTATTCAACTTTGAAATTTTAACATAATGTTACTTGCTCAGTGTCCAGTTTGTCACGATTGCTTTACAAATGCGCTTGAATGTAACATATCCGCATTACCTTGCGGGCATGTATTCCATCAAATATGCATTGATACCTGGTTCAAAACATCTTCAACATGTCCACAATGCAGGATTAGCATCAAAAGAACATTTGTTATTTCTAGATTATACTTTGATATGATTAGTTACAGTTCAGAAGAACAACCTGTCAATTCTACAACCTTTGAACAAGAAACTTTAGCATCAGGAGATTCGGTAAGTTTGTCTAATAGTAAAATTTATACATCTGCATAATTGTATCATATCAGATAAATAATCTTTGGTATAGCCTACTTTTAATCAGTCGCTCAATAGGATTTCATATGAAGTTTTTATCAGTTTGCGTAATTTACACTTCTAACATATGGTGAAAAATTCATCAGATTTTATGTCAAGTGAATACAGCAGTAAAAGTGGTAGAATTTCGGCAGTCCATTTTATTTTCACAACAAATATGCAAAAGAAATACTTTCTGTTTATTCACTATTTCACGACTATATTTACTTTGCCTTCTACGCTAGTCTATTTTCTAAAGAACCATTATTTAAACTCTAATTTTTCACTAAAAAATAATAATGTCAGTAATAACAATGCATCTTCACCATATCGTTCGATTTCAAAAAAAAATTATTGGATCTAACCGTTTTTACTAATACAAAATAATGATCTAGAATACAGTTTTCTGTGTGATCCATATCACTATCGAGTAAGTTCACACAGCTGTACAATGTACTAACCATGTGAGAGCCCTACCGCAGCTGCTACCTAGATGTGGTGGTCAAGCTGGGCCATCGTAATGACCCAGCCGAGCTATATTGGCTGGAGCATATATTCCTTTAAGTCCTATCATTCTAGGCAGGTCGGTCGGAGGACGGTAAGACTAACAGCAGAAACTTAAGATCGAAGATCGAAGTCATACTTCTGACTGTAGATGCGTGTGGCAGCAGTAAGGTGTCTGCCTCGGACAACCAGCACCTGCAGCGATGCTGCTTTCTCACAAGGAAGGGAAGGGTTAGAAAAGGTCGACCCTAAAAACGTCACATCTCACCGTACCCCACAGGTTTCCGTCCCCGGTAGTAGGGCCTTTTCAAGAACGTAGCCAGCACGTTAAAATCTTCACATACAAAAGCCATGCACAGGCATTTGTACCTCGGGCTCTGCGGGCGCACTCCAGGGTCAGTAGAACCAACACTAATCCCACTTTTCTAGTTCCTAAAGAAATACCCTTTCACGGTGTGGGCCTCCGGGAAGTGACATCAGTCGTCTTACCCGTAAAAGCACACGAGACAAACTTGTTCACGATCAAATTCTTCCTACACCTAATAACTCTCTTATCTCCTTGACTAACCCTTCTCTCGTTACTTTATCACTTTGCGCCGCTAATGCAAAATATTTAAATACACTTGAAACCCCACTCTAAACTACATGTTGCAGCTTTTAATGTCCGGATATTGTGCCAAATAGGACAAAAGACTTCCTTAGCTAGGACTTTAGAATCTCGCGCCATCGAAACGCCCGTACAGGATCTGAGCAAAGTCATTCATTTAACCTCACTTAGTAAAGATAACGGACCAACTAGTCTTACATTTTGAGTATCTGGGAGCCCTACTGCTGCTACTTGTGGCCTCGCTGGTGTAGGTATAGCATTGAGTCCTATGACAGAATTAGCTCTCTTAGACTGTATTCTAGCGGACATTTGCTTGTGCGCTGTTCAACGAAATGAGACAGTAAAAAAATAAGGGCACTAACCGTTGTCTCTGCTTACGCTCCCACTGATGAGGTAAAAGATGAATTTTACGGAAACCTTTCCAACCTCCAAAACGCTAAGCGCTCTGGAATAATAATAGTGGTTGGTTATTTAACTGCTGAATTAGGTAGATTAACCGAAATGGAAAGACATCTTGGTGGATCCTACGGTGTCACGGCTCATATAAGAGATAATGGTGATCGTCTGCTGCAGCTACGTTCAGATAACCGCCTGTTTTTGACATATAATAAGTTTAAGCATAACGCAAAACATCTTTTGATATGACAACCCGAAATAGATTCAATGCTGGACCCAAATAGAACACTTTGCTATCGTCCATCGATGGAGAGGCTCGATCGAAGACTGCCGCTCGTTCTGGAGCACATGTTTAGATTCAGATCATGCTCTAGTACGAGCGCTTATTTGTCTGCGTCTTACTGGACGTAAAAAGGATACAGCTAGCAAACTCCTTAGAGTTGTACTTAACGATAAAAAAGCGAGACCAACTAGAAAAACAGACAGCCACGTAAGTGATGCCCACCTGGAGGCAGCTTGGAATGATATTCGAAAAGCTGTAGAAGTAGCAGTTATATTTGCCAGTAAGGTAAACCAAAAGGTTAAGGTTAGATGTTCGGCAACTCATCCCACCTGGCTTTGAGCACGATAAGGAGCGGAGCTTCAACACAAACTGACAAAAAGTTAACGCAATGATTGAGAATGGTGGTGGGTAGCGAAAACGAAATAGATGGGAAAGACGGTCTCACTATGTAATAATCAACAACTGTTCAGACTTATCAAAGAAACTGATATTAGAAATTCGGCTGTTAGCAAGACTATCTCACTTTCCATCCAGGAGATTGGATCGATCGTCAGGACATATCGGGCAGCATTTCAACCGGCCTTCAGCCACACTTCAGTTAACCACGATCGCCAGTCAATCTGAATGGCAAGTTGATGTAAGTCCTCCGACTCTTTATGAAGCTGAAAAATCTATAGCGAATCTAAAGCAAAATAAAGCAGCAGGTCCTGACAGTTTCCCCCCTGAGATTCTCAAGGACAGTGGTCCAAATTTAGCAGGTAGATCGATTGAGATCTTTGGAAGAATCTGGGAAATGGACGTAATCGCATCTGATTGGTCTCAATCACTGATTGTCCCAGTCTGTAAGAAAGGACAAAAGTCCTATTGTGACAATCACAGAGGACTCAGTCTAACTAAATATTGTCTAAAATATTGGCCTCAATAATAGTTCGACTCATAACTAGTGCTCGTGAAGAGCGGACTCCAGAAAACGAGACTGGTTTCAGACCTGGACGTGTCTGTATAGACTAGATATTCACACTACGTTAGATCCCTGAACATAGACTCACGTTCAGACGTCACTCAATAATAGTATTTCTGGGCCTTAAGGCGGCGTTTGACCGTTGACCGTGAGGTTTTGTGGCAGTGTCTGTCACCGAAAGGAGTACCAGAGAAGTACATTTACTTTATACGAGCTCTCTACCCGAACACCACTGGTCGAATGAGAGCTTAGGGCAGTTTCATTGGAATTGACTACCTCGATTGGTTTTCATCAGTGTGTCCACTTTCTCCACTCCTATTCAACTTCGTTAGTGATATGCTTTTAAAGATAAAACTTTCGTCTGGCTTTTCAGTTAAACTTTTACTTAGAGATTCACTTGTTGACTTAGAATATGCTGATGACATAGTTCTATTTGTTGAGGACGTTGATAAAATGCAGTGTTTCTTGAGTGCCCTAAGCAACAATACAAGCCTGGGGTCACCAAGTAAGCAATGCTGTTGTTAGGAAAAGAGTACTAGGTAAGGATAGCAAATCAATTGATGAAGTAGTGAATGTTCATCAATTTAGACGGTTACGTATGCTCAACCCCTGACCCCCTCGACGAGCGACGTTGTCTGATGTAAGGATAGGTTGACTGAAAGGGGCGGTCAAACAGGCATGTGGAACCAGTTCATGAAGACACTGGCAGCTGAATTGAACCATATTTGTAGGTGTAGTCTACTCAGTTGGGGTGTGCAAGACAATCGTAACCGGTTGTTAGAGACCTTGAATGACATGGTTTGAAATCGCCTGCACTAGCGCAAATGTATCCACTATTTGTCTTCTCTCAAGCTTCAATCTTCTGATTACCTCATGACCTTTTTTCTCTTATTAAATTTATTCCGATGGGATATACTTCTTGAATCATACAGTCAGTCAGTTGCAACGTAGAACTTCGTACGTATGTACATAAGTTCATGTTGCCATACCACATTATTAGCACAGAGACGCAAATGTCAAATCAAATCCCATAGTGATAAAGATGGTAGAGGTATTAATGTTATAATAAAGAAGACTAGGGTTTAAGATATTATTCAAGAAGTATAATTCAGTGAGATAAGGTTAGAAAGACAAAGGTAGAGGTGATAACGAATCCAGAAGATTAGGATTTGAGAGAGCTCAAAGAGTGGATGCACCTGCGCCATTGCAAACGATTTTGAGCCATGTCGTTCAAGGTCTCTAACCATTGATGACTTTCGTCTCGCGGACCCCAACTAGGTAGTCTACATCTACCAACATGACTCAGTACACTTGTCAGTGACTTCATGGATTTCTGCCATGTTTTGGTTTGGCCGCCCCTAGCTTTCTTCCAACCTACTCCTATACCACAAAACATAGCTCGTCGAGGCAGTCGGTGGTTAGGCATACGTAACACATGTCCCAACCACCTCAACTGATGAAGTTTCACCACTTCATCGATTGATCTGCCATCCTTACCTAGTACTCGTTTCCTAACGACAGCATTGCTTACTCGGCTGTCCCATGATATACGAGCAATGCTTCTTAAACATCTATGATCGAATACTAGTAACCTACGAACATCTTCTACTCTCATTGGCCATGTTTCACAGCCATATAAGAGAACGGAACGAACTGCTGCGCAGTACACCCGCCCTTTGGTTAGCGAACGGATATCACGCCTACGCCATAAGTGACGCAGGTTGGCAAAAGCCAATCGAGCTTTCTGTATCCGAGCTGAGATTTCGTCAGTCACCAGACCGTCAGCACTGATGAGACTCCCCAGATAAGTGAAGTGATCTACACGCTCGACTACTTCACTCCCTATCACTAGTTCAGGTGCCGAAGCAACCCAGTTTTGAAGCAACATTTTTCATTTCGAGGGGGAAAACCGCATCCCGAACATGCTCGCATTGTTGCTTAGGGTAGTCAGAAGACTCCGCATTTTGTCAGCGTCTTCACCGAATAGAACTATGTCATCGGCATATTCTAGATCAGTAAGCGACTTTCCTGGTAGAAGGTCAACTCCTGAAAAATCTGACGAGCTTAATGTTAACTCTAAGAGGATGTCTACGACAAAGTTGAACAAGAATGGAGAGAGTGGACAGCCCTGACGGACACCACTTGATGTAGAGAATTCCGGTGACAGTTCGCCATAAGCCCTCACCCGACCAGTGGTGTTCGAGTAGAGTGCTTGTATAAGGTTAATGTACTTCTTTGGTACACCTTTCAATGACAGACACTGCCACAGAACCTCACGATCCACTGAGTCGAATGCCGCCTTAAGGTCCAGGAACACGACTATTGTCGGACGTCTAAATGTGTGTCTGTGTTCCAGGACCTGTCGTAGTGTGAAGATGTGGTCTATACAACCACGTCCAGGTCGAAAACCAGCCTGGTTTTTTCGAGTCTGCTCTTCGCGAGCTCTAGTTAGACGTCTAAGTATAATCGAGGCTAACAATTTAGAAACTATATTAGTTAAACTTATTCCCCTGTGATTGTCACAAGAGGACTTCTGTCCTTTCTTGTAGATTGGGACAATTAGCGACTGAGACCAGTCAGATGGGATTACGTCCATTTCCCAGATTCTACCTAGGATCTCGGTCAGTTTAACCGTTAAAACTGGACCACCATCCTTAAACATCTCAGGGGTAAGCCTATCGGGACCTGCCGCTCTACCTCTCCTTAGATTTCCTATAGCTTTCTCAACTTCATGTAAACTGGGAGGACTTAAATCGATTTGCCATTCGGGATGACTGGAGATCGTGGGCAACCGAAGAGTGGCTGAAGGCCAGTTGAACTGATCCCTAAAGTGTTCTGCCCATCGGTCCAGCCTCCTAGATTGAGAATGGATAATAAGACCATCCTTTTCCGAGATAGTCTCACTTACATTCGGGTTCCTAATACCGGTTTCTTTGATAAGGCGGAAAAGTTGTCTAGTGTTGCCTATCGCCGCTGCCTTTTCCATCGCTTTTGCTTTCGCCACCCACCACTGTTCACGGTCGTTACGCAGACTTTTTATGAGTCTGCGCCTAAGCTGACTACGCTCTTCATCATGTTCAGAGTCAGGTGGGATGCGTTTTCGAGCATCCATCAGTTCGGTGGATGCGACTGAAATCCACTGCTTCGTCCTAGCATTGTGGTTTACCTTGCTAGCAGATACCATTGCTGTTTCCACAGCCTTCTTGATATGATTCCAACCTGCTTCAGGATGGGAATCACTTCCATGGTCGCCTAACTGTCTTTCTAGTTCCTCTTGAAATATTTTCTTAGCTTGATTATCATCAGGTAGAGCCCTAAGAGGCTTTCTTACGGTGTCTTTCCTACGTCCAGCAAGCCTCAAACAAATACGTGCTCGCACTAGGGCATGATCTGAATCTAAACATGTGCCCCAGAACGAGCGACAGTCTTCTATCGAACCCCTCCATCGGTGGCTGATGGCGATATGATCTAGTTGTGTCCAACGTTGAGACGACTTCGGGGGTCGCCAAGTCAAAAGGTGTTTTTCCTTATGCTTAAAATTAGTGTTTGCTAGAAATAGTTGGTTATCTGAGCACAGTTGCAACAGACGGTCGCCATTGTCTGTTCTTTGAGCCGCGAGACCGTAACATCCACCTAGGTGTCTTTCATTTTCACTTAGTCTACCTACTTGTGCATTGAAGTCACCAGCCATTATAACTATATCAGAGCGCTTAACTTTTTGGAGGAGGTCCGAAAGCTTTCTGTAAAATTCATCTTTTACATCATCTGGGCTGCAGTCAGTGGGGGCGTAGGCTGATATGACGAAGAGGCAACGGCGAGTGTCCCTATCTTTCCGAGTCCTTACTGTCCCGTTGAGTCGGACGGCGCACAAGCGACTATCTACAGGGATCCAGTCAAGGAGAGATTGTTCTGCCCTAGGACTCAATGCTATGCCTACGCCAGCAAGACCCCGGGAAGCAGCATCAGGGCTACCGGATACACGAAGGGTAAATCGAGCTGCTTCTTTATCTTGACATGGTGAGGTCAAATGAGTGATGCTACTCGGATCCTGTATGCGCGTTTCCGAGACGCAGCACACATCGATGGAACGGGATTCTAAAGTCCTAGCTAATGATGCCTGTTGCCCTATTTGACACAATGTCCGTACATTGAATGCTCCAACATGTAGTTTGGAACGGGGTTTAAGGAGACCAGGAACGACATTTCGCAAACTCGCATCGTTTGCATTAGCTGTTCACTGTAATAAATGAATGTGAGAAGAGTTAGTTGTGGAGATAAGAGAGGTATTAGGGAATGTAGGAAGGATTTGATTTTGAACGATTTTGTCTCGTGTGCTGTTGCGGGTATGAGGGCGGTTATCACTTCCCGGCTGCCCACACCGTGGAAGGTTGTTTCTTGAGGAACCTGAAAAGGAAGATAGATTAGTGTTGGTGCGTGACCGCAGAGCCCAAGGGACAACTGCTTGAGGCCGGTCACGCACGGCCTTTTTATCAAATGTTTTTTGAGGATTAGCTCCGTTCTTAAGGGCCCTTGGTGGGAACCCTTACCCAAGGAGACGGGAATCCGTGAGGTAGGGGAGGTGTGACATTTTTAGGGCCGACCTTTTCTAACCCTTCCTTCCTTGTGAGAAGGCAGAATCGCTGCAGATGCTGGTTGCCCGAGGGAAACACCTTACTGCTGTCACACCCCTCTGCAGTCAGCAGTACGACTTCGCCCTCAGACCTTGGGTAGCTGCTTTTAGTCTCATCGTTCTCCAATCGACCTGCCTGGCATGGTAGGACCTGCAGAAACATGTGTTCCAGCCAGTATAGCTCGGTTGGGTCATCACGATAGGCAAGCCCGACCACCACGTCAAGGTAGCAGCTTCGGTCGGGTCTTGAATCATACCTTCTATCCCTAATCCATTCTGTTACTGTTAACATTTCTACAGCCTCTACTATTATGGAATTTGAACTGACAATTCCATCTCAGTGGTGGTGATATGGCAACGTAAACTGATGTACGTGCGTACCGAGTTGTAGATTGTGGCCGCATGATATGTACAAGCTCATTTAACAGCCCCTTGAGTCAGATGCCGCGTATGAAAAATTTAAATACTCCTCTTCCAACTTTATTTGGCAGTTCAATACATACAACACGTGACTCAGTTAGATGCCATATATAACTTCAACTTCTGCGTTATTCTATACTAAAAATTATGCCTGAAGACAACAAATTTACCAAACATCAGTGAAGTAGATTCAAATCTTGCCCCCACCCGTCATTGTCTAGGCAAATAGGCATTGTACAATCGGTTTTGCTCCTTAGCTTCTAATATGATCTCTGTGAAATGACTGCTGAGCTAATCAAGATGAGAAAGGAACCTTACTGATTAAAATGAAGATCTTAGTTAATTAAACGTACATTAATGTACAAAATCAAATCATTGCATTATCGTTCGATTACTGGTTCTTGTCTATCATCTAGTTCTACAAATGATCACTGAACTTAATGTTCACTAGTGTATAACCTAGACTTACAGCCTCGTGTTTCTGACTCTAATATAGGATAAATCGATTGAATTGCTTGCTTCTACATAGATTACTGATTCACTACTCATATTTACGAAACCATTTTTCACGTTTATTTTATTATTTTTCAGCAATCGAAGGATTCCAAATCAATAAAATCGTTGAGTGTTCAACTTCATCGATTACGTACAGAAAATACACGGCTAGATTTACTATGTAAAAATTTTTCTCAAAAATTGGAAGAAAATTCCAAAATGTTAAGTGCACGCGATAAAGAAATCTCAACATTGTCCACTTTGTATAGTGAAACAGATAAACTATATGAAAAAGAAAGGCAACGTTGTCGAGATTTAAGGTACTTCTTCCAACTAACCTGTTTTATATGATAGTGTTAAAATATTTTTCAAGAAGTCGATTAATTTGATTATAAATAACTTTCATCATAAATTTAGTTAAGGAGCAAACAAATTTTGTACAAATGCTTTCTACTTTGGATTTCTTCATATAATCTCTATATTTGTACCACGCCGTTCGATTCAAAACTTTAATCCTTTCTAGTGACCATGTTTAATTCGTGGCAATTCGTTCCAACTAATCTGGTCCATAAATTCTAATTTAAATGACCGCATAACTTTCAATATGGGCTTATTTTAAAGTTTGCCTTATAAGATGTGATCTGTAGAGCTATCGGATGATTACTAATCATAGCCACACTATCACAAACCTAATAAATTCTATAAATCGTGAACATATAAATTCCGATCAGTAGACAGCACAAAAACATGTTCACTACGAAGTCAGGTGGTGTTGATTTCAATGCTGATAGTGTTGAAGAATGCACACTTATATTGTGTTGTTGTGTACAGTGTTCTCCAATTTTTATTCAACTAATAACAATTCCCAATAACTATCATCTTCTTAGGTGTTCACATTTAAAATCGTGTAATCAATTCATCTCATAAGTTGTTCAAATCACCACTTGAGTATGCCTAGTCTGATCTGGTAATTAGAGATAATGGTTTCCTTTAATAGTTGTGATCATTAAATCATTTGTTAAATAAGCTGTTTGCCTGATATAAACAGCCATATTTTCTTATCAATCAGAACTGAAGTATCAAGTTTGAAACAATTCCTTCGAGAGGCTGAGACCATGAAAGCTGAGGCTATTCAACTTCGAAAAGAAACAGAAGACATGCATAATGTGAAAAAGTTAATATCTTGTAAGTGTTGTTTATGCTTGCTGGTTTCTCATCTATACATTTTTAATTAGTAGTAAAACACATCTAGACATAAAATAAGATAAGGCGACTATTGATACATATTGTCACGGTCCAATTAACTTAACGATTCTATTAGTAAATGATGAGAGTATTTGGAAAAAGCCTTGCGTTTAATCAATTCTCCTACTTAAAGTAAAGCCAATTCATATAGATGTCTGATGTAACGACACAATTTTTTAATCACGTCCATCTAAGTGATTGAATAAACTAACCTTGAAATAAATTTTGGACGTATGATTAATTCATGAGATTCATACACAGTAGGAAGTCTTGAATCGGTGACCTCACCAGTGTGTGAAAATTGTAATGCAATTCCTGAGGGTTGACGAGTTACTTAACACATCAATCTTATTTCCTGTTTCTTATGTCGCTGACATAAGTGGCAATTAAGATATTTCATTTTTCTTTACATTTAAAACTAATTGAATAACCGTACTGAATATTTTGGTATAAAGTTATTGTGGAGTGAAACTTTCTTGACTTTTCAACACTACATACTTCTGTGTTAATATACTCAACGCTCGAGTTGGTGGTAAAATGTGAAAAGGTAGTAAGTTCATGTCATAGAATGGAAAAGTTATATTGGACTAGCCTAAATTATTTCTTTACCTCATTTTGAAGAACTTGAATGATCGTACAACTCAGGGGCTTCAGACTTCAGATATGATTCAAAACGAAAACCAGTAGCAGCCTGTAGTGTGTGTACCAATATGTTGAGCCACATGGCTCGTCCCAGCTTTCAGACAAACTAATTAACATTTCCTGTCTGAGTCATTAAGTATTCACATGTCTTTTAACCTTGTCAATCATTCACTCATATCTTAGTTGTATTTATTTGAGTATATATGTGCATCTCTTACTTGGCTTATCTTAATATGTGGCTTATTTTTGTCTAACTATAAATGCTTAGTCATGCCTTATTACACTGATTTGGCTCACTCACCTTCTCCGCTTCCATCTGACTGCATGAAATTAAGTCATCCAACCGAATCTGTATTTACTTTCAAATTACCGCCATCACAAAAACGCGGTTCGCCTATGCTATATGGAAACTGAAGGGGGGGGGTTATTTCATAGCATATTTAACTGTTCAATAATATTGGGATCAGATGACGCGCCACTAAAGTGGTGAGCCCTACTTCGAATTTAACGCAGCCCCCAAAAGTCTTACAGCTTTCCGCAACTCCGTCAGTCATAAACGAAGAGATTCATATCCTTACTGAACGAAATTCATCGTGACCATGTTTTCCTCTCATCACACCGAATTCCTCATTGGTTTTTTCTGTCGTAATATTCTACCAGGCATTCATTTTTTTCATGAATTATTGAGGAAATAATAAACTTCTATGTGCCTTATGTAGTATTTTCGCGACCTGTTATTCAGGCTAAATACTCAGGTTATAAAGTCTAGTAAACTGAAAGGTAACTGATTTTACAATACCGATTATTGACAGAACTGGTTAAAAAGCTTCGACAACACACAAAGTGTTTCGATTTTATCGTTTGATGCATCATTGTTTTCAAAATCAGTTAAATACTGTAGTTTTTTTATGGCATTCCTTTTTTTAACATTACAGCTTCGGAAGATGCTGCACGCGAACTATTTTCTCGATATACATCAAAATTTGAAAATGGAAACGAAACACAAATTAAGCATCCAAAAGATACTGAACTATTATCTCTTTGTAAATGGGCTTCTATTTTACGATCAGAATTAACTGCTACTCGTGAAAAAGTAAGAAGTTATCGTACAGAATTGTCTCGAGTACGTAAACTACAAACTTCAGCATCTCAAAAAATCACACGCGCTGAAACTAATGCAGCTGAATACAAAGAACGTATTAAACAATTGGAAAATGAATTGTCAAGTTTAATTGGAAAAATTCATTCAGATAATAGTAAAACAAAAAGAAATACTACTGAAGAGTATGTGGCTTTTAAAACTCCCACACCAACAATTTCGACGCATCCGTCTACTTCGACCACTCCTGCACGTTCAATAGCCATGAGTGATAGTTCACTTATTACTCCACCATCAACAAAATTAATTTCTACAGATTTATCCACACCTGATTTACTTTTAATCAGTCCATTTGAACAATCAGCTAATGTCACTCCAAGGGTTAGTCATTACATCATATTTCTAATCAATATTATTAGATATAGTAGTTTAAATGGTGATCAATTATTTAACGGACAAAAGCACTTCGAAATAAAATTATATACTCGATTCATAGTTAAGTTAGACTAATTGTGGTATGATTTCTTGAAATTCTGTCATTATCACTAATAAGCATCAGTCAGTAAATCACCGATACCAAAATGTACATGTACTAGACATGTCTATTGATGTAAGAATAAATAACAACAACAAACAGACATTATACCATAGGCACATTGACAAACAGGAAAAAAGGTAAGCATGTACAAAACATCCTATATCGGATGACAATTCTACAAAAGTCGTACAAATAATAAAGATAGAAATAATTGTCACATACAAACCAACAGAAATAGATTTACAAACAAATCTAAATAGATTTTAAAAAGATGTTACATTGAATAAAGTTACAGACATATTTATCCTGGGTGTTAAAAATACGGATAATAAATATTGTGGCGAACATGAATATAAATAATGGAAAGATTAGATAATATAAATAAATACAATATATTAACTGATGTGTAAAGATGACACACTTAGCATTCAGAGAATAGTTGATATAAAAATCGAATACAATTTCACTACTCAAATTGATTTCAAATGATCATCACCGTAACTATTGTAATGGGGTCTCAACAAATCAATCAGTCAACCTTAACATCTCTTTTTTGTTAATAACTTCGGCAGTTTTTGAAGAAAAAAAGTTTAATTCACACTCTTTAATCAAATCTAAGAAATCAAGATTTCATCTAGGTATTTTTCCTTAAATCCTATTATCTGATAATAATCTGCGTAGTTTATATTGGTACAGACGTGATATACTGGTTTTAGCTAATATTTGCTTCATAATTCATAATATTTAACTTTCTAAAAGTGTATATGAGGTAGGAAAAATTTCCCATGTAAATATAATTAGTTAAATTTACTTTAGATAAATTCACTATATTACTTAATTGATTTATAATGTTTTAATTGTTTTACTAGATGGACTTTGCAACACCTGCAAATCCATTTCGTATAAAACAGAATCGATCGAGTACTAGTAGTTCATCACCTCAACAAACTATATCTACTTCCCAAGTATACAATCGTACATTAATATACTCACCTGAGACAAATGTGATTAACAATCAAAATCTATGTGATAATAATATTATAGCTAATCAACGTCGACCATCAAGCGTTTATCAAATGTCAATTATGCGTCAACATGCCAAGATTGCTGACAGGTACACAATACCGACTTATTCGAATAATTTTTCTAGTAATCTTCAATTTCAACAAACATTCGATAGAACCCTGTCTAAACTATCCAAACCTTGTGTGTTGAAAACAGATACTAGTGGTTGCCAAAAACGTTCTGCTCGAAATTTAAAACGATCTGTTTCAGAAGTTTCGAACACTTTAAAGTTAGATAATTTTGTCATGAAACTGTGAATAATTTCTGTCCTTCCTGTAACTTCATATATTTTTTTAATAAACTAATAATTAATAGTATAGTTTTGTGCGAGATATTGAGAGGACGAGATTGCGGTTATTTGCTTTTCACGAAACCGGTATTTTCGAACTTGGATAGACAATTGACTACAATTTCAGCAGGGTGACAGTAGACGTCTCATTACTGTTTCACTATTTATCATTAAAGATGCCACCAATTACTGCGTCATTTAACAACTTACGTTTCTCATCTTAATAGTCAAAAAGAACTCTGTAGTCATTACCTGCTTTAGTATTTACGAATAAGTAGTGTAATTTATGAACGCATTAGCATTTTAAATTCATTGTTCCACTAGGAATTTGGAAACAAAGGTGTTTGAATGCTCAAGGTTGTTTCATTAACTCATTAAATAAATGAAAACACATCTGCACTATTACTTGAACTATGAATTCCATCCCTGATTTATAGCGAAACGTGCGTTAGTACATATTTTCAGTATTTCTGGATTTCTACTAACAGTTGGCCGAAAGAAGTGTGACTGTCTGTTGTATAAGGTAACATCTTAAGCCTTGTAACTGGAAAAAGTACGCATGTAAACCAATCCTATTTAGTTTGTTAGGTGATAGACGTGGTTTTCTACTCATGGAGTTGGGTATATTACCTTTTCATAATACTGAACTAAATAATAAACGTCACTAAAATTACCCAGTCGCTAACAAAATAGATCGTCTTCAATAAAATTATTCGATGATAATAAACCTACGAAATGAATTCACAGCAAACAAAATAGCTATGAAGAACAGAGAAACATTATCCTGTTTCCGGGTGAGTCATCTCTTAGAGAATACTGTGAAACTTAAAGCTAAATGAATCTTGAAATGTTAGCACTAAGGAACAATCATAATGAAATCTCTGATCTCTCCGCTCAGAGAACTAAACACCACCACAATCATCCACCTGAGCTACAAATTTTCTCCACCGTCTCAAAATTATAATGAGAGACTTCACTGCTCGCTCACCTTTTTGTTTCATGATGCAATTTGTAGTATATTAGGCACTATAAGTTATTACTCATCATCATATTAACGATAGTTATCAACTTGTAGTGTCAAGGCTCATCACACCAAACTTACTATAAAATATTTGCATAATCGTTTTGCATCTATCTTACACAATTCGCACATCCTCATAATTATTATCCACAACCATACGCTATCTATATATTACTAATTTAGCATACTGTAGCTTGTTTGAGATACCTATTTGTACAGATGCTTTTTCATTCGTAAATGTATATTTTGATGTCAAGTTGCTGTCATTGAAACGACTAGTATGTAATGCATACTTGAGAAGTGACTTATTGAATGAAGTACTAAACTTCCAGCCACTAGCCAGTAATGCTTCTACTACCTCTACCACTATGGGGATTTGAATTGACAATTGCGTCTCTGTGCTTATGTGGTATGGCGACCTGAACTTATATACGTACGTACATACGAAGTTGTAACTGACTACGAAGACTTTGTTGGCATCATATTTGAATGGTACTTATGAAAATCTTACAAGGAAAAGAAACACCAACAAAGAAATATTTATGACGTTGTTTGTTTGTGTATCATTAACAGCTCACTTTGAGAACGATAGATTGCTAGATATTGAATTTCAGGTCAATCAGTAGATATATCAGTGTGAATTTGTATTTGTTCGTATTATTTTAGCATAGGTTTGAAGTTACTGTTTTCAAAATGAATATTACCATGCTTAGATGTGGAAAGAACAAAGAATGCAGTTATATTTACACATCTACATACAATTGTAAGATAGAAAAAATATAATATCATAAGTAGTAATTTCATCTTATAGTTAGTTTATGGCTTTTTACCGCGTTTTTTTGATCTGTCTAAATGCTTACTCGTCATTGCTTCTTTATCAGGACATTGAATAACATATCTTTGAGGGATTTTAATAGCTGGAGCATAACCTTCAGGATAGGACGAATCTTCAAAATAAAGGGAATACTCATCATGTACCTTGAATAAAAAAAAATAGAAATATATTATCGAATGACTAAGTGCACAGAATGAAAGTTATTCTATTCATCAAGACATAGTATCTATTTACATAAACATGTTTAATAAAACATCAAAATCCTTCTGCTTTTGTATGCCAGACAGATCAACAATAATGCTAACCGTGTTTAGGACTTACTGTATGCCAGAAGCATAATGTATATTCGTAAAAATGACAGCTGTGTGGACAGAGTACTGCTAATATAACACGCTAGTAGATTGCTTCAACGTAGATGAGTTTCTATTCTTTAATTAATATGTATTCCTGTCAGGGTGTTGAAATTACTAAGATAACACTATGAATAACTAAGAGACTGCGTTAGATTCAAAGTAGGGCTTCCTACTTTAGTCGCCCGCGATCTGACTTTTTTAGGCGGACGGTCGAGTATATGATGAAATAAATTTTCTTTTCAATTTCCGTATATCATACTTAAGCGAACCCCGTGCGTGCGACGGTGGTAACAAGAAGCCTAATACGGTTTCGTGGATGAATTTAGCTCATACATTCATTTTAGCAGACATTTAGGAGAACACATAGTTTGGAGGCAAAGCGAAACGAATCGGAGAAGGCCGGCGAGCCAACCCAATGTAATAAGGCAAGACTGACCATTTTATAGTCACACAAAAATAAACCAGATGCGTGATAAGCGAAGTAAGCAATGCACAGACACACTCAAATTAAAACAACCAAAATATGAGTGAATGATTGACAAGGTTAAAGGACATTTGAGTAACTTGAGAAGAACGGATTAATTAAATTTTCCAAAGGCTGAGACAAGCCCTGTGGGTTCGATATAAAGGTACACATACTACTACAATAACTTACATGAGTTGGGATTTCATCAACGATTGCTTTGTAGAAACATGTTGTTTGTGGATAAAGTGCCAAAACAGTCTATGGAAAAAATTAAAATAAAATTAGTGAATGCCATTCAAAATTAATGAGTGATGTATACGGAAAGTGTGAATGAATAGAAACTTTTATATGGAGAGTTAAATTTTTTGTCTTATTGTGTAGTATGAAAAAAAAAAAAAATTACTATCCGTAGTAATTTTGGACACAGACCATCTACTTATCATATATCAGATGAGTGAACTATTTGTTGATGCAGATTAAAATATAGTTTGTTAACTTAAAATTGAATATTAATTTGATCTTCATGGTTTGGATTATCCTGAACGGTACAGGGTTCAAGTTCCAAAGTGAGCATGAACTCTGGGTACATCCAGCTGACGAGTCTCGAATAGGATATAACACTCGTCCTGGATTCGAATGTTCGTTGCATTCAATCTACTCTAGCTGAAACCGAATAGTTTATCTCGAAATTACTGATATACATTGATGCCACATATTTCCTTTGAAGTTGTCTCCAAAATATTATCTGTAGTCGGTAAGTAAAACTGGGAAATACACTGCTTGTTTGCAACAATAAGAAAGAGTGTATATATTTAAACTGCTTATGTTACCAGTAGATAATACAGCTATAACTTCGAATATGTTACTTTCCAGACGACAATTCTAAAGAACAAGTCTGTCCATAGAGTCAAAGGCAGCTTTGATACCCAAACACTTGTAAGTATTCAATACTTTAACGGCAGATAAGGATAAGGCAAATAAATCTACAACTTGCTTCTCATTCTGTATGGCCTACGCAGCATAATTGGGACCAACATTTCAGGTGCAAATGGCAGTATACTTACACGACGATGATCATCACATACGTTATGTATTCTATTTTGAAGACGATTACAATAATGGTTTCATTGTGGAGAGTTGGAACACTCACTTTAGCATGTATGTTTAAATTATTTAGCTACCTGGTTATCATTTTGTCTCTACCCTTGTAAGGACCTTAAATAAGCTGAGTTGAACAATGTATTACCATTACTACTGTAGGAAAAAGTTTGACATGATAGGACAATGTAAATGATTGAGAAACGGATAATCACAATAAATAAATAAAACGAGACGAGTATGCAATAAATTACACAGTCTGAATAAAAACAGCAAGATAAATTCCATCTGATTAGAAGAGGTATCCTACTTTTCATGGATAGATTAGGAAGCTAAAGCAAGATTTAGCAGGAATTCGCATTTCTTGAAACTGATACATTTAAATTAACACATGATTGGCAATCCAGAAACAATCCTGCTTAGCGTAAGTTGGTTAGCCAGTTATATGTAACATATAACCTGGTTCAAGTCCCAACATCACATAAGCATAGAGAGATGAAAGGTATCAAGAGAATTTGCAGCATAACAAGAGTAGTAATAGTATCAGTAGTAGTAGAAAAAATTAGGCAGAGGGAGAAGAAAAAAAGTATGCTTTAAAACTCAGAATCCATCTATGCCATTGCAAATAATTTCGAGCCATGTCACCCCAAGTCTATAAATATTGGTCATGATAAACCAGGTAGTCGGAACAGTGTAATCGTAAATGGTTTGATGGGCCGACTCGATGTTTTGATTTGGCTTTCTTGCAGCTTACTCTTACACGAAACTGTACCGTGTGTCAAGATATTCGGTCGATGGACGTACATAAGACATCTCTAAACTATCTCAGTCGATAATAATTCACTGTGTTGCCAATCGATTTACCGTACTTAGCACTCTGCGTACAGTTGCTAACTTGGTGGTTCAAAAACACATCTCAAAGACCCCTACAGTTGAATAGTAGTAATTCAGGAATACTCTTTAATGACCGTATGTAAAGCCCATAAAGTATAGCATATCGAACTGCTGTACTGTATACTCGCCCTATGATTAGTAAACAGATACTTCATCCATACCCAAAGTAACCCAACTGTCTGAATCCGTGCCGACGTTTTATCAGACTTGCAAGATAAGTAAAGTGGTTAACATGTTCAACTACCTCACTCAGTGCGATCACTTCAGGAATTCGTACGGACTAGTATTGAAGCAAACTATTGAGTTTGGAGGGTGAGGATCACACCCAAAACATTTGTATTTTTATCCCAGTTGATCAGAAAACTGCACTTCGTCAAAGTTTTCACTAAATAGAACTATGTCATCTGCATATTTTAAGTCAGCAAGTCTCCTCATAGATTAGTTATGCAGAAGATCTTTTCAAAAAGGATATCTATAATGAAGTTAAACAGAAATCTGGAAAGTGGACAACCGTGAAGAAAACCACTTGGGATTGGAAGAAAACTAAATGGCCAGACCAAGACATAGTGTGGTGCGCGCTACTTATAAGTAGTATATGACGCCAGTAAAAACGTAATGTCTGGCAGCAGATGGGGGAAGATCAAGAAAGGAAGAGCGGGAACACAATCGGATTAGTATGAAACGCATGAACAGTGAAATGTCAGACAATGGATTGATGTTTGCAACATGAACAGTCCAGTTCGATATGATGGATTGATATTTTGCAGTTAACGATTTACGATATGGTTTTCCTATTTTACCAATTAACTCTGTAATTTGAGATAAATACAATTCGGTTGCCCTCACCTGTGTTCTCCTTCACTACAATAGTATTACTTCATAAGGTTATTGACAGTTGGTTTAAGTCGTATTTCTAAGCGAGTGATCAATGATATTAATAATAGTTTTATTCGAAATACAAATTGTACAAAATAACTCAAGCTTCCTGGTGTGTAATATATTATTATTTGAAGGATTTTGCCGATATGGCGTAACTCGATAGAAAAAATCTCGTTAACAATAAGGACTAGCTAAACATATGATTGATTAACACTCAGTGACCAGTCGATGTATAATTATGTCAGTCCTACAGGAAATTGATCGGTCAAAAAAATCCCCGACCGTAGCCGTTACCTTGACGTGGTGGTCGGGCTTGCCTATCGTCATGACCCAACAGAGCTATACTGTATGGAACATATGTTCCTAAAGGTTCTATTATGCCAGGCAGGTCGATTGGAGAACGATGAGACTAAAAACAGCTACCCAAGGTCTGAGGGCGAAGTCGTACTGCTGACTGCAGAGGGGTGTGACAGCAGTAAGGTGTTTCCCTCGGACAACCAGCATCTGCAGCGATTCTGCCTTCTTGCAAGGAAGGAAGGGTTAGAAAAGGTCGACCCTAAATGTCACACCTCAACTTACCTAACGGATTTCCGTTCCCGGCGGTAGGGGCTTTTAAAAAGAACGGAGCTAACACTTTAAATACTACCCATAAAGAGGCCGTGCACGGCTGGCCTTAAGCAGTTGTCCCTTGGAATCTGCGGTCACGCCCCCAGGTCTCCAAGACCAACACCAATCTGCCATCCTTTCCAGGCCCCTAAAGAAGCACCCTTCTACGGTGTGGGCAGCCGGGAAGTAACATCCGCCATCATACCCGTAACAGCACGTGAGACCAAATTTGTCACAAAAAAATTCTTCCTACAACCCCTAACACCTCTCTTATCTCCACGACTAAATCTTCTCCCATTCCTTTATCACCCCGTACCGCTAATGCAAACGATTCGAGTTCACGAAACGTCATTCCTGGTCTCCTGAAACCCATGTTGGAGAATTTAATGTACGGACATTGTGTCAAATAGGGCAACAGGCTTCCTTAACTAGGACTTTAGAATCTCGCACCATTGATGTATGCGTCACTCCCTTGATCTCTACATGTCAAGATAAAGAAGCAACTCGTTTCACTCATTGCGTATCTGGAAGCCCTGATGCTGCTTCCCGAGGTCTCGCTGGCGTAGGTATAGCAGTGAGTCGTAGGTCAGAACTGTCGCTCCTAGACTGGATCCCAGTAGATAGTCGCTTGTGCGCTGTCTAACTAAACGGAACAATAAAGCTGGTTTCAGTACCACAAGGAGTATTAATTCCCTAACGATCCGAGTTACTAGTTTTTGGTAAGTGCTCATTAGCATGAAGCCTACGTCTACGGCAATATAAGTAAACTAACAGATAATCAGACTAAATATAGGGAAGTCATACAACTGCCTTTTTGTCAAAGCGGCCCAATCATATGGGACCTAAGAAAATAACCTGTTGCTTTATTGTGACATTACGATGTATATACGATTAAAAACTAAATAAGCATATTATTGGTTATATAGTAACTAAAATGAATCTGACTTACAGCACCCTTATTGAATATTGCTTCAGGATTTGTAATTGGATTAGCTTTCCATTTTGGTAAAGGTATAACTTTGGAACGAGCTAAAGAGTAGCGCCTTAGCAAGAAAAAATATTTTTATATAATTTTCTGAATGAAATTTAGAATATTTAGTCAAAAAAAGCACATGTATACACAAAAGCATGAGAAACAAAAAGAGAAGGAAACTACTTGATGCAACAATGAACTAGTTGTGTTTAAGGAAAGGACATCATGTTGTTGAAATTTTCTTTTCAACATAGTAACAATGCATAATAGATGAATAATATAACACACGAATGAGGGAATGCGATGTGTTAATTAGTGATTATGAAATCAAGTCAGATATGTAATAAGTTATACAAACACAGATGAAATCCAAAAAAGTGGTCAAACTAAACTGTTTTATTTTCCATACAGTTTATGAATTGTTACATGACAAGGTTCATTGAAATAAGTGCGGATAAGATATTATGAAGCATGCAAATTATTTATTTTTTAACAAAATATTGAATGATGTAAAGAACAGAAATGACTAAATCACATAAAATTGATGTTCTCACAATGACATTAGTAATGAGCAAGCTAGAAATGTTGGATACACTTGTGAAGGGGAACAGGATATTATTTACTTGCAGTTAAATTATAAAATGATGAGTTTATGTGTAAACATTTCAACAGAAATAATTGCATTTTCTTAACACTCACTTTGGCCTGGAAATTACAAAAAACAAACCAATATGTCTTACTTCTTACACTTCATAATCCGTTTTCAAAGAACGAATTTATATTATGACTGTCAAGTTTATATAAATATCACTATTCAATAATCTAGTTGAATAAATCTTAACACAGTTCATGTCAGTCAGTCAGTCAGTTGCAACGTAGAACTTCGTACGTAAGTACATCAGTTCATGTCGCCATACCACATCAGCACAGAGATATAATTGTCAATTCAAATCCAATAGTAGAAGAGGTAGTAGAGGTATTAGAAGTAATCGTAGACGTTAGAATAAGAATATATTATTCACGAAGTATGATTCAATGAGATAAGTTTAGAAAGTAAAAGCTAGAGGTGTTGAAGAACTCAGAAGATTAGGATTTGAGATAACACAAAGAATAAATGCACCGGCGCCATTGCGAACGATTTTGAGCCATGTCATTCAAGGTCTCTAGCCATCGATTATTATCATCTCGCGGACCCCAACCAGGTAGTCGACAATTACCGACATGGCTAAGTCCACTCGTCAATGACTTCATGGATTTACGCCATGTTTTGGTTTGGCCGCCCCTAGCTTTCTTCCAACCTATTCCTACACCACAAAACAAAGCTCGACGAGGCAGTCGGTGGTTAGGCATACGCAACACGTGTCCCAACCACCTCAACTGATGAAGTTTCACCACTTCATCGATTGATCTGCCATTCTTACCTAGTACCCGTTTCCTAATAACAGCGTTGCTAACTCGGGTGTCCCACGATATACGAGCAATGGTTCGAAGACACCTATGATCGAAAACCAATAACCGACGAGTATCTTCTACTCTCATTGGCCATGTTTCACAGCCATAAAGTAAGACGGAGCGAACCACTGCGCAGTACACTCGTCCTTTAGTCAGCAAACGGATATCTCGCCTACGCCATAAGTGACGCAGGTTGGCAAAAGCCAATCGAGCCTTCTGTATCCGTGCCGAGATTTCGTCAGTCACCAGGCCATCAGCACTGATGAGACTCCCAAGATAGGTGAAGCGGTCTACACGTTCGACCACTTCACTCCCTATCACTAGTTCAGGTGCCGATGACACACAATCTTGAAGCAACATTTTGCATTTCGAGGGGGAAAACCGCATCCCGAACATGCTTGCATTGTTGCTTAGGGTAGTCAGAAGACTCTGCATTTTGTCAGCGTCTTCACCAACACAGTTCATGTACTAACCCGATTAACAATTACCTACTGGACATGTGTCGTTTTTAGATAAAATCATAACGAATATTGACCCCAGAACAAACTTATATTAACCTAACTTGTGAAAACAATTCAATAAGGCGGAATGAAATTGAAAAGAGGAATGTAAAGAAAAACCAAACAGTGGTAATGTAAACGATAGTGATAAAGACTAAACTTTGAAGAATGTGGTTCGAAAAATAGGATGAGTTTGATAGATGAAAATTATGGAAGCAATATTGCAGTTGAGGATTCAGAAGATGAAGAATGAATGGGTTTGTCACTGCAACCGATTTCGACCCAAGCTATTGGTTATGGTTGTCTGGCGAAAACCAATAAGATAATTTGGACTTAACAACATGACTTAGTCCAACAACTACTAACTTCAAGGACAGACCATGCTCTTCGGTTTGGTTAAATCTAGCTTTTTTCAACTTATTTCTATGCTGATCGCTATCGAACGCCAAGGTAGATTGTTTAGTCATCTACAAAATATATCGTAGCCACCCTAGTCATTGAAGATATACAGTCTTATCAACGAACCTGTCATATTTGCCTAGTGAACTTCACCTAACTTTACCATTGTTCACTCTGTTGTTTTGCAATAAGCGAGTAATGCTTTGAAGACATCTATAATCAGACTTTTAGCTCAAAATAACATATACTAAATTCAAAACCCGAGACAATTAATCACTCAACACATATGATTAAATAATGGTGAATATTTATTTTTAGTATTTCTAGTTGGTAAATTATGCATATATGAAGACGACGATTAAAGGTAAGAGAAAAACTGTGATCAGAATCAAACTAGAACTATGATAAATATCGGTGTGTTGTATTGTCAACTATAGTGTGTAAACCAATTATCGGCTGAATTTAATATCAACTATAAAATTCTGTCCCAGCAGTGCACTAGTAAACTTACCTTAAAAAGTTTATGAAGTAAATCAGTAAGGAACTCATTAGATGACCCAACACATTGATTAGAGTATAATCGGTGCAACCACATGTTATAAACAAACTCTAAAATGATAGAGATCTATTGCCCGGATAGATATTTTCATAGCATTACATCTGAACCAATCAGCTTGATTCCTAAACCATTTCCGGTCTTAATAGTAACATCAAGTAGTTAATAATGACGTACAGTCAGTCAGTTATAACGTAGAACCTCGTACGTACCTGCATCAGTTCGGGTTGCCGTACCATATTAGCAATCGTCAATTCAAATCCCAGTGGTAGAGGTGGTAGAAGTATTAGCAGTAATCGGAGAGATTAGGGTTCGAATATATTATTCAAGAAGCATAATCTAGTGAAATAAACTTAAAAAGAGAAAGACAACTGTGGCGAAGAATCCTGAGGATTAAGATTTGAGAGGACACAAAGAGTGGATGCACCTGCGCCATTGCAATTGTTTTACATCCATGTCATTCAGGGTCTTAAACCATAGGTTACTATCGTCTCGCGGACCCCGACCAGGTAGTCCACGCTTACCAACATGACTCATTCCACTTGTCAATGAATTCACGGATTTGTGACATGTTTTGGCTTGGCTGCCCCTAGCTTTCTTCCAACCTACTCCTACACCGTAAAACATAGCTTGACGAGACAGTTGGTGGATGGACATTCGTAACACATATCCGGAGCACCTCAACTGACGAAGTTTCAATACTTTATCTATTGATCTGCCATCCTTACCTAGTACGTCTATACCTACAATGAAGGCTTTGCAAATATACTACCTAGCTTAAAGAACATACAACCAAAAATATTTAAGGACTAATGAAAACAGTCCGTAAACTAGTGCAATTATTTACCATTATAAGACATACTACACGAGCTGGATTAATCAACCAATTTAGGTAAAGACGATATAAAACAAAATGAATTTACTAATGACACATAAAGTGGGTGAATCTGATTTACACTAGTTGTGAAGCATTGTATACGACCGAGTTACAATGCACCACTTTCTAACGGAGGTACTGTAATAATTCGATAACAGTATCGATTATTGTATATTTTATTTTGTGTGTGTATGCTTACTCGCTTATTACTTGTCTAGCCTATTATTGCCTGACTATAAATACTTAGTCATTGCTTCAGTGCATGAGAGTTGGCTCACTCGCCTTTTCCAATTCGCTTCGCTTTGCTTGTACACTTTCCACTCTCATGTCCGTCTGCTTAAATGAAAGCAAGAAATAAATTCATCTTCAAAATGGTACTTGGCTTTTTATTACCACCGTCTCACAAGCGGAAATGGACAGGAAGATTTATTTTATTGCACACTCCATTTGTCCGACTGGAGTCAAGTCTCAGACCAATAAAATGGGGAGCCCTAGTTAAAATTCAACACGAGCCACTAAAATACCAGATAAATACATCTTGACAACCCGTTGTTTTGGCATCAATTATAGCCCCAAGAAATAAGTTACTGATATATACCATTTACTACAGGACTAGCAACTCGGAACTAACTTTCAGGATATTTTATCCTTAAAAACAGGAGGCGTACAAGACAGTGACCGTGGGACCAGTTTTAAGATTACTTACACTTTTCCTTCTTCAGCATCGACATCTTCTACCTCATAAATTTCTTTATCAGAATTGTATGAAACAACTTCAGCCAGTATACAACCTTCAGATAAATTACAAGCGGCAGCTGCCACGTCAGGTTCTGGGACAAGAGCAGCAACGTGATCACCAGGATTAGCAGGAATATCAGTTGATGGTCCGATTGCACCACAAAGAGGAGGAGGACTGAAAAGTAATAATCAGTTCAACGTCAAACTAACCTCTCACCAGGTTTACCTATCCAGAGTGGAATCGATTTGGCATTTTCTTGCAAAACTGACATTAGCACACCACGGCGAAAACTTTTTGGACCAACGTGTGTTCCTAAATATTCAATATGATTTATGTTTCAACGTACTCAACTTATACTCTAGGGCACGGATTTCTGATACTTTTTCTAGAGCAGCAATAAGAGTACTGCAAGAATAAGTGAGAATTACGTGACTCACGCTTTTTGCTGTTCAGCTTCACTAATTGCTTGTATGTATAAGGACTTTAATTGATTTTTGCCAACTGTCATTATTACTGCCATAGTTTACTAACTAACCTTTAGAGCCACGTTGTTTAAAACGTAATTTGTCAAGTGAATCAAGTGTTGGTTTAACGTTGTCACAGTCAGCCTATAAATCTGATGTTTATATAAAATAAAACATACAACCGCTTTTTTACACAATGATAGAAGTTCATCGGCGCGATCTTTGACTTGAGCCTGTTCCTGAATCATATTTGTTGTAAAGGCCATATTGATAGATATGCAAATACTTATTCTGAAAGTAATTAGTGAATAAAGAGTCCATGTAACAACAGAATTCTGATAAAAAATACTTAGGTGGAACCTATGAGTCGAATACAACTGATATTTCTTAGACAATGAGGTAAACACTTTTCGTCAAATCTTAGGAGACTGGTAATACTTAACAGATGCTGGCTCTATAATATAATGTGCATTTAGCTTAAGGATAAAGAAAAAACATAACTTCTTCACATAAAGAGAAGGAAGCACGTCTTTTAAATAAAGCCCAAGCGCTCGTTGTGTTAAACGAATTATTAGCAATTATGTGACGATAAAATCTGCAGATAGAATAGCATTCATGCTATGGTATCAGATAAATACTAAAATATAATCGAAACAGGTCCCTGGAACTCATTAACCAGCATTTCCAATCTAGTTAATTCAAAAGGCTCAGAGAAAGCATAAATATCTAGGATTAACAGTACCGCCCAGTTAATATACAGCAGTAAACATGCAAGAGGATATATTAATATCTGATTTCCGGCCAAAGTAATTCCAGTGTGGCAAGTAACAACCTAAGACAGGTTCAAGTGAATTATACTTCAAAGAAAGTTTATCAGGATCAGTATTATGAGCGAAAACGTTTATGATTCAAGGACAACCATCTACACATTTCTGACTTACAATGACCTGTTATCGGGACTATTTTCTGTAAAAAACGATGATATTACGCGTATTGGAATGTATGAGACATAAATTTTAACCCTAACTTCAGCTTCTGGTAAGTGTACATCCAGTCTAAAAGTACTTTGTGCCGAAGTGTGAGAAGTAGTACGTGAGGCCATGTAGAAGACAGATCTTATGAGAAAGTAAACCAAGGACTCATTAAGCACATACAATTAAATTACTTTTAACAGAGAAGCTAATCAGCAGCATGAAAACAGGAGAAAACAACAACCGGAGTAGCGTAAGTTCTGAATGCGTTACATCGTATCCAATATCCAATATCTTTTTCATGAACTAGTATAAACCAATTGATTTCTTTGCGCTGGATTCTTGTTCTTTCAATTGTTCCTGGTGTTTGGTAGTGCCTAATGAATGGAGGTCCAGACACTCGACTGTCCAATTCAAGTCAGCTGGCAGTTGGTTGTGGGTTAGTACTTCCTGAGATTTGAATGAACACGTTTGTTTCAGAGCAGTAGGATTTCTGGATACCAGCAGCTATCACATAACCAGACCGAAGATCAGTTAGTTGCAACGTGAGGAACAATAAAGATAAAATTCTAATGTTAATATTAATAAGATTTCAGAATTAATTAAATCAATAGATAATTTAGTTTATTAATTGGTAGAGAAGATTTTGAGAGATAACCGAAGTGTAAGCAAGGCAAAGGTAACAGAGATGGACTAAGCTAGTGATCTGAGGCCTCAAGACATGCATCAGGCACAGCTGTTCCAAGAGGGAGGTGATAATCCGAATGTGGGTACGTGTTTATCAAATCTGTTCTTGGAGCTGTCCTCTGATAGGGCAGTGGTCACCTCGGCTGAAAGAGCGTTCAAAGTTGTAACGACTCCTTATGATAAACAGTGTACATGCACCTGAGCATTAGCCCACTGATGCTCAATCTTTCGAGCATTACCTCGAGGGGAGTGGTGGTGATGAATCAGCAAGCTGTGCACGTTAGAATGGTTTGGCCTTCCTAATATGTTGTACGCGTTAATCAGATCTGATTTTCCTGTAACTTAGGGGGAATATTCCCAAGTGCTGGAGTATATCTACGTAAGGTCTATTCTTCAACCCTATCACCCATTTCGTTGATCGTCTCTGCTCTCGATCCAATAGATTTATGTCTCTTTTAAGGAGAGGGAGTGCGACGACGTTGTAAACCTCCAGGTGTTGGCGCGTGTGTATCTTAAATAACGTTAAGAACAATTCTGAGGTGATGGCACCCAGCTGACTTTCCATAAAGTGTGGAGTCACATTCGCCTTGGCCGCGTCCACCATATAGTTCGGGCTTGTGTGGAGGCTTTCTGTGGTTATTAAACCGAGATTGTGCTCTGAGTATGTTATAATGCTGCTACGTAGCTATTCAGATCCAACCGACGTCCGAATTCAAATATTCCAATGCAGACCAAATACTATTCCCAATCTCCTATATATCAGAACACAACGCCGTTGGATGGAGTTGTTTAATGGGTCGAGTACAGTAGAGAGGAAGGCAGGAAGGAACGGAACCATGAAGTCTCACAGATATTGCGTATTTATACATTTAAGCTGAATAGGAAAGAGCATCGAAGTCTGTGGCATTGACAGTTTAGGACGACCAATAGGAAAGAACATTTGAAATGACATTGACAGTTCAAATGACCAATCAGAGATAACATTGAAGTATTTGACTTTGACAGTTAAAACGACCATATTTTTGACCAGTTAGATTATAATTCCAAAATTAGTGCTCTTAGGATATTTAGTGAATATCCTAACATAGGATACATAGGGAGCGAACTTCCACTGAGGGTGTAAATCGTTTGAGTCATATGGGGCAGAATGTACACTTCAGCTGTTTCGGTTTTAAGCAGTTTTTCACTGCCCATTCATCAATGGATGTAAGTTTCTTTGGGAGTTGGCAATGATAACAACTAGCAGGTCTCAAGACACCCATCCAGCACATCCAATATCTTTTTCACGAACTAGTAAAAACCAATTTATTTCTTCATTCTCGATTCCCGTTCTTTCGGGACGATTCCAGGTGTTTGGTAGTAGGATGAACAGAAAGCCAGAGGTCTCTGCAAGGACAAGTACGCCAAGCAAACAAAAATAGGGTAACTAAACCGAAAGAACAAGAATCAAGAGCACAGAAATAAGCTCGTGATAGAGTTTTGGATACTGGGAATGAAAAGTTTGGGAAAGTGAATGAAAAATCCTTAAGAAAATCGTGAGTAAATATAGTCGAAAATATATTGAACTGTCAACTTTTTCCCAACCCCATAGTAGGTAATGTGAAATTTCCCTATGCTATGGTATGCTTGCATTCAGTCTAAAGCTACATTGTATACCAGACAGCGATAAAAAGTATTCGAGTTTTTCTGGAAGAGGAAAGAGCATGAAACAGGTCAGCCAACGACTCACTATGCAGACAAAATGCACCAGTTTTTTGTGGAAAAGCAAATCGATAACAGTCAGAAATTACAAAAGCATGATATTAGGACAAACTAACAGTAGGTAACCGAAGCTGGTGTAGCAACGTTTGGCAACAAACTAGTGGCATAGTACATCGATAGAAGTTGCTGGAGCACTGAAAGGTCAAACTGTTGAGTAGGATCTAATTTTAGTCCGAGGACCTTAAGGAGACTTCTCCAAAACAAGTCTGAGGAAAGCATTGTCTTTCTTAAAGTAAAGAAACGCAACTCTGGAGTTTTTTTCACGCTTAGTCTACGGAAAATTCTAAAACATTTTGGATCATTTCGGTGTCAAGCTAGCAACATTCCTAGAAGGAAATACTGTGTCACCTTATTGTTCTCTGAGTCAGTCAATTTAAATGTGACACTGAATTTCGGTTACTTAATAGTTGGTTGAGAATGCCTTATTAAAATCAAAATCTCGAAGCCAATAGTATTTTCTTATTTCCTAATTTCTATATTAATTATAGTTTATTATGTCAAACGATAAATGTAATTAGGTTCGCATGTTTAAGTCAGGACACTGCTCAACCTGGTCTAACTATCGTTTCACGAAGGCCTAATAACTGGTGGGTTCATATTGCCAGGTCTTTATTGGACGTTTTCTGCATGAAAAACCCTTCGAGTATACTCATTTTATTACAATTTGTAAAACAAAATTATGCCTCCTAACCCTTACAGCTGACAATTCGTTGCTGTACTAACTAAAAATATCGTGACCATCACTCACTTTTATTGTAATATATGTTTTTGCTGCTTTATTACAGAATTTCTGCTATAATAATAATCATACATTTATTCTCAAATAACTACGTTACAAGAGTCACGCCAGTTTACAGGCTAGATGGAATTAATATTCCTATTGACTGCATCTGCGTTGCCTAATTTGGTTATGGGGGTCTGTTATATTGGTTAATTCACCTTTTTATTGTTTTATTGCTTGAACTGACAGAGTTTATGAGACTTTGGTTATGAATTGAAATACGGTTTCAAACTTTAAGCGACTGGTGCTTCAACAAGTAACTATGAATACTTTATTTTTGATTTTTTCATAGATTTCAGCGTCATCCATTGAACAAACTTTGTATGGTCTGCTCAGAAATGATATAAAAACATTCCCGCTTTTGTTGAAACTGAATTGATCAGTAAAACTTACTGAACAATTATTGTTTAAATAACTAAGTGGTAATATTTAATCAGGTAAAAATGTGCATTTGAATTTGTAAATTTACATAAAACAGTTCTTTCGTCAACCGTTTTGTTTTGAATTTCGACTTGGCAAGAGGAAAGATTATTCTTCGTTCCAAACTGCCACAGTTTGAAAGTTATTCTAGTTTTGAACAGAAAAAGTTTGTTTTATATATGCTTTTAAAATCAAACGTACAGATAGAAGCTTGAAACTTTTTGCTTGCATATTTTTCGTTTTAGAGTTGCTTTTCACTCGTTTATATCCCGTCAACATAATTGGTACGTATCATATAGTGCCAGACTCAACAAAGAATAGCATTACATTGTCAACTACAAGTGTTCCAGGAGATTACATGTTTGCTGAGAAAAACCTGACATCTGATTCGTGCATCTGTCGAGCTTAGCACTAGTATTTGAACATTTTATGTGGAAAAAACGGTGAAGTTCAAAAAATGCAAAGGAAAAACAGCACACCTGCAAGTTACATATGTTCATCATATTCATCATCGGAGGCCTGGAATGTCAAGTACATTATCCTTCTCTGAAAATTACACAACCATTTACCAACATATTTTTTCTCGACTGGCATACTGAGAAACAATCCTTTACGCTACACAAAGCTGATCTAGATCTGACAGGTGATAAAGACACCTATACTAATTAGATTTAGCCGAAAGGGCATAATTCTAGCCATATATTCGCCTCAAAACTTCAAAATCACATTCAAAAGTTCACACTACTTTTTAGTACTACAAAGTACAAGCTGTGAAAAAACTGTTGTGGAAGTTTGGATAGACTCTGGACTCAAGAATATTATTCATTTATAAATTGTCGGTGTTTAAATAGTTCCTGTTCCCGGAGGACGTTGACCGGTGAGAGCCATTCGCAGTAGCTGCCTTAAGAAAACATTCCATGAGTAGGAGTCTCCTTAGCTTTTTATGATACGAATTTCTCATAGCTAATCTTTAGTTTACTCCATATTGAGGAATCGGACAGTTGTTAAAAAGCAAACATCGATGATGAGGGCGATGAATTCAATGCACTCCTGTTTGTCATGGACAACATTTTGTTCGATTCGGGCTCTTTTTGATTGATGGGGAGACTAATCAGAGAAAATAAGGTTGTTCTCATACGCCAGTTTCGGATTTTATGCTGCCAAGATCAAGTGCAAGATGCCTACGAAGGCACTTACCGTATGATTTATTGGTCGGAATTCGATAAAAAATGAAGATAGTAACAAAAATAATTATTAATGCTTTCCTCAAACATTACTTCAGTTGCTGAAACTTTGTCTTCAATGCGCAGACATTCAGCTTCTATTCCATCTTCTGACTGTATCCATCTTGATAAACATTATAAATTATCGCTTTTTGTTGCTGTTCTCCCTAACTTGAAGACCCTCTAACTATGATTCATTTTAGATATAGAAGCTAGTATGAATTGTCTTGAATTACCATTATATTGTTTAGTTTAGTTTTTAGACAATGCTGTGGTCATAATTCCGTATGCCTTTTAGCCCTTCTTTCCTTTCCTCTTCAGAACCTTATCAGCAGTGCGAAACTATAGGGCTTCTAATACTTGGCATGCACCTTAAATAATAATCCGTCAAGGTCGAAGCTTATACCAGGCGCCTTCCAGTCCACAAATCTTACCAAGTATCAACTTACTGACCGTCATGCAAATACTGTACAAGCAAATCTATCTTGACAACGTTTCTTGAATCACTCAGTAGGTCCGATCATAAATGGATATACCGTACATAAAGCATTAATGCAGAGGACATGCTGACAGGTTTTGGAGAAAAAATGTCAAAAACCATGGGGAAAAAGCAGTACAGTAACAGATGGGCAAACAAAAGCTCTCAGGTAGGGAAAGTAGGATGTCTTCATTAAAGTCAATATCGATTAGGCAAGCACCAACTCCACAGAAGACATGCGGAAACTCCAAACCGTTATAGAATCTATCTAATCAAACTTTCTCGGCAAACTTGTATCTCCCAACATAACCTAGAGAAGTGCAACGATGACCTAAAAAACCCATACATTCTGAGGGAAATATGAGGAAACTACTAGCTTAAGCTTATCAGCGACGTTCCACAGACGCCTTGGGAAACATTCTCTTACGTGAAAGTTAGAATTGCGCAATGTGTCCCAGTAAATATGGACTCCGATAGAGCAGTCAATCATGTTTGAAAGAATATGTTAATAAAATAGTCACTGAAGCTCAAGAATACATTGACCTAACTATTTGTGCGGCTTACCGAGTAGGATGGGGATTCTAGACCACATTTCATGAAGATAACTTTACCTTCTACCAAAATGGTGGCTGTCACTGTAGAGCTGTTTCGTCCTAATCTACTTTGGTTGCCGACTGGAATCCACATGCATTCGGACAGGCCATTTAGTAGGAGAATTGTTCACGGAAGGAAATTGTATCTGATCTTTCCAGTTCCAGACTTTCAAGTACGAAAAAAGTGTAAAGGACAAAGTCCACCCACTTGGAGAGCCCGGTGTATGTAGACTGCTGTCAATTCATAGCTGACTCTTTCGGCAAAGCAGAATGTAGACTCTCATAAACCAAAAGTATCAGTAAGCCTACCGGAAAAATGGTTGAGTTGTTTGAACTAAGCAAAGCTAATAATATTAATCTAGTAGTAATATCTGATACATGAGGGTATTCTGGCTTGTAATTCCCAGCATGTCTTTGATTCATCTCAGGAAAAGTAGATTGATATGCCGATAGTCTCTTTGCCTACGATCCCGCTTGGTAAAACTCAAAGTGTATACTAAATAGTTAATCTGTCTTCATGAATTTGTATGCTAATCAGCGAGATTTTCCAACTCCTCAAGATGTCTAGTCTAAGCCATCTACATAAAATCTATCGCTGACAGTGAATAAGACAATGGAATGTTGGAGGTATTACCCCTCTCTAGTCGTTTCAAATACACTCGAATCTTTATTTTAGGAGATTTCGATCTTCCTAAAGTCAATCGCACATACAATGGAGCTGATAACAATAACTAAGCTCGTTTCTTCAACCTTACTGAGGGACTGGGATTATTTAAAAACGTGAAGTCAGCCACTCAGTGGTTGCTTGGTTTGCATATTCAGAAATGAAGCGTTTTCCACTGAAAATTTCTCATTCAAGAAGCCTCTGGGGAAAGGTGAGCACACCGCCATGAAATTCAATTTTATGAGTGAAACTGAGTCAAAACATTTTAATATTAACAATCGTTAAAAATCCGAACGCCTGGATGTGTCTGCAACATGTGGATCAGGAAGCCGGCCCCCGATTTGACGAGGGCATCTAATGGGATCGCTTGATAAACAAGATCTTACATGCTACAAACCAGTCTGTCCCACAAATAGTCACCAGAAGTGTAAAGCAACAGACAGTCATGAGTAATCTCACTCTTCAGATGCTAAAACTTGAAGAGCACTTCTAGAAGGCATATAAACGACTTAGTGATGACAGCATAAATAAGTAGTTTAAACTAACAAGAAGCCAAGGTATAAAAGCACTGAGAGAAGTTAAGCTTCACCATTAAATCAAGTTAATCAACAAATTAGTCTCTAGTTCGAAGAGCTTAGTTCGTTTTCAAGCCTATCTCCGGTAAGCTAAAGCCGGAATTTCCTAGTTCTTAGGCCGTAATAGCCCGACCAACAACGACAATGCTGCACAGCCTCTGGAAAAATAGTATCTCCAATCATTTCAATCATCACACATAACCTACATTAACGAGGAGTCCCAGAAGTGACCAAAGTGCTGTCACAAGCTAAACCATTTGAAACATGACTCTTCAGGCCCGAACATCATCCACTCTGCCGTACTGAAAGTTTTCGATCCCATCTTGGCAACATCACTTAGTGTGCTGTTTTTACATTCATTTAATGAAGGTACGGTCCCAAGAAATTGGAAGCTGGTGAATTTTACGTAAATTTTCAATGAATATCAACCCTACGAACCTTCAAGTAACTGTTTGGCGATACGACTTTCAAAACCATCAAAAGTTATGGAGTCCATGATATACAACGATCTATGAGACTATTTATTATCCACTGACTTCTTTCCAATCCAGCAACATGGAGTTAGGAATAAGCACTCCTGTATAACCAACCTGAAAACTGCGACGGACAGGAAAACAATCATCCTTGGCCACAGATGGAAAGTTGGTGTAATATATCTGAAATTCTCAAAACCCATTGATAGGATACCCTATCTAGTACCCTACGACCTACAGTCCTACGCTAACCACTACAAAAATGCATTTCGGACAAACGTTGCACTGGTAAAGCTAAAACACATATATGGCTAGTTTGATAGTGGAAGGTTCAACCTAATGCTTAACAGCTTTATGCAGCCTCATTTGGAGTATGATGATATAATGTTGCCTTCCTCAATCCAAAAATATAAGATTACACAGGAAAGTATCCCGAGTTATACCACGAAATCAGTTAGAGGACTAAAATAAAAACCTTATGAAGAGCGCCTCGGGTCACTAGATCTTTAGCCGTTAGATTGTTAGTGTCTCAAAGGTGACCTTTTGATGACTCAGAGCATTCTAAGCATTCTTGAGGACCTCTTTAAATACTTACTTCGGTTAAGTCTTGACATAAATCTTGGGAAAAATACTTAGAAACTACAGGCCTAATAGACTGCAAGCACACCTTCTACTCTTTGTGAGTAACGAAATCCTGGAATTCGCTACTAACTGGGGTTGCTCAAGCTACTTCCCATGAGTATTTCAATAAAACCTAGGTTCCTACACAGAGGTATCAGTGATCAACTGTAACTAGTTACAGAAGCCCGTTATGTCGAAGCTACTTCCATTACGTCCACAACTTCTGGTGAACACGTAACAGAATTTAATTAAGATGCGCTAGCTACAAGGTGATTAATAATATGCCAGAAAGTAATGCCAATATATTATGCTAACATGGTCACACCTCAGTAAAAATAAATAGTAGAAAAATAGCACTCCGAAGTAGTATAGTAAACAACAATAATATATTAACAAACGTTAAATAAGCAATATTATCTGGAAGTTTCGTCTTGGATCAACACCAAAACCAGGGTCTACTCAGTTTTACCAATGTTCTGCATGGTATGCCTCAACTTCCTAAAGAGGGAACATACAAATCTAATTGACTCAATGAAGTAAATTTCAGGCCGACAGACAAATATAGCGAAGAGCGGCTTGAGAAGCAATTTCGCAACGCTATTAAGATCTCTAAATCACAGACCGGGGCCAATAAAGCAGTAAACTGAAAGGTGTAGGTAGAATTTATTTGAACAGTAAAAGGCAGCAGAATAAATCAAGCAAATAATGTCCGTTCACAACTGGTACAAATAAACGGCAGATGTTGGATATAATTATGACTACACGGAACGATGAAAATAAACAAAAGATTTGAATTCTAAGTTGTGGTCATAAAAATTATTAAGTATGAATGTCACGGTAAATCACTTGAAGCTGTATTGAATATGAGACGAAATCTAGGAGTCTGTCCTTGAAGTCTAATGCGGATGGATTGGTTTTCATGTTATTTACTCTTTGTACATATCTGAGGTTTGCTTCCATTAGGACCCAGAAATCGAGCTAGACTGACCTGAAGATCCCGATGACGACTGTCATTTCAAGACATACTTCTACTATTTCTCTAGTTTCTCAGAATTCAGTACAACTGGAGGCTGGATTGTTGGTTCAATGCTTAAACCGCTATAAGGAATTTTTAGAGTGTGGATGCGAGAAGCTCTTAAACTCCAAATTTTCAAAAAGAGGAGCAGGTATGTACCTTTAATTAACTAAATACAACTTTATGACCGCTGTTACCTTTCACAAGTGGTTCGGTCAGTATTAACCGAAATCATTGTGGTATACTGGAATCGAGTGTTAGTTTTTAATTAGGTTCAGCTATATTAGGAGTTTAGTATCCAAAGGTTTTTAGTTCCACGAAAGTTTTTTCTGAACATGAATTTGAGACAACCCATGTATTTTCTTGTTTGTAAGCTAGTATTAACTTTATCATAGTTACCTATAAGTCACCTTGAAATTTATTACATCAGACTGTTAACTGCATGCCAATCCCTGTGGTTTTTAGCTTCTGAGAAGGATTTAATTTTTTTTAATATATTGTAGGTCCAAGTTAACATTCATTGCAGCCAATATAACTTTATCAGACTTGTAGTATGTAAAGCCAACCACTACGTCTAGGTGGAAGCAGTGGCCGCTTAAAATTCCGTCGCAGATTAGATGTGACTTACACCGAATCGTTCTCCCTACCTATTTGGTGGCTAATCACAGTCTGCCTTAAAATGTCTTAGACATTTCTAACGTCCTTTCAGATTCATGTTCTCTACCCACTTGATCACCATTATATTGCCAAATATACTTGTTCTGATTGCTGACCGTTCTTGTTGACCAGGAAGTTAAAAAAACCAATCTGATGATTTCTTATTATGTTTCAACTGAGCTACTTACGAGTAGTCATGAATGTGTTTAAGGTAGCCTGTTTTATCATGATGATACTTGACTCAATACAAGATCAGTAAGTTTTCGTTTCTTAAATATAGGTAACGGATTATCTATATCTTGGTGTTAATGTTGCTGTTCAGTTGTTTGTAATGTACCCTTCTTGAAGTCTTTCAGAATACTGTCTTGTCTGTTTTGATACTGAGATGTTTTTCAATCATATAATTGTAAATGATTATTTTCAGTTTGTCAGTATATACATATATGTATTATCGGATCGTTTCTCTGGAATTGTAACAATGGTTTAGTAGGTAAAGCACTCAGCTCTCAGTCATTCGATCATATCTTGACCATGCTCAACGTAGTATTATTGTTATCAATAAAACTTGCAAAACGTTTCAGTGTTTGAAAGATTAAATTGTACTTCGTAAATCCTTTAAATTAACGTACAAGTAACACATTTTGTGTTGATAGTGCCATGCGAGAAATTCATCAGTTCATGTAGCTGCGTAAATGGAAACAAGCTATGGCAAAGTTCTCACGTCGGAACTTGCTCAGCACGTAATCAATGTGCCAGAAGATTGAGATATAAACCTGAGGAATGAAATTGTTCAAGAAATAAAACAACCTAAGATAAAAACAGGTTATGAGATGACATCGTTTGAAAATGACGGAAAGATAAAGAGGGCTAAACCTTCACTGCTTTGATCTCCAGCTGTAATACACACAGTCACTAACCGTAAATTTTTTATGGGAGCAAACACGTCTGGCCAGTCAAATTTTAGACATTGTGTCCAAGATGTTTCTGTCGGTTTAGGTTTCAAAACTTACGAGTTCACTTATTGTTCTCGCCTATAGTATCACATAGACGACCGTAGTCAACCGGGCCTTTCTCCACACAAACTGTCCTCTGACTTATTTTAACAAATAAGTTTCAACTGTGCATTCAGTGGTCACAGCAATTTACTGTACATCTCCTTTTTAATGAAAAACGGTATCAGATTATGATAGATGGCATAAGGATGAGAATAACAAAGGGTTTACCATTAATTGGTTTTAACCACTGAACTACAGATTTAAGCCCATCTTAGCAGTCACTCAGTCAGTTAAAACGTAGAACTTTGTGCGTGCGTACTTCATTTCAGGTTGCCATACTACATTAACACAGAGACTCAACTACCAGTTCAAATCCCATGGTGGTAGAGATAGTAGAAGTATTAGCGGTTATAGAGAATATTAGGGTTCGAAGATATTATTCAAGTAGTATAATTAATAGAAATCAACTTAGAAAGAGAAATAGAGAGGTGATAAGGCATTCAGAAGATAAGAATTTCAGAAAGCACAAAGTGTAGATGCACCTGCACCACTGCATACGATCTTGAGCCATGCAATTCAAAGTTTATAACCATCGGTTACTGTTATCTCGCGGACCCCGACCAGGTAGTCTACGCTTACCAACATGACTCATTCCACTTGTCAATGAATTCACGGATTTGTGACATGTTTTGGCTTGGCTGTCCCTAGCTTACTTCCAACCTACTTCTACACCCAACTTAGCAGAATCGCATCATTAAGGTTCACGACGTATTCCTTCTAGCCTAGCAATAAGACAATCATAATTTTGTGTCATGGTTAGCTATGTATATATAATTTTAGTTCCCTTGGTTTTTTATACTCTCCTACAGGTTCAAATGTTTTGAACAATCCAAATTCATCATTTAGTGATGACACCACTGGTAATGATTCAGCACTGTCAAGTATCGGTTTCGAAAACATCACAACTTCTGTTGTTCGGAGACTGGACGCTGGCGCGCGTGAAAGCTTAGGCCAACATCTAATTCAGTTGTTGGCCACTATTGTTCTACCCGATCCTCCTCAATCTATAAGTGAAGTGGATAGTCGTTTAGTGGACGGTTTGCCAGGCATTCCTGATAAGCTAATGCCATCTGATAGCGATATGGAGAATTACCGCAACTTGGCTGAAAAAGGACGAAAAAAAGCGTTGAATTTACCATTTGACAAAATATTTAGTGCCTTAAAAGTATGTATATATCTGGTTTTGGTACTCTTAGATTTCAACTATAACGAATTTAGTCGTAATAATTGGTTTTAAGTTATACAATAAAAAGGGAAATATGAATAAAGGACAAACAAAACAAAGCTTCTCTGCTCACTTATTACTGAACTATAATCTGTTATGTAATTTAGTTTTATTGTTATTAAATTATTGATCATGTAAAAAGCATGTATTATAGTGTATGTCGAAAATATACAAATTCGAATTGACACAGTCTACATAGTAATATTATGAGGACAATTAATCAAATACCAACCATTCATGTACCAACTAACATAGTACGAGCGTAAGTTTTTAGTTCTTTCAACTAAAGTTCACAATCCTAACACTTGATTAACTATTTACGTAATATCAGAAACGCTCATATAGTAGCTGTGTGATACATATATACATATTCGCCTGCATACATGTACTCATAATACCTATAAATTTTACCCACAGCTTCTAATGCTTATTTTTAATCAAAGTTAAGCAATATAAAGCTTTTGAATTTAGAGTATACCTGATTTGCAGTAATAATTCTTATCTCATCTTTGATGCAGCATGCTTAGATTTCATTTTATTTTTTCCCTGTTGTTCATGCATAAATAATCATATGTGTTGAGAATTCACGTGATTTGTATTGTGAGATATATATTATATATCTAAAACGTTTTTTCTTTACTGAAAACGCGTGATTATTTAGACCCTGGAGTAGCAAAATCAAGGGGAGAAATGGTATTCATCTAGATATTTTGATTTAATAATTAATTAATTAATTAATTAATAGGTTTTAACATTTGAATATATATTTATTGTTCGCTATTTTATGTCATCGACATTATTATGAATAATAATCATAAACAATATTTTAAAAATATCGTAAACAATTCTTCCTTTCAAGTATTTCAAGGTCATTTCCTATTTATATTTAATATTATGAAGTTAACCTGATAATAAAGCTGGTTAATTAATAACTGTCGTTATGGGTTGACATAAGAACAACTATCTCTGAGAGTGATGATTTTAAGATGTTTTAGCATTAGCTTAACTCAGATCTAGGCGACAAATAATTCTCTGCTATAAATATTGGAGCATAGTAGTTGTAGCAATAGGCTTATAACCAGTAAGCTGTTACTTTGGGTTCTTCCCCACCTTATTCGATTTCGAGAGCTGTTTCGTATCTCCAGTTCTAACCCAAACAATATGATTTACAAACGAGTAGACAAAACCTATATTTGATAGGTGGATTAAATCTAATTATTTATATTGTCGCCAAATTAAAGTAGTTTTCTTTACTTACTAAACTCTGGCTTTGTTTATTGCTTGCTCTTAAAGACCACTATTATTTATTTAATTTGTAAACAATCTAAACAGAATCTAGACACACAAGATTATTGCTTTTAAATATTAAATCGTAACTACACTGTAAGCAAAAAATTATTTTGGAATAGCTATTTGAAATTTTATTTATACCGTGTTAGTGGTATTACATAATGCTGACATAACTTGGAATACTCAACTTTTTATGTCAGTTACACATAATGTGGTAATAGCTCTCGATATTATATCTCTCCCAATTATCATTCCGTAAATCAAGGTTCTTCCACCAATGTTAGTCTGAACAGAGGTTGAACTCCAAAGTGTTAGTGATAGATAGTGGATAACAATGTTTTTCATAAATAATAGTTTATATTGACTATCGAAATTCTTGTTAGCGATATAATGATACCAACTACTTAACGAGTAATTTTGTCTGTATCAATCTCATTCATGCATAGGAATTCAGTGGACGTTTCAACTTCAATGTGTGCGTTTATATTGTTGCTATAGCTGAACATGTGATTGGAAATTTCTTACAGGTAAGATGCTTCATTCAATTAATTAACCATAATGTATATGATTTATTCAGATTGCTTTTGTATACAGCTTGTGTAATTACTTAAAATTATTCATCGTTTTGCATTGAGACCAGTTAAACATCTATCAGACGTCAAGCCGAAATTTTAATTGTAAAACGTTAGTTTCACTGAAACAGGCATTTTGTTTTTTAACCAACAGATTCTGGTTAGATATTTATTCTACTTCTGTTAACTTGAATAGCCAGACAGTTTGTATGGTTATCCCTCACAAAATGGACTCAATTTTTGGCGTTGTATACACATTCACACGTCATCGTTGTTAGATTTCTATACATCCATTTGCTAACCCTATAATTCAAACCCTATGGCGAGTTTTGAAGATCAACTAATATACAAATCTGATTTTTGGGTAGATTTGTGTTTCCAGCACATCTCTCTCTCTCTCCAGATACATATATGCTTCTTGAAGATTCTCTACTAGTCTGTCAGTTACAAACAACGCGGAGCCTTTTGCAAGTGTTTATTGTATCAGCTTAAGTGACTCCACAGTGCATTATTGGAATAGGCAACACATTGGTTAAGATAACCATGTCAATGGTAAAAGAAGAGTAAATGTCAGAGGTGCAGTTTAAAACGAACTAATAATCTCAGAAAACGGCAAGTACTAAATAATATTAATCACACTAGATGACGAATAGATACTTGTATGTCACTATAAATGGTTTTGAGCCATGTCATCGTAGGTCTTCAAGCACTGATTACGTTTACTGAATGGGCATAAACTGAAACATCTACATTTTCCCATACCAATCAAGCCAGGAGACTAGTTCATACTTTTGATTTGGCTACTTCCAGCTAATTTCTGTGTTATCCGAGTACAGAGTACCGAGATAAGCTGTAAATGAGATCATTAAGCTTGTCTCAGTCGACTAAGTTCATTACCTAGTTTAAAATCAGTATTACTCAGCAGTTCCACCGTATGCATGAAATGTTTTGAAGGTACCTATAAACAAACTACTGTTACATTATATATTCATCTATTTTTAATGACTGTGTTTATGATTACGCTGCTTACTCATGCTTTGGCAAACACACCGAAATTCCTACTGAGCCTCAAACATATTCATTAGCATCGGTAGATTTGCTGGAATTAAGTATCCTCTGTCCTGTATAAATGCTGTTTATATTTCATTACGGGGTTGTGTAGATTATTAAGTTACACATTTTGAAACCATGTTTATATTTACCTATTTCTATTTTAGGCTGCCATTTGCTACGAAGATAAGGCTCTGACTGAAAATGTTATTCGAGCATCAACTGTTGAGGTGATTTGTGTGTTGTTTTTAATATTATCACCATTATAACTGCAATTTTATACATGGGTAACTGTTGAAACATTTTTGCTCTATTTCATATTGATTTGTCACAGTTCAATTAGGGAATTTTTATTTTGGGAAGATTCATGTTCTTTTGTATCCCCTTCAATAAAAACATGTTTTTTTGTAAATGCACCAAATGACTATTAATATCGTACTACCTCTCTACCTACTAAAAATGAAAGATTTTTATTATCTACCTTAAGTAATGCATATTTCTCTAACGAACAAAACTAAAATACATCTTCAACATTATCTATAATTAAGTTTCTCATTTGAGATCATAATAATAGTTTCCAGTTACATTTGATAGACCTAAGACCTTCATTATACTCTTTGTAATTAAGACAACTCATATTATCCAGAGATATCTCAAATGTCAACACACGTTATTTAAAAAATCCAATAACGATAGAAAAATTCTGGAATCTACTTTCAGCCAATTAGTCGCCTAAGTAAATTTTTAAAAGCTGTTGTATTTCTGTTCTGTCTTGACCTAATCATTTAAAATCCAAATTACTACTAGTTTTCGCATTTTTTCCAGTTTACTCATTGAAGTCACTTATAAGTTTTAAAAAACATTTCTTTTGTGTAGTTGCCGTAGACCTGGAAGTAAACATTCTGCCACATTTCAGCCTTCTAATTTTGTTATCTAAATGATACTTAACAATCGGTTAAAATATTTCCAGTACAAGAGTTTTGTTTACTAAGGTTATGTCAATTTTACAAGTTTGTTCACTTACTAGTCTATAGATTCTTGATTAAATCAGTGTTGAAAATGATACGGTGATGCATTATTCGCACTTTAGATATTCAAACGATTTCGCTCAAGAGTTTATAGATAACTGGATTGTGTGTATGCTACGTTTGCTAACTATGTTTACTCACTATGCAATCAAGACATTGGAGAGATTAATTGTTTTACAAAATGTGGGTGCTTCAGTGAGGATTACTGATACAATAAATAGTTTTTTGTGGTACTAAAATCGTTTATTTGGAAATATAAATGTAGCTATGTATTGTATATAACTCTACTTGGACATCTGAATATCTAAAATTCTCACTACCCTGTCTCTGAATAATTCAGGTCTATTTATTTTGAAGAATATATCTTTTCTTGTGTTATTAATGATAGTATGATAAGAAATGGTTCACTATTGGTAGAGTAATTTGATGCAAACTTCAATCAATCAATCAATCAATAGCAACGTAGAACTTCGTAGGTACGTACATCAGTTCAAGTTAACATACCACATAAGCACAGAAATGCAATTGTCACTTCAAATCGCATAGTATTAGAGATAGTAAAAGTATTAGCAGTTATCAGACAGATTAGGGTTCAAAGATATTATTCAAGAAGTAGGATCTAGTGAAAGAAACTTTAAAAGAAAAAGATAAAGATGATGAGGAACTCTGATGGTTAGGATTTGAGTGAACACATCAGTCATTGAGAATGTGGTATTTAAGGGACGAAATTTAAGCTATTATGACTTTATACCTTAGAATTTTATTTCAAAATGTCACATTATAAAACAACCACTTTTTTTTAGCATAAACTGATGAAATTTTTTTTAAAAAATGGGACATTTTTCAACAAAATAAAATACATATTGTAAATGTGTTTAAAGAAAGCAAAATCCATTACATCCATTTATTACTATTTTCAATTTTTTTTAAAAATATTTATCTATGATTTAGAAATTGTTTATCTTGTATCGAGATCGTGTTAAACCGCGTCGTAAAATGTTTGAACATCGTTTGGCAACAGCTAATCTTTTTCCTCAAGACTACGATAAGTAAGTTTAATTCAAATCACTCTTGTTATTATATTTTTGTTTATTTGCTATTTAAAATTTATTTTTATTGCTCAAACTATGGTAAAAAAAGTAATAGAAGTCTAACTTGATGTGTATACTTTATTCATTCTATTCTTTTGGTTTTGCTGGAAATTTACTACCACTTCTAACTGGAGTGTATACGTCAGTGTTGTTGTCTACATCGAGGACAATAACAATGACAACAGCGAAAACAAATTGTTAAGTTCAGAAAACTCTATATAACTGAAGGCACTTACTTGCGCTACAATCCTACATTATTTTGTTCTATTATATAGATAGACTGATGATACTCTTATATTTTGGCCTCATCTTGTGAGGAGTTAAATTGATGTTGTCAGTGGTTTTTATCCCAAGTTGATCTGAGCAAAAAGAGACCATTAGAAAACGGCTTGCACAACGAAGATAAATTTAAAGATACTATTTTTTAATATCACGTATGTTAAGATGTGAGAAGCACTAGTCAGTGAGTCAGTCAGATACAACTTAAGACTCTATAGGTATGTACATCAGTTCAATTTGCCGTACCACATTAGCGAAGAAATCGAATAGTCAATTCGATTGTCAATTACTTGGTCTTACTCATTTTATCTGTAATAATTAATGACAAGTAAATTGACACTTTCGCCTAGCAATTGGGTTTCAGCCACATTTTAAATATAAGGGCTAGTGATATTACTTGGTTGCTAAACTGAAGTAGTGGAAGAGGGGTTGTAATTTGTATTTTGTTAATTGAAAATTAAACGCCATAACCACTGTATGGTTTAGGTGAATTGTACACATTCGTGATACCTTTGATGACCACTTGGTGTAATTCCTAATCTGTTTAGTCAAATAATTTGTTTTAGTTTTCTGAAAACTTTATTGCTTGAATTGGGTGCTAGATAATGAATATTTAAGGTATCGTGTTTTAACTAGTAGTCATTATCACAAAACTCGTTTATTTTGTAATATGATCATGTGAAATAATATGGAGAGCTGAATATAATGGTCGTAATTATTTATTAATTGAATGTCCGCCCGATTTTCATAACCAATCTTTGAAGACATTAGATAACATAGTTTAGAATCGGTCACAGTGGCACAGATTCAGTCAATGTTTGTATATCTTCTTAAATTCAATTGTATATGCCTAGTGTTTTCGACTGGCGCTTATACTGCTTCCATTTTTACTTCTACTATTTTTGTCTTGATAATTTCTCATCACTGTACTTATGTCGTGTGACAACTTGAACTAATCTACCCAGGTTCTATGTTTCATACAATTAAAATTTTTGTCTGTTTATTTATTATCATAATCTGAGATAGTTTAATTTTGATGAAATATTGGATCAAATTATATTCGGTTTCAATAATCAGGTGATTAGAAATCATTTTATATATTTGAAGATTAATACAACTTGTATTATGTATATTTACTTGTTAAAGTCAGTCACATATTTTTGGTTTTTGTCAATTGGGAATTGAGTATTTTAATGAAAATGAACGTTCATTTAATTTAGTATGATAATTATTATTTGCAAGATGTTTTCATTAACTATTATCGTTATTCGTTATCCATACACACACACACTTTTGAACGAAATGTACATAACATTTTAGGGTCATTATCGTTGTTATTAGCGCATCAATAAAAAACTATTTATTATATACTAATGAAAACTTAATAATTTTAATGTCATCTTAATTGATGAAATGTATTTAATCCTATGTTGTAGTTAACATAGCGCTACTACGGATCATGATAATCACAACTTAGCAGTTAATACGAGCACTAGAAATAAATTTTAGTGTGTTTGTGTTTTTGCTAGTTGTTCTACGCTTAAATGAGAGTTTCCCAGTCAACAAAATGTCATCCACTATCCCACTGGTGGTCAAAGACAGGACCCTCAGGTTTTACTACTAGCCTTGACCGATGGGAATCAGTTATGTCCAGTGAGTGGCAGTTACTGTCCGATGACATTAAAAGACAATTGCCCAATATTACGAATTGGTTTAAATTAAACATTGAAGCTCTGATTTAGATCTATGGTGGGGTCAATGGTGTACATTGTTAAGGAGTTCCATATTAAAGTGAAATAGCTATCCAGTGATTTCTACTTGTCAATGCTCAAGTAACAAAGTAGTATTATACTGTGAACTATAGGATTGAATAATCTCTATAAGCCCCTACACTAATATTGTGTACTTTATTGATTACATGCAGTTCAGTTTGTTCAAAAATGATATGGGCTTAATATTTTGGATGAAGATTAAAATTATTTGGTTATTTAAAGAGGCTTATTTAATTTATATTCTCACTTGTAAAATGATGTTTTATAATCAAGTATTTAAGTGCTTTGGCCAGAACTTATGGTCTGCTTTCTAATACTGTATGATTTGTTGTACTACAACTCTGGTTTTAAAAAAATTTATTTTGGCCAGGGTGAACTAATTGAATGTCATTGCAAATACTGCCAATCATTTACCCTGATTTATGAGTTACATTATTTGAGCAATCATAAATTATTAACAACTTGCGAGTCTCCATTTTAGGTATTATAAGCCATGTCTTCTAAATACCGTTGAGGCTGTTATGAATTGTAAAAACCAAACATTTTCGTAATGTGTGTAGTGTACTATCATTTAAATGATACAACTATTGTTAGAAATAGTTTGCCTGTTAGCTTTGTCAGAAGTCAGCTGTTTACAACAAGCTAACTACCTGGTTTTTTCATTTAGATTTCAGAATCAAATAACAGCTTACTAGTAAAAAATTTGATTAGGTTCATTCGTCTATCGATTCTATCATACACACTACAATAACAGAGCCAATACAGATAAAACTGTAACGTTTGGAGCTATCTTATGAAGAGTTATTGTCGATATTTTTATTGTAGCATTATTAGATATTTGCATCATTGTATCCTTACATTCTCTTATCTGTAATTTTTTGTTTAGCGCGTAAACTTTTGTTGTATGTTTTACCTTTCTCAAGCTATCGTCAGTCAGGAACTTATGACTTAGTTCTCTTGCACTTATGGCATAAGTCTACAGACATTGTATTTTTCGATTCATGTTGACGTTTGGTCAGGAAATTACTGTGGAATGTTGTATAGGTTGAGTCATATAACTAACAGCCTCACAATAAACACGATATTAGCTTTCTGGCTTGGTCCTTCATCTGTACTCCGGCCTCCACCCCGAGGGTTAATAGCGTTAAAATTTCGGTTGTAATCTAATCATACAAAGGGGCAAGAGAAGATGGAATATTTTAAAGCTATAACGTATACATTTTCTAACTATTTAATATTTTACTTCCTGTTTTTATGGATGATAATAAACTTAACTGGATACTATACAGAAATGTAATCTACAATTGTGTGTGTACACATCATTTTATACTATATAGTTAGTCAATGATAAATATATGAATACCTTTTATTATTTGTTTCAAATCTCCTCTTTTTCAGGTGTGTTGATGAATTATGTAGTTTTCTGCATACGTGCTTAGAACAAATGAATTTACTAATACGTGTATTTCGTGAACCGATATTATCGGTGAATTCTTCATCATCAGCACCAACAACGGCAACCACATCTTTTGGAGAACAAACAACGACAACAACAACATGTACACATGCAAGTGAAGATACTACACAAGTATTATTTGGTAACATATTAGATGTATACAACAATATGCGTATTCTTCTGGATACTATTGAAGCAGAAGATGAAGATAATTATTCACCGAATATTATCAAATCTAAAAATGACTGTACATCGTCAACATCATCATCATCATCGGCAGTGTTGAATAATGTGAAACCTGTTAATACTTCTTCTACTAATGGTAAAAATAACACAACATTAGTGAATTCATTGTCTGAAACATCGACTACACTCGAGTCAATACCAGAAAAACAATTTTCTAGTAATAATGATAACAATGAAATGAAAAGCAACATTAAACGCAATAATGAATGTACGCATAAAAACATCAACAATAACAGTTTATCAGCATCAACATTCCATTCAAATTCTTCAATTGGTCATAATGATGAAGATGATGATCATGATCATCGTCGTCATCCTCAACGTAGTAAACAAGATTCATCAATCAAAAATCATAGTAATAATAATAATACTAATCAAACTTATCCTAGACGTTTAGTTGGTATTTGTTTAATTGAATTAGCTGAAGATGATTCATTGCATGCATTCAGTCAATATGCTACTATTGTACTAGATTCTAATTCAAGAGATCGTGCTTGGAATTTAATTGAACATGAAAGTTATGCACAGGAATTATGTCAGTTAAGTCGAAGTATTGTGCATACAGCTTCATTGAATCATAAAGTAAGTTTATTGTGCCTTTGTTGTTTAAAAAAAGTATTGATTCAAATACAGTGTATGAGTGGCGAACAGAATCAGTTTGTCAATGTTGGACTGAGCACAAATTTTTTTTTTCCACGTTTCTACGTTTCAAACCAACACAACCAAAGCGAGACTGAGCAAAACTAAATTCATAGATATTGTAATAATTATATGGATTACAATGGAAAACTAAATATTAAGCTCAGAAAAAATAAATAAGGATACCGCATCTGTGTATATCATGACTAAGAATGCATAGCGTATATCCCGTTAACCTTAGTTTATGAATTTTAAAAGGTTTATCAGCTGATTTATCATGTGTACGTAATACTTAGTTTAGCAGCGTTATTCAGTGGGTGGTTCTATCCTTTAGGAAAGGTAGTTCAACAACATTTATAACGAAAAATTAACAACCTGCATACTCCTTGTAGTTCCGAAATTGTTTCACAACCGTGAGAAATACCAAGCGTACTGTTCTTCAATTGACTCTCTCTTTGTTAGATAAAATATTTGGCTCGTACTGTAGATGAAGTGTATTTAAAAAAGTGGAACAAACCTTTTTGTTTGCTAGAATTTTATTATATATCGCCTTCAGGGTTCTTGGTTGCGTCACAGAATCAACCTATGCTATCCTGGTTGTAAAATGGTGTCTAGTTTTCTCAAGAACCAATGTTTAAAACCCTCTTATGAAGTATACTTAAAGTTTGTAAATAATCCTCAAGGAGTTCAATTTTCATTCATTAAGTTCTAGGTTGGGAGTCTAATCCGTCTGCTGTAACTTAGGTAATCGAGAAGTTTCCCTAATCCTAATAATTAGAGCTTGGCTCAAAGCCAAGTACGTGAACTGGTACTTGATGAATGAGTTTACAAGACTTTTAACATCGGTTTAAACGCTTAAAGGTAAAAATCTAATATTTTGTCATGCTTACCATTTGGGCTTAGAAATCTCATCAATAGTTCCATATCTCTAACTACTATGAATTCACTGATGTTTCCTTGAACACAATTTTTTTCATACATTAACTATATTACTTGTTCTAGTATATTCGTAGAACATTTCTTTAAATTGATAACAGTCTAGGCCTGATCAATCGTTTCACTGAAAATAAATTCTGTATAACATTGTTAAAGATAAATGTAGAATTCTAAAAATAAAAATTCTGTCACATACAAATACAGATTTTCATGGTTGATATCATCAAAATGTTCATTTTAAAATAAATCATCTTAGTATTATTTAAAAATACAATGCAAATGCAAATGTAAATGAACTCCGAGAAAAGGGAAAATCATCTATGTTGAAAAAAATTTATTAGTTTCAATTTAAATTAAAACACTTGATCGATCGTGATATGATTTTTTTAAAGTTATATTTGTGATAAAGATAGTTTTCATTGGTTTTTTATTTTAGTATCCTCAGGCTTACAATTCATTTTCATCACCATCACCAACAACAATGACTGACTTTCACTCATTTACATGTTCACGTTGTCAACATTGGGATACAATCGTGACTAAACCACGTCGTCGATCCACTTCAACAACTGTTACACCTTCAACTAATGATAATAATCATAATAATTCATCCAGTGTATATCACAATAAAAATGCTATGTCGACTTCAGTAGATTCAGCAGATAAAGTTGATTTAACATCAAGAATCTCATCAAGTCGTCATCATCAACATCATCGTTCACCGCATTTATTAGAAATGAATACTTCATCTTATGCAATGAATTGTAATTATTTAGTGAATGCAACAAGATATTTACTTCCACGAATCATTCTACTGCCAATATTTCATTTTTTTTATTTTCATGAATTAATCGAGGTAAGATAAAAGCGTAAAATTTATCAAAAAAGATTTTAAATAATTTTATTCTTGTTTTTTCTTCCTGTGAATTAATTCTAATTAAAATTTATAAGACAACGCTGACAACTGTATTGAATCATGTTGATAAATGTCGACTACTTGGTTGTTTAGAGACCTTGAATGACCTGGATCAAAATCGTTTGCAGTGGCGCAGGTGCATCCATTCTTTGTGTTCTCTCAAATTCAAATCTCAATTCCTCATGATCGTTTTTCTCTTTTTTTTTAAAACTGATTGTTCTGGGATATACATCTCGAATGATATATTCGATCCTTAATCCTCTCCATTGCCAGTAATACTTCAACCATCTCTACTACTATGGGATTTGAACTGACATTGGCGTCTCTGTGCTAACATGGTATTATGGCATCTTGAACTGATGTACGTAAGTACGAGGTTCTACGTTATAAGTGACTGACCGACTGACTTATAACACAACTGCCATTCAATATTTTTATAGCTTAATAATATGTAATTGCTTAACTCATCAGTAGACAGAAGATAATGCAAACTCACAACTCACTTCACTTCTAACATATTTTTGTGATTCATTTCTGACTCCAATTTATGGGAACAATTGCATATATCATGAAATTAATCTTTCATCTAATTACCGTATATCATCCTTAAGCGAAACCTGTTTATGCGACGGTGGTGATTAGAAATTCAAAGCGGTTTATTGTAGATGAATTTATTCCGTACATTCGGTTGGTGGCAAACAAACAAAAAATAGGAAACGTAAAAGCGAATTGAAGCAAAATGAAGGCGGAATATGCACTCTTAGCTAAACTAGTTTTTTATTTTTTTTGTACGCCTAAACTATATCTTCATTCATTTATTTTTCAAACGTCATATTACGCGTAACCATTCTCCCAGATTTTAGACAATTACCACATCATCATTTATATGTATTTTCAAGTGATCGGGAACTTATCAAATTTTAAAAATACCACACAGTTCATCTTATCATTTTCTGGACTCATACAAACATGTATGCCTACGCTTCAATACGAATACATTTAGTTGTAAACAGTTGATCAGAAACCATGAAATGCAGTGAATTCATATTATTCGGCCTCAATTCTTGTCTTGACTTTCTTCAAATTTGTAAAAAGGACCAGTTATGTGATATTTCCTGAATATCTGTACCATAATTTTTTCACTATCCAATTTGTCTACTACCCAAATTATAACTATTTTCTTCAATCTTTTTTCGCAAAATTTTAGAACTCTAACGTTTCTGATAATCCTGTTTATAACGCTTCATTACTCTAACCAAATTTAACTTGAAAGCAAAGCCTCTATTATATACCTATTTCTTTTGTTTTATTCAGTGTTCTGGATTTGTAGGTCCATCATATTATAGGATGACTGTTTAGAATATAAGTATTATAATCTTTGGTTATACCAAAACTAACACGCTAAACACTGCAAATGTTCTGAGCTCGAATGTGTGTAGCTATTCATATATGTACATGATTTCAATAATATTAATAAAATAATAATAAAAACAAAGTTTTTGTATAGTACTCACAATGTGATTTTAATCTAGCATTAAGTTGTGTTCAAAAATACGTTCGTATGAGTAAATGAATTTGATGAAAGATGGTGATCTTGCTTTTCGTATAGTTTTTTTTTAAAGCAAATTAACTATCAATAATTCATTGTTTAGTTTTGTTGAGATCATGAACCGATTTTAGTTGAATAGTTATCGAAAACCTGGAAGCACTGGATAACTTTTGTTATAGGGTACTGCTCAACAAAGCTCATCCATGAACTCATTGCGAGAAGTTGAAACCAGAAGCATCGGTATCGTGCGTGAACGCACTGATCACTAAGCTGGAATCCAATGGTTTCTATTTCTGACTCAAATGAATCAACACGACCATCTTCCTTCGTCTTTGATTCGTGATCTCAATAAAACCCAACTGTCTCCACAACTCCCATACTGATTGATTGTATGTTTAGCTCCATTTTTTTAAAACGGATGAGTTTCAACTAATATTCTGCGTTTTCTTTTTACAGACATTACATCGGTGCGCTTACGACGAGGTTGATCGAGCACGTCTAGAAGATGTGCTGAGTATGTTGAGAAAGACACGGACAACATTAGAACGAGATTTAGCTAAACATCCATGGGTTGCTTTGCATTTAGTTCGATTAATATCAACCGGCCAGTTGACTGATCGTTATCGTTCTTTGTATTTAAACGCTGTCACTGGCGCTTCTTGTCCACCAAGTCCTGTGAATTATACCGCTCCACCGTCACCTGTAAGTCTTTCAGGTCAAATTGTTAGTCAAGTCTCATGTAATTCTGCGTTCAGCACAAATTGTAATGCTTTGTCTAGTAATATATTCAACTATCACAATACTCATCATTCTACACCGACTACAACACCAATGTCAATTAATTCAACCGATCTATCATTCACATATAGCAATACTGTTCAAAATAAGGCGGAGGAAATTGAAAAACTTCTCAGTAGTAAAGATAAATTAATTATGTCAAGTAATTATCCTAACACACTCGGGGATTTTGTAATGGGTAAGTATTTTACTTTCAAATTGTACTTCCTGTTATTTTTTCCAGTATGTTTTAATTCTCACTTTTCCACATTCATCCTACACAGTTATACTATTAACAAAAAAGATTGACCTAAGTTAGATAACTGTTGGACACCAAAAGACACTAGGTACCTGTTTCGTCTTCATAAGGGACTTATTGGCAGTGCTTATCCATGACTCCAAAGATGTGACTCAGGATTTTTAAGACTGGTAGAGGAGCCTAACTTTCAGAACACTGATTTTATATTATTATCGAGGTTTGACCTGAATACCAAATTAACTGGACATTGGATGGATTCACTTTTTACATACTGACTTAGAATATGCTGATGACATAATGCTATTTAGAGAATACGCAGCCTTCTGACCCGCCTAAACAACAATACAAGCATGTTCTGGATGCGATTCTCCCCATCGAAATGCAAAATGTTGCTTCAGGATTGGCTTGAGTCGGCACCTGAACGAGTGATAGGGAGTGAAGTAGTTGAACGTGTTTACTTCATTCATTTTAGGAGTTCCGTCAGTCCTCATGGCCTAGTGACTGACGAAATCTCAGCGCGGATACAGAAGGTCCGACTGGCTTTTGCCAACTTGCACCACTCTTGGCATAGGCGAGATATCCGTCTGCTGACCAAAGGACGAGTTTACTCCACAGCAGTTTGCTCCGTCACTCTATACGGGTATGAAACATGGCCATTAAGAATAGAGGATATTCGTAGATTACTAATATTCGCTCATAGGTGTCTTCTAACCATTGCTCATACATCCTGGGGTTGCCGAGTAAGCAATGTTGTTGTTAGGAAACGAGTACCAGGTAAGGATGGAAAATCAATTGACGAAGTAGTGAATGTTCATCAGTTGAGGTGGTTGAGACAAGTGTTACGTTTGCTTAACCGCCAACTACCTCGACGAGTGATGTTGTCTGACATAGGTGTAGGTTGGAAGAAAACCAGGGGCGGCCAAACCCAAACATAGCACAAATCGATGAAGTCACTGACAAGTGAACTGAGCTATGTTAGTAGATGTAGACTACCTGGTCGGGGTCTGCGAGACAACAGTAACCGATAGTTAGAGACGTTAAATGACATGGCTCGAAATCGTTTGCAATCGCGCAGGTGCATCCATTCTGTCTTCTCTCAAATTCTAATCTGAATTCCTATTGACCTTTTTTCATTCCTTTTCAAATTTCGCTGGATTATACTTGAATAATATCTCCTATCCCTAATATTTTCAATTACCGCTTATATTATTTCTACTACCTCTACTACTGCGGTATTTTAATTGATAATTCGATCTCTCTGTGCTAATGTGGTATGACAACTTGAACTGATGTACGTACACACGAAGTTCTACGTTGTAGTTGGCTGACATTGTTGATTATTATAATGACCATTGATTAGCTTTTAATCAAAGAAAAGATCAATACATTGAATTTCAGTTTATCGAACCAAATTATGCCACTACTCTGTCTATTGTTTTCATGCCAAGTTAAAATTTTTATTTAGTTTTTAAAGTGAAGCATTTCAAGTCTTAAGTATCCCCGATATTGGTTACAACCGTTTTATCATTATTTTAATTTTCAAATTTCAGAAAGTCGTGTACATTTACGTACGGCTGAATCGAAAAAATCATCCAGTGAACATATTGCCTATTTATTTACTGGTCTTTTGTTAATTTGCAAATGGCAAGAACGTCGTTCAACTCCATTAAATCCAAATTCTATGCAACAATCTATTCTACGTATTAAACATCGTATACCACTTGATTTAATTCATGTTACTGATTTACCACCAATAGTTCAGCCAAATTTAATCGGTTATGTTGGTCATAGTGGTCCAATGACACCGTCTTTAGTTGGCGCAGCAGTTCTAGCTGCAACATCTTCAAATAGTAGTTATTCACAAAATAATAATAATAATAACAATAATAATAATTCTTCATCTACTATGAACTCACACGAAGAAACGTCATCTATCGGACTATCATCATCTGGTGAGCTCTTGTTTATTCATTCAATTTTCTCTTATGATCTAACACTGATGACACCACTTTGAATTGCTAGATTTGTGTATGAGATTTCAATCAATTTTTCATGGTCATATGAAACACGTAAATGTACAAATAAAATTCAATATCTTTGTTAAACTGTTTACTGTAACAGATTACTGAATCGTTTTAAAATAATTAGTCATCTTTGTGTTTGTTCACGTTTCTGTTAAACGTCTTGACTCTTTCTAAACTTATTTCGCTGAATTATACTCCTTGAATAATTGCTCAAACCATAATTTTCTCCATTACTTCTAATGCTTCTGTAGTGAAGGAGAACACAGGTGAGAGCAACCGAATTGTATTTAACGAAAATTACAGTTACTCAGTAAAATAGGAAAACCATATCGTAACCGTTAATTTGCAAATCTTCAATCCATCATCAATCCATTGTCTGACATTTCACTATTGATGCGTTTCATAAAAATTCCAATGTGTTCCCACTCTTCCTTTCTTGATCTTCTCCCATCTTCTGCTGCCAGACATTACGATTTCACTCGCGTCATATACTACCTATAAGTAGCGCGCACCACACTTCTACTACCTCTACTACTATGGGATTTGAATTGACCATTGCTTCCTTGTGCTAATATGGTCTAGCAAGCTAAACTGATGTACGTACGTACGCATTTCTACGTTGTAACTGACTGACTGACTGACTTGACTTCTATTCTTTTAGCATGTTTAATCAATCTGTTGTCACCGTTTATATTTGAATTTTAAGCTTAGTTTAGTCTCAATAAATGGTGATTGTTAACATCACTACAACATTAGTACTACTGATATCAAAGAAAAGAGATGTAATTAACTTTAAACTAGCAAGTACACTTATCTGTCTTTCACAGCATCAAATTATCCTGGATTATTTTCATCAAGGCACTATAACCATAATACTGACTAGTATTGGTTGTCATTATAAAATTGTATATTTCATTAGTGGATATATCTATTTGTCTCCAGATATTGTGTGTTCCTGCTGTGATTGTTACTTTTTACAATTGGTAATATTATTTTTATTGTAAATCTTAGTGTTAAATAAGAAATTTATTAGCAGCAATATCGCTGATAAACAAAGCGAATCGTTTAAATACCATCCTATTCTCTGTGCCAAATGATTATAGAAAATCAGTGGCAAATCACATTTATGATTGTAATAACAAAAATCTTGATGTCAGGTTCTTATTATTTGTATACTTTTTATTTGCTTTATTATTGCGCTACTGTTCATAAATTATAAGCTGCTAATTTAGTTACATTATACAGATTAATTCTAGGGTTTTTTTTTGCATTCAGTAACCTCATTAATTTTATTATTGCTAAATTAAGTAGTTTAACGAAAACTCATTTTATTTTTCTATTAATAATAAGGCGTAAATAATTCATTGAGAACAAAACATAGAAAAAGGCGATCCAGTGAAAGCTTGTGTTTAGGTCTTGAAAATAATTCACATCATGGATTATGATATCTGTCTTATTCCATGGACAAAAATAACCGCTTGAAATCATCAATCAATCATTGTTAGACCACCATCAGAAACCTGGAAGCACTGGACGGCCGTTTCGTCCTGGTATGAGACTCATCAGCAGTGCGAATCCACGACTCCTGCACCTTGCAGGATTCGAACCCAGGACCTGCGAAGTGCAGGAGTCGTGCTGATGAGTTCCATACCAGGACGAAACGGTCATCCAGTGCTTCCAGGTTTCTAATGGTGGTCTAACAATGATTTGATTGATGATTTCAAATGTGAAAAAACACTAATCTCCATAACTCTAAAAAAATAACCGCATAAAGAACATTTCAGTCCAATTTCCGAAAGAAGAATTGGTCAATAAGTAAAAGAAAATAAACAAAAAGTGTTTGAGTTCACAAGAAAACATGATGCTTACTGTCACACTCTAAGTTTTGAATAACTTGAAATTTTTTTGATTAGGAAAAAGGTTTGGTAAAATATTTGTACAGTAAATTCAAGCATGAACCTACTACTTATTTTTGTAAAGTTCTGCAGTTTTGCTTATAAACAACTCTTTAATTTTCATACAACTACATGTTGAAGAATGATTCCGCCTAACTGAGTTAATTAATAATGGTGGAATGAAATAAATAGTCAAGTTATAATGATATAATAATACAATGTGAAACATCATTATCCAATGTATAGAATGAAATGAATAAGCATCAAATGTAATATATTATGGAAATTAAGGAGGGAAATCCGACCGCATTGACAATAGTTGTCAAAAGTTTAAATGTGTACTTTTTTCAATTATTTTCTTGGTGTATTTTTCTAAAATCTGAATGTGTGAACTTTTTACTGCCTAAGCATAACTAATACAATGAAGTGTTGGTTGGTTGGTTGGTCTAGTTACATTAAATAATAAATATTGTACTAAAATTAGGAATTTCATGGAAAATTGGTCATGTTAATCATATACTAGTCGTGCTTTAATTTATTTATCTGATTTTTAATTGACAAGCAAAACCATATTTTCCAGCCTTTTTATCCCACGAAAATTTTTAAATTATCGGTTACTGGAATTAAAATCATTTATCATATTTGTATCGTAGTTCCAACATTTCTTGTCTGTTTTTTTTTTCTCTGCGAATTTTTGTGTAAAAATACGTTTTTTTGTTTCAAAGTAGGATAAAATGTCTTTCACATTTCTCTTCATGTTGAAAGTATGTTTGGTCAATAGATCATCAGTCAATACTGAAAATAGTCTCTCTAAAATATATGGAAGCTCTTGTTAGAATCTCACTAGAACTCTTCCACAAGGTCTTCAGAAGTAGGATGAAGGCAAAAAATCAGTTCAAATACACAGCAAACATATCTAGACAATTTGCGAATTATGTTCCACATTCCGGATAACTAACTCCTTGTTCTGTCATTATGTTTAACATGCTTTTAGAAGTTTCTGGAATTCAAATGTTTCCAATAAGTCTATGAATACTATTGTTTTCCATACATCATTGAACGTTGAAATTAAGCTTCTCTTGTTACTTCACCCCTTTTTTCTGTCGTTTGTTCCCAACGAAATCTGGGAATATCGAATGTAACTAGGAATTCCGTATCCAGCGTTAAAGTAACTGGTGTATTAGCTTCAACTGTACATATCTACAACATATTGATTACTAATTAGTGACCGATTTCATGTCTAATCCTTTAGTACTCATTAAGTTCTATCAACCAGTTTGCAATATGACTTCTAGTCTGATTAACTCGATATCATATAAATTGTGTTTGAAGTGTGAGTGAGTTATTTGGAAGTAGTCGATAGGAAACCGTGAACCTAGGTTTTGTGTTAGCTGGGATTCAAACCAAAGTCATTCAGCTTTATTGTCTGAAAATTAGTCAGGATGTGAATGACCTCTTGTAGATGTACATTTTTTTGATATCATAACAAACAATTATTTTATTTTTACTGTTTACCACTAAGTCTATTCATTCAAAAAAAAAAAACTTTTTCATTTCTTCTAAAGGCTTTTTCTCGTCAAGTTTCAATGGATCTATTTCCAGTCATTCAAGTTTAATTAGCTCTGGTGGTTCAGGAGGAATCAGTTCATTTCCATTTTTATTCGAATTAGAATATGTTGATTCAAGTTCATGTAGTCCTACAACATTGCATAAATCATTGAATCATTCTTACAATCGTCATCATCATCATCATCATCATATGTATTATGCTGGTTCACAAAAATCATCTACTGGGCGAATGAATTACAATGAAGAAGGGACTACTACTGCTGCTGCCACTACTACCAATACTATCAATGATTGTAATGAAGGGAATTCAATGCCTACTAGTATTACTTCATTAAATAATGGTTCTGAGAAATTTAATTTCACTAATTTGTCATCTAGTATCAATGTTAATCATATTCGAATATTTTTACGAACACCAGAAGAAAAAGCTGATTGGATAGCTAGTTTATTAAGCATTCAAAGTTATCGGTAATTGAAATAATGTTATTATATGTTTCGTTGTTTTGACACTTTATTGATTGGATTGATAATTTTATTGAAGTATTATTGTTATTTCGTAAAAAATGTGTACTATGTCTTTTAGCAGAGAGCTTTCTCCTCAAAGTCTGAATTAGCGGTGCAGTGAGAAAAGGTACTGTGAGTAGAGTTCGTTTTGGAGAGAAGAGAGGTACTAGGGGGTGTAGGAAGGATTTGATTTCGACCGATTTGGTCTCGTGTGCTGTTACGGGTATGAGGGCGATTGTCACTTCCCGGCTGCCCACACCGTGGATGGTTGTTTCTTGAGGGACCTGAAAAGGAAGATAGATTAGTGTTTGTCTTAGAGACCGCAGAGCCCAAGGGACAACTGCTTGAGGCCGGTCACGCACGGCCTTTTTATGAAACGTTTTTTGAGGATTAGCTCCGCTCTTAAATGCCCTTAGTGAGTGAGGTGTGACATTTTTAGGTTCGACCTTTTCTAACCCTTCCTTCCTTGTGAGAAGGCAGCATCACTGCAGATGCTGGTTGTCCGAGGGAAACACCTTACTGCCGTCACACCCTCTGCAGTCAGCAGTACGACTTCGCCCTCAGACCCTGGGTAGCTGCTTTTAGTCTCATCGTTCTCCAATCGACCTGCCTGGCATGGTAGAACCTTGAGGAACATATGTTCCAGCCAGTATAGCTCTGCTGGGTCATGACGATAGGCAAGCCCGACCACCACCTCAAGGTAGCAGCTACGGTCGGGTGCACCGGTGCGCCGGTGCATTTATTCTTTATGTTCTCTCAAATCCTAATCTTCTGAATTCTTCAACCCTCTAGTTTTGACTTTCTAAACTTTTCTCACTGAATCATATTTCTTGAATATCTTCTAATCCTAACCTCTCCGATTACTCCTAATACTTTTACTACTTCCTCTACTTTTAGATTTGAATTGACAATTATATCTCTGTGCTGATAAGGTATGGCAACATCAACTGATGTACTTACGAACAAAGTTCTACGTTGCATCTGACTGACTGACTTCTCCTCAAAGTATATATATATATATATATATATATATATATATATATATATATGGTAAATATCTAGGTGTTGTAAGCATTTTACCGTAGAATTGATCTAGGGAAACTTATTGAACTGCCAAGTAAGTATATCATTTGAAAACTGCCGGTTCCAAGCTAGGATAGTGAAGGAGGGTTAAGCATGTGGTTAGCGACCCCATTCTTCAGAGAAAAAACACTTACCAGGAAAATTAATTTCAGCCATTTTTAACTCCGTCCTGGGAGTTGAATGATCTTCATTTAGAAAAGTTATCACGCCTCTTCTGACAGCCAGAGCATTAATTAGTATATATACGCACTTTCGTTACCGTTATACAAACAAAATTTAATATTATTCCTATTGGTTGTTCATTTATTTATTAATACCCAAAGTTCGTCTGAACTGGCGAATAACATTTTATGTCATCCTTAATATTATGGATTTGCATTCACTTACTTTTATGATATTTTATGATAAGAAAAAAGCATACACAACATTTCATTCCACTTCAGTTGTAATGATGTGAATTTTCCTGTTGTTGATGGTAAAAACTGCAGTTGATTTGTCTCTGTTAGGATATGTACATCCTGATTGGACTTCTTTGATATAGCCATTCAGTCATAAGGATTTCTAAGCAAAGTTGGATATGTTGGCTGCCAGTGAAGTCTAGAATGCGCACACTTTGTCCTACTTAAGACTTGTCAGTTGGATATACTTGCACCTCATTGTTGATTTTCACACCGAAACACCCCCTGTTTGAATATAAACACTGGGATAAGTCCCAGTTGGGATGAAAGGTGCTACCTACATTCAACTCTTACCTACAATTCTATCTATTTGATTTCATTGTTATTTTTTCTTTTGACTTTTTGATATTAGACTTTTTATACGTTATATACGAACATTACCCAGACTGGAGGTATCACTTCGTTTGCCGTCGTCACATATTTACAAGTAATTATTATTATTATTTTTTAATTGTTGATTAATATTTCACTAATTAAAATTGTAAGTTTTATTTAAAAATTTTCATATGGGGTTACATTGATCTGAAGATGCAATACTAAATGAGCATCATCAATGTGTATTTTACTCGTTGTTATGGACAAGCTGCGTTTGAACATTTTAACATTCAATGTAGAATAAACACCATAAAATTTTATCGAAAGTTTTTTTTCTTATTTTGTGTAATTCATTTATTCTTTCATGCACAATTGGCCTTGAAAGTCTTAGATTTTAAAATGTTATTTTGATCATCGATTACACTAAAAGGATACCTGTTACATTTTTAGAATTGAGCTCAGAGTGATTTTCTAATTATGAATCATTCAAATTTCTCTGATACGATCGAGAGTCAATGAAAACTCGATAGAAACTGTTTTAACATGCAACGACACTTTAACAATTATCTCAAAACAATAGAACTTAAAAAAAAAGTTAATTGTTGCAAAAGCTTGAAATTCAAGAAGTCTTCATGACGGAAGTAGTTGTATGACAAAACGGCTTCTTTATGTCAATAAACAGGTGCACAACTCCGACTGCATTTCAAATATAATTAAATGCTTTCACCTTATCAGACTAGTAGTTTTGATGCTACTCTCTGCTTAAATATTATGCTCATATTACAGTTTACTATTTACCTAATTAGATACTTTATTTCATGCACAACCTTCTTCATATCTTGGTTGTATGACTAACTGACTCCCATTAATAAAATCGATACTTAAATTAATTTTTCTCAATCAATGTGTTCATGTTGTTCGTGTTGGTTTCTATTGCTATCTTTGTTTTATGTACAACTATATGCCTGGTTTTGTCATTTTTTAACTCCAATCACTCAGTCAATTACAACGTAGAACTTCGTACATAAGTTCATGTTGTCATACCTCATTAGCAAAGAGACGCCACCGTCAGTTCAAATCCCATAGTGGTAGCGATAGTAGGAGAATTAGCGGTAACGGAGAATATTAGGCTTTGAAGATATTATTCAAGAAGTTTAGTTCAGCGAAATAACTTAAGAAAAAGTTAGAGATGATGAAGAATTCTGAAGATTAGAATTTGAGAGAACATATAGAAGTGGATGCACCTTCGCCATTGCAAATGATTTTGAGCCATGTTAATCAAGGTCTCTAACCATTTGTGACTTTCGTCTCACGGACCCCAACCAGGTACCCTACATCTACCAACATGACTCAGTCCACTTGTCAATGACTTCATGAATTTGTGCCATGTTTTGGTCTGGCCATCCCTAGCTTTCTTCCAACCTACTGCCACACCACAAAACTTCATCATCATACACATATGAGTTGAATTCACGCATAATAATTTATCAAAAAAATAAGTAGATTGAATGTTTTCTATAAAAATTTAGTTGAATAATTTTTTATGATTAAACTTATCACTCACTTAACTAAGAAATTGTATGTAAATTTACCAGTGTTTCATAGTTATGTCATATTTTCTTTTCTAATATTTTTCACAAATAATACTTCACTCCTATTGAACTTAAAAAGCTTTAAATTTTTACAAGTCAATAAATAGCCCAATTGGAATCACACACAGTTTTTTTGACTTCACAAATTTAAATAGAACAAAAACTGATATTGATCACAAAATACAATTAATTAATTATATATTTAGTTGTTTTCTTTTCAGTTATTTGTATCTAAATGAACTAATCATTTTACAATTAATAATATAATTTTAAATTAAAAAAAGTAAATTATCCGATTGTAAATAATGCTGTTATAATGGAAATGTAATTTAATGTTTTTAATTTTTAAAAAAAGTAGATTTTTATAAATTTAAGAAGTAATATGTAGCATTTTTGAACTACTTTTCGTGAGATAACCAAATTAAATCCCCTTGCGGCCAAAAATCAAAAGACCACTAGCTGTGATTGGAGGTCGTAGTTTATTTATTGATGATCTCATGATGTCGAAACATATCGAGGTCACAATAAAAACTGTAGACGAAACCACCGAGGTAAACCGAACAATGTCAGCGACACGTGACGCGGGCAATTATTGCTTTTAGTACAGTTAAACAAATGGAGTATAATAAAACAATCACTGGTACAATCGGGTACAGTAATAAAAGTTTCCATTTCACCAATTGCGTTCTCTTCGTAAAAGTATTCCATTACAAATAACGCTAGAATATTTTAAAATAATTTTCATCGTGTAATATTAAAAAATATCTAGAAAGTTTTCAGAGAAATAACGAATGAACGTAACTCACTAGATTGCTAGACAAATTATCTTTACAACAGTGTAACCAATAATTACTACGGTAATCAAGTGGGAATTCATTTTAGTCAAGATAAAATATCATATATTTTGATGCAGGAATCGGTAGTCTCAGTTGTTGGAAATTCAATAATCAAAGGAAAAAAACAGTTTGTTTTGCGTCCGTAATGTTAAACCTTCTCCTGATTTATACTAAAACAACTTTTAAATGTATATATTTATATATCTTTTGACCATTGTATCGATTAAAAGACAGTTTGTCTATCTGTAATTGCTTATAATTTTGGATAAAATTAACATTTCCGTACTCCTTGATGAGACTCAGCTTTTATCGATAGCACTTTAGTTTGTAATAGAAATGACTGTTATGGGTTTCTAGTCTTGCGATTCATACTTACAGTTTTCTGGTGAACTCTAACCACTCCCTAGTAAATTTTACTACCCATCATTTTTCATACTTTTTTGTGTTGTATTTTCTTTGCTGCTTAATCTGTTTTCCCCCTCGTGAAGTGTAGACTGCCAACCGGGAATCTTCACCCTGCTTTGTCCGGTTAAAAGATACACAGATTTACTGCAGGATTCTATTTTCACGAGATAGTAATAAACCGTTTTGCATGCAACCAGTATTGTTAGGTGCACGGTTGAATATTTTTAAAAGTGCTACTATAACAGAACTTGTTGCAAAGTAGCGCTTGATTTCCAACTTGTAGGTTACTGGTTTAAACCTCTTTCTATCTTATTCAGTTTTATTAGCTGGTTAACATCATTATCCTTGAGATAATTTGTGCAACTCCAGTCAACTGTATAATCATGCACCTGGTAAACAAATTACGGGTTGCAGTCTCCAATAGTTGAGCTGGTTATGTTCACTGATTGTGTAATGTATATTCTCTAATCCTATCATATTCAAATATTCAGGTGAACTAAGATAGTCTCAAATTAACCAAATTTGCACAAGTATTAGAAATATTGAAATCATGAATCAATCAATGTTAGGCCACAATTAAGAACCTGAAAACAGGACGACTATTTCGTCCTAATATGTAATTCATCATCAAGGTATCCACGATCCTGGAAGTGGGATATTGTTCACTGACACCGTTGGATACTGGCTCATGAGTTAAGCATTCACTCGACATCGAATGTCATGGGTTCTATTCCGCTTGCGGGGTCGTGTATCCTCACTGTAGATGAGTTCCAGAAAGGGACGAAACGACTGTCCAGTAATTCTAGTCTCCATGGCAGTCTAACATCGATCGATTCATGATTTTAAGGAACCTCAACAATCTCCACAGCTGCATAATGACAATCAAAAATATTTATTTCTTCTCAAACAGATTTTTCTTCAATTTATTCTACAACTAGATTCAATCGACCTGATAGTATGGACAATATTATTTTCGAATCAAATATGCCAACATCTGTATTATATCCTCCTAAAAATAATTCCATTTCCAATCAACATCAACAGTATCACTGTTATCAACAAAAAGATTCACACGGTAAACTACAACAGTCTACATTTCAGTCAGCTGGTATAACGAATCATTTTGATTCTGGTAAACTATGTTATTTCAATGAATCAACTAATTATTTGTATGCCACAGATGATACTGGTCTAGATGGTGAACGGAAAGAAGAAGATGAAGCAGAAGCAGCCGATGATGATGATGACGATGATGGTGAATTGATGGAATCACATTCTTTAACTACTTCTAGCGTTGTTACGCCCTCACCTCCTTCATCAATAATTTGTCTATCATCACAATCCTCACCGACAACAACTCCATTATCATCTAATATAGAGAATTATACAAATGCTACTAGTACTACTATTGTTACTCATCATAGTAATGTTATCATCACTGAACATAATGATGATGGTAATGCAGAGAATATGCTATTTGAAAGTCATGAAAAACAAAACAATACTAAGATTATGATGTCAATGTTGAGTAACAGTGGTTCATCGAGTACATTAACATTAACTAGTCATGGATCATCTAATGATGGTTATCATAATACTGCTAATAATAGTAATAATAATAATAATAACAATAATAATCAAACTCTTACAAATAGTTATACTAATACAATAAAATCATTACGTGATTATGCTTTCCAACGACAATCATCACAATCTCCTAGTAGATCTACCAAACTTGCCAATATACACACAAATCAACGATTTTTCAATTCATCTAATTTTCCACCACAAATACGTATGGCCACATTAGATAAACTAATTGAACGACTCACTTACCCGACTTATTTCGATATACGTTTAGTTAATTGTTTCTTATTGGTTTATCGACGTGTTACTACATCAGATGAATTATTAGATTTACTCATTGAACGATTTCGTATACCTGATCCGGAATTTCTACCTGAAGAATGGAATATTGAAGTGGAACAAGGTCAATTGGAATCACCAGCACAGCATATGTTGAAAAGATTTCGTTCAGGTTATAAAAAGCGTATTCAGTCTAGGTAAAATTTACACATTCAAATGTGATAATTTCTATTCTATTGTTATATGTGTGTGCACAGTTAAATTATTTTCGTATCTATTTTGTTATGCCCTTGTGATGACAACTGTGTGTATTGTTCATTGATGCATTTATTTGCCAGTCCTATGGCGCTTCATATGTCTTTTACGTAAAGACATTTATTTATTTATCACAAATAACTCTGGTGTTCGGCGCATTGATGCAACTGAACAGTTATGTAAAAGTTCTATGTTGTCATTATTGTGTCTTCAAATACCCTCTTGAGGTACTCTCATGTGGCCACGTGTATATAGCCACTGATAAGGAAGTGCTACTCACTGCCTTCTCGTAGCGGGCGTTGTTGCTTATGAAGTTGAGAGGATGAGAACCAATGTTTACTGGAGTCTTAGACCGTGTTGGTGAGTACGGAGGATCCGTCCGGAGGTGTTCGAAAGTCCTGGTTCCAAACCGATGGCGTAGATCGGCTTCAGAATCCTGAGGAATCAAATGGCTTGTGAGCATATTGCTGGTCACTGACTAACAAAATAATATATATCTGTATTGTTCACATGAGTTAGCGATGCCACCAGGTAGGCAAATTTAGTTTACGCGTGCAATGAATGGAAATTCAGCAATTATACTTTATCAGTCCGAGAGTCGTATATTTAACGTCGGACAGTGATGTCTTACTTCTGACTGTACTGTGCATTTGTGATCGTCAATGCTTATTTGTTTCACTAACACAAATCACTTTTGCTTGGATCTTACTTTATTCGTAGTGGGTAGCTTACTATTAGTTTGTGGCTCGCAAAAAAATACTCATACAGGGTAGTAATAAGTCACTCGTAGAAAAATCTAACATTTTAGAAATCAGTCATTAACAATGTTTTTCAATTTTCGTCAGTCATAATAGTTTTGGTTTTTTTCACTCTATTAATTCTTATTTTACTTTTAGAGTGATAATGTTCCTATCTCGTTGGGTTCGTAGTGCACGTTATTATCAAAATGATTTTGCTCCCAATCCTCGTTTACGTCAAAAACTGTTAGATTTTTTATCAACTATACAAGCTAGGCATTTAATTTCTTCTGTTGAACGTATTAAACAATATTTACAAAATCCTCCAATTTCAACACAATTTCCTGAGACAATGACAGCGGCAAAAACAATAGAAACAAGTATGGATAATGTGGAATTATCACCACCACCAACGTCATCATCATCATCATCTGGGCTCACTTCTGTATCATCGAATGAATCAAATCAATCAAGAAATTTCATTAATCGTATAACCTTAAATAATGTGAGTTTATTAATGTTTCTAATCGTTTATTCTTTTTGTTGAATTACATACAAAGAGGGATACCTGGATATTTATGCCCCATACAAGCATTGAATTTGTTTGTGAACTGGGATAATGTTCGGGTACCTTAATTAATGAAGGTTATTTTCTACTTGCACCATTCTCCGAGCCTTTGAACTAGAGGTAGCCGGTAACCAACGATAGGCTCACCTGATGTTTGTTTCTTCAAGATCCTACACCATTGGTTTCGAACCAGGATTTTCGCACACCTCCGGGCGAATCCTCTGCACTCACCAACACAGTCTAAGACTCCACTGAACATTGGTTTTCATCCTCTCAATTTCATAAGCAGTGAGTAGCATTTATCAGTGGCTATATCCACGTGGTCAGATGAGAGTACCTCAAGATGTAGAGTGGATTCTGCCAACCTTTGGTCATAACAGGATCCTTGTGGTTTGTCAACGTAGAACTTTATGTATTTGTAAGTTTTCAACTCAAAAACTAATGTATAATAATCCAAAAATTGTGACATAAGTGTATGATCCAAACATGTAACTTTTATTTTACAATAATAATCTTTCTAGATCTGAGTTGGATTTTTATCAGTCGCTACTTAAAGTATTTATTGATTTAGCGAATTGCTATAATTTTTCTAATTATTATAACTGATAGTTCAAAATGTTGAATAACATAGTTCAGAATCGTTCATTGCGGCGCGATATATTTATATTCAGTTTCAGAACTACCTCATTTTTTTCTACTTCATCTCATTATATTGAATTCTTTCCACTACTCCCACTGATACCAGTACTATTTCTTGCTAATCTATTATTTGCCTTGGTAAGTTCGTCTTTCTGTAATAATGTGGTGTGGTCACTTGAACTGATGCATACGTGTCTGCTAAGCTATAAGTTGTATGTAACATGCCGACCGAACATTTTTCACGCCTAATAATCCACAAACTCATCAATCTCATACTATATTGTCTTATGCTTAATATTTTCTTACTGCAACTGATACTTTTTCTGTGTGTAATTACTAGTGTATTGGTTTGGAGAGAACTTCATCTCATTGTCAATGTACTGTGGCAATTGAAAGTGATTCACATTTGTTCTAGATTCCAAATAATCTATGACTAACAATGAACTGAATAAGTTTTTCTGTGAATATTATTGAAATAAATACAAATGTACGACAAATGTTAATAGTGTACATACACCAGTCATACATTTAAATAAAATCTGTTTCGTACAACATAAAGAAAGAGTTTAGTTGGATGAATTACAAAGATGAAAATGTCAGGAAGTTATGAACAAAAACTTTGATAATGAAAATGATGCATAGAAAATATCATAACTTATATATGAATGCTAGTTGCTTTTAGGAGGTGTACAAAGGATTTGATTGTGACCGATTTGGTCTCGTGTGCTTTTATGGGTATGAGGGCGGATGTAACTTCCAAGCTGCCCATTATTATCGAGGTAAACTATGTTGTAATGGCTAAGTAGCACTACTTGATTGAATGACCATTCTGCATTCTCAGATTTATTAATCTGTGGCATTATTAGTTTATATCAGTGAGGTACTTCACAGTTTCTAGAATTCGAACTCTTCCAGACATTCAAACCATCAAAGTTTATGCAAGGCATACAATACAAAGCGATGTTTGTGTTTATTTAATACGTGTTTTTTCTCGGAAGAAATTCATGCCGAAATGTACATTTCTATTTAAACTCATCCTACAATATATTAAACTGAGAACTTAAATACTTTTTGATGCTCAAAGATTCTTTGAATTTTACTAAAAGCATTAATTAGATAAAAAGTAATATCATATTTTTTCTTAAGAAAAATCTTTCGTGACTGTTTATCAAATAAGATTTTATGACGAATATAAATAAAATTAAAAAAAATTCCAATGTATAATATGTATTGTCGCTTAGCATTTTACTGTCTGTCTAGCTCTAGATTCTATAGACTATGAACTGATTCATTGTATTGACTGTTACGATAGATGACTTTGTCAAATTTAATTATTTTCTGTTTGTATTCATGTTGTCACTGAAAATCTATTAAACAGATTATTCTGTAATTTTTAAGTACTCTGAAAGATATTGGCCTTGTGTGAATTGTGTCTTTCCGAACTAATTCATTAACTATGATATTTCTAAGTGGTGGCACTTATGCATTGACCGATTGACTACATAAACCATTGTAGCATTATTTAATTGAGTATATGAGTTGGAATTGTTTTTGTTTTTTTCAAATATCTTGTTCTGTTTATGCAAAAGAATACTACTAATAGGTTTTAACTTATTGTATACAAATAATAATGTATGCAATATGAGAATTCTACAAATTAAGCCATTTCACATATTGTCTATACTTAACCACTAATAAATAATACACACAGGTAATCATAGTTGGTAGAATTTTTTCAAATGAAAGCTAACGTTTGGAGAAACACCGAATAAAACATCTCATCATTGTTATTTTGCATCAACAGTTATTTTGTTCAACATTTTTTCCCCGTCTATTTTTCTTAATCATTGTATTTTACTCATGCAATTTTTTTCTTCACAGATTCATCCTTACAAATTAGCTGAACAAGTTACATTGTATGAATGGGAATTATATCGACGTATACCATTTTGGGAAGTTGAAAGTCGTGATCGTACTGGTAATGCTGTGCCTAATTTAAATAAATCAAAATCATTTTCAAATCGTGTAAGTAGTTTAACACACACACACACTGGTCATTTATTATGATGATTATTTCAGTTAGTCAATTACAACTCTAGAACTTCGCACGTAAGTACGTCATTTCAGGTTGCCATGCCCCACCGGCACAGAGACGCAGCTGTCAGTTCAAATCCCTTAGTGGTGGAGATAGTAGAAGAATTACTGCTAATGGAGAGGATTAGGATTTGAAGATAATATTCGAGAAGTGTAATTCAGTGGGATAACGTAAGAAAGAGAAAAATAGAAGTTGAGAGAACACAATGAATGAATGCACCTGCGCCATTTAAAACGATTCTGAGCCATGTCATTCACTGTCTCTAACCATCGGTTACTATCGTTTCGCGGACACCAACCAGGTAGTCTGCATCCACCAACATGACTCAATCCCCTTGTCAGTGACTTCATGAACTCGCTTCGGCGGTAAACATACTAAAATTGGAATGATACAGAGAAGATTATGACTATTTACAAATTATTACATATCAAGAAAAGTTATGTACAAGAAGTACAGTAGTCGATGATTATATATATGTATAAACTGGCTGTTAGACAAAATGCATATGTTTTGAACTTCTTTATCAGTCAGCTGGAACTTGCAAATATCTGGTTATTGATAGTGATACCAGAACATTGTGTTTAATGTAAGAGAAAAACTTTCGATCTATCTGTGATGAATTGTCAACTAAGTTAATTTAACTTCTGTCAATGGCTATCTACGTTAGCTTGTTTTATATAAACTTCTAGAGGTAATTAGATTTTACATTGAAATTGCTACAGTGACTCGCCTATTCAGTTTCTTTTTTATTGGGTTGGTATGTGTATGTGTGTGTAAGTAAGCTCAATCAGCATATGTTTTCATTTTGTCTTCAGTGAATATTCATTTTTAAAAAAAAACGAAGTTGGAATTTTGCTTATTTGCTTACTTTTCACCTTCATAGTAAACTTTTGTTTTCTTTTATCATTTTCGTGAAATTATTGTATTTTTAGCTTTTTTATGAATCACCATTCAATTTCATCTTGTTACTTTAATAATAAATTTCAATGATTCAATTATTGAAATAATTTTTCTGATGAACGGAGCATCATTGAACAGTATAAAGTACCTTGAAGTTAAACTGTCGCGTTTTTCTCTCTTACACTACCTACCTAGTTGATTCTATTCGCTTGACTAACTGAATTCAGTGACGACTTCCTAGTGTAATAGTAATTTACCTTTTAATCTACCAATTTAAGTAACCTTCTCTGAGATTACTGAGACCTCATATGTAATTCTTTTAATTAACCAAATGTTACTTAATAAAGTTATACTGTGCTGTGGTTACATCATGTAGTTGTTTATCACTTTATTTTTAGTTGGTTATTTATGATGATGAAATAGTAATTAGCTAATGAATATTCTATCATTTTAAATACTTCTATCTATAGTGTCATTAGTTTTTCAACATGATCACTACACTTGATAAGTTTAGGTCGTTCACATGATAATCTAGAGAGTGTTTTTGATGTTTGTCAGCTGTTATCAGTATTATTTCAGTTGAGTTAATACTTGAATGCAAGTTGGTGTCTACAACAAATTAGACTAAATAACTGATTGGTAATATCTTCAATTGTATTTATAACCTTCAAGTTACAAGGAATTGTAAATACCACGTGCTATGTTAAAGGTTAAATGAATAAACTGCCTTCACACAACCAATATTTTGTATAGATGGGTTCCTGATTTTGAATTTCATGTTTTAAATTTACAATCTCACTTAATTGTAGTTTAACTCATTTACCAAGAACAAAGTTTCATGTTCCTCTTTGGTTATTGAAACTTCATCAGTTAAGGTGGTTGGGACATGTGTTACAATTGCTCAACCATCGACTGCCTTGGTGAGCGATAATTTGTGGTGAATCGGTCGGCTGGAAGAAAGCTAGGGGTTGCCAAACAAAAACATGGCACAAATCCATGAAGTCACTGAAAACTGTACTGAGCCATGTTTGTAAGTGTTGACTACCTGGTCCGCGAGATGATAGTAACTGATGGTTACGTACGTATGAAGTCCTACGTTGTAACTGACTGACTGTTTCACTTTGGGTCATACTGTTTGTATAACTTTGATTGTTACTATCTAAATTTCTTGCAGAAAGTAAATCTACTTTCTGTTAACTGAAATATTGTAACTAGTATGATATTTCACTATTCATTATAAACTGGAGCTTACTGTTCCACCCATGAAACATATCGATTTCCTAGTCAAGATGGTTTTTGTGAAGATACATTTTACAGCATACTATAATAAGTGTTTACTGAGTTAATGGATCTCATACACATGTATATGTCCACGTTTGTAGAACTATATCATTTATAGTGATAAACCAATTACAATCAACAAAACGTTTGGAGATATCGTGTGAAATGCAAAACCGGGCAACTTTTTTTTATTCTTCACAAAATTCAGATTAAAAGTACTTTTAGTCATAATAGAACAATGTCGATGTCTATAACTCTAACAAATCTTCGCTTATCTTTACTTTTACTAATTTTTCATATTCAAATCTCTGTAAATTTTTCATTTTAACTAAACAAGAACAAAGAAATCACCGCTCATTACTTCAGATAATATGATCACATCATAATTCTATTGATATACCTTGGAACTTTATTCATCCTACACTTTTTGTATATACAACCTTTGTCTTTATTTATATCATACGATATGTATTTTAACTTCATATAATAATTTTAATAATAATAATAATATTGTGAACAATGATTCCCTGTCACGTGACTTCAGTGTGTGTTCGTCAGTAGAAGAAGTAGTAATGGTAGTAGTTGTAGTTGGTGGCGGCAGTTTGCATTAAACTCTTATTGTTTCAAATAAATATTTTAATGGTTTTATTATAATAAATATTTAATTAACTACATACATTCTTTGTAATCCATGCACTGTGCATCACTCACATTATATATATATATATATATATATATATATATATATGAGAATTTTTACTTTTAACACTAAAGCCACTAGTTTGTGAAACTCGTACCATATCAATCGTTATTTTATACAATTTACTTGTTTGAATCATTTTCATTGATGTATTGGTTTGTATATTTTCCTCTTATCATACGATATATTAAGAAAAAAAATGATAATAATAATAATAATTTTCATGGATTCATACAATGAATTTACTTTGAATGAATTAATTATTAATATTATTATTATTAATACTATCATGAACTGAACACCAGTTAAGGAAATTATTTAAAATCTAGAATTATGGATGAGGTGTTTCTTCGTAAATTAAAATGTATGCGTTCTCTGTTGCATATCGGATTTCTCAGTGAACACAGTAGTAATAGCAGTAGTAGTAGTAGTAATAATAATAACAATAATAATACTTTTGGCTTAACAACATGTATTAACAATTTTATTTAGTTATTTCTCTATCAAAAGCCTAGTTTAATGATGAAAGCGTTGATCAAGGCATTTAGTTGGGCAGTTTTTCTCTCTCTTTTAATTAATTAATGAGTGTAAACAATTATTTTTCTATCCTGCAGTATGATATACTTGCATGCCTATATGTTGTCTTTCCTTACTGACTGATCACTTTCTGACTTTTGTAATTTATTTGTGCCAAATTAAACTAGGAGTAACGCTTTCAGTCAAATAGGAAACCTTTGGAGGAAATGACAATTATTATGATTCAAATTCAATTTACATACTCAGTGGTTAATATTTACAGTTGTGGAAATCAACTAATCAAACAAGATATATATTTTGTAGCTATAATTAAGAGTAAAATAACCTGTTGTGTGGAGGGACCGGTGGTAAGAAAAGAAAATGCCAATGCATTTCTGTCCTACGAGGTGTATGCACAACCAACTACTTTCTTTTCTGAATAGTCAACATATCAAGTTCATCCCGTTTCCTTAATATCGACTGACTATAGAAGCCCAATTCATGACTGAGTGATTATTATATAGCTCTCAATAATGTATAATTAATCAATGGATGTAACTTACTTTCTGAAGGGTGAAGCCTTTAAAACTTATATGGCTAAAAGTCGGTGTAATGCCATTGATAAATCCTAAGTTTACGTTTTTCCTACTCAATTTGTTGGAGCATCATGAAGTCTCTTAGCGTCTTTGCACATCTTATTCTTACATTGCTTAGCACTCAGTTTGAATAAATTGTAATGAAACTCTGATTTAATCCATCAACCCTAGATTGGTTATTTTTAACACAATTACCCTTAATGTTAACTTGTGACAATTGAATATCACAGATTTCAGGTATATAATTTCACGGAAGTCAAACGGTCAGTCATAAGCAGCGTAGGACGCGAGACATGAGTGAGTTGGTTCAAATTACCATACCGCTTAGCAAAGATAGATGAAATTATCAAGTTAGAGGAAATGGTAATGGTATTATTATTAAAAAGGATTCACTATAACGAGACAATTTCAAAATGAGACAATTTTGAAACTCAAGACAGTGAGTGAATATATACTACTGCGTCAATTTCGATCTATATCATTCAACGTTCCCAACAGTTAGTTACGATAATCGCATTGACGCTAACCAATAGTTATTGAGGAGAGTTCACTACTTCATAACCCAAATTTCCTTGTTCATTCATTACGTTGCGTCTAACCTCCGCACTGCTAACTCGATAGCATCAACATTTGTGAAGAATGTTTCAAAGACTTTCACTCAGGCCTGTATACATACGATTTAAATGATCGCTAATGGCTGGTGAACTTTGCGTTAATCGTTTTCAGCGATTTAAAATATAATACATATTGTAAAGGATTTGAACTAAATAGAGGTTATTTTTAAGAATTTATTTCTTACAAGCTTTTTTAGTAGACTAATTCTTCAATGTCTTTGTAGGTCTGTATAACCCAGCAGTGTAAATGAATTTAAGAGATTTGAGCTACTCAATCACTGAATAATATGATCAAGTATGAGTTGGTAACGTTGGGACACATGATTTATATAAAGATAACAAATGTATTTAGGTATGCTGTTGATTTAAAAGCTTTTGCCAATAATCGATTGCGATTATTGCACTGACTTCAAGCAGCAAGTTTACATTTTCTGAATTAGTAGACCAAATCAATAGTCCGTGAACTAACTATTTGTGCCACAAAGTGACGAATAAACATAACTTGATTTATTTACTGTTACAATGTTACTCATGTTACACCATTATTATTTCTATTACTCTGATCTATTTTTTTTCTTCAAAATAACAATAATATAGTTTCGTAGTTGGTTGATCTATTCAATACTTAGTGAATCACATCCAGATGATCGAATAGTTGGTATTCAACGTGTTATTGACTTGATGTTAATTATGGAACATATGAATAATTTACAAGGCAGTCAAGAAGCTAAGTCAGCATTAATCAGTGCAGCCGTATATCGTTTAAGAAAGTCATTTCAGGTAAGAAGATCTATTATATAATGCTTTGTACTACCCAGTAACGATAGACAAATTTTTTTAAAATTAATTTGTTACATGTTTGTTCTTAAAAAGACAATTGAACTAGGTAGCATAATATTCATCATGTAGTTCTATTGTAAATGAATTCATAGCATATTCGTGATGATGGAAGCTGAAAAGTAACATAGTCCAATGATTAGCATTTTCCAAATTGTTGTCCAGGGTTGCCGTCAATGAATTACAGTTTCATCTTTGGATTGGTTGACTTGACACATCCTAGTTTCTCACTGGATGATTGCATAGGTGCATAGATTAACAGAAATCATTTTTGTTAACAGTTAGATTTTGAACGAATGGTTCCATTGTTTCTTTCTGTTAAGCATTTCCTGTCAGTCATGAGTTCAATCTCATGTTGGGTCAAGTTGTAACACAGATCATGTTATTCTATTCTGCGCCTACTGTATCAAAATGCTAGAATAACTTTCCATCTTCCTTTTCTTAATTTCAACTAAATTTAAAAGTCTTATTAAGTGAATTTTTTTCGCCAGTGGTTATAACAGTTTAACTATATAATTCATGTTATTAAAATCATGAACTGACCGTTTCATCGATAATGACACCATTAAATGTCGGTTCAATAGTCTAATTGTTAAGCGTTTGTATGGGAAACCGAATTACCTAGATTCAAATCTCACGTGTGGAGTCGTGGGTATGTACTTCTGAAGAGTCCCATACTAGGACGAACCAGCCATCTTATGCTTCTAGATTTCTAGTAGTGGTCCCATCTGGATTGGTTTTATAAATTCAACAACTTTAAAAACTTTTTGCTGATAATTTAGTGTATGTTAAGACGAGTTCTATTATTTATTAATGTACTGGAAAATTGTTGGAATAACACTATTTTAGATTCATTGAAATACAGAATCATCCCAAAAACATGATCGATATTACTACCATACTACTTATTTATTAGATTAACCTTTTTGCTTGCTTTATTTTACAACATCACTATGTGTAGTGTATATTCAATTGATTTTTCTCTTCTGTTTCCGTTAAACAAAACAAAACAAATCATTTAGGCTATTCGTCGATTAAGACATTATCGTGAAGTAGTTGATCGTTTAAAACGTGAAGGTGTTCATAATCCAAAAAATCAACGAACATCATCTTCTGGCACTAGTTCATCATCAACATCACATCAAAACACATCAATGATTGATTCAAATCTATCAGGAAATGTCAATAATATGAATAACAATATTACTAATAGTAATAATAATAATACCAATAATTCAGTGAATAATCATTTTTCTAGTTTTGGTTTACCATTTTCCATTCGAACAAGTAAATCACATGAACGTCGTATAAGAGTATTAGAAAAACAACATGCCTCCGGTGAATTATGTCATCCATGTGTACCATATATAGCTGCTGGTGTAATGACACGTTTAATACATTTAGATTTATGTCATCCAGATACAATTATCAATAATGCTGGTAATGTTATGATTAATTGTTGGAAACATCGTCAATTAGCTGAAATTGTTGAACGTTATTTAGCATTTCAACGTATTCCATATACTTATAGTGTAGATGAGAATGTACGAGTAAGTTGAAACGATAATAATAATAATAATTATTATTATTTTTATTTTCTTAAAAATTAAATATTATTTATTAAATAAACAAAAATTTCTCTCTTTCCTATTCATTTTTTTCTTTTAGTATTAAGATTTATTTATGTATCATTAGCTGAATGATTTATTCTCTCTTAATTCAAATGTATAACATTTAAATAATTTATTTGTTTTCATTCAATGTTCAATAAATCAAATTTGTATTGATTACATTGATTGACTTGAGAATTAATGATGGTTGAGACGATGAAGTCAAATAAAACACATCTTGACAAATTGGTCCATTCTATCTATGTTTGTTTATGCACTTTAAGTCAGTCAGTCAGTCAGATGCAACGTAGAACTTCGTACGTAAGAACATCAGTTCATGTCGCCATACCACATCAGCACAGAGATGTAATTGTCAATTCAAATCCAATAGTAGAAGAGGTAGTAAAGGTATTAGGAGTAATCGGAGAGGTTAGGATTAGAAGATATTATTCAAGAAGTATGATTTAATGAGAAAAGTTTAGAAAGTCAAAACTAGAGTTGTTGAAGAACCCAGAAGATTAGGATTAGAGAGAACACAAAGAATAAATGCACCGGCGCCATTGCGAACGATTTTGAGCCATGTCATTCAAGGTCTCTAACCATCGATTATTATCATCTCGCGGACCCCAACCAGGTAGTCGACAAATACCGACATGGCTATGTCCACTAGTCAATGACTTCATGGATTTGTGCCATGTTTTGGTCTGGCCGCCCCTAACTTTCTTCCAACCCGTTCCTACACTACAAAACAAAGCTCGACGAGGCAGTCGGTGGTTGGGCATACGCAAAACATGTCCCAACCACCTCAACTGATGAAGTGTCACTACTGCGTCTATTGATCTGCCATTCTTACCTAGCACCCGATTCCTAATAACAGCGTTGCTCACTCGGGTGTCCCACGAGTAGTATATTATAAGCGTATATTATTAATTCGATCACGATTGATGTTGTTATCAGTCAGTTAGTCAGTCAGCTACATCCTCAGAACATCGTAAGTATGTACTACACACATTAACTCAAAGATGTGATATGACAACTGGTTTATTGAAAAGAAATGCACATATGTAAATCCAGTGCTTCCAAATTTCTAATATTAGTCTAACATTGATCCAACAATCCGTAAATCGATAAAATTAAATAACAATTCCTTTAAATTGCTTGATTATATCTTTTCCCTCCAAAACGAAAAAAAAAACCGAAACAAAACAAAACAAAAATGAATTCGAAGAAAGTAGACAAATAAAATTGATTGTGTGTTGTTTTCGCCAGTTATTCCCTTTTTTTTTTCTGATTTCGCCATATTTTAGACGAATAAAAATCAATTGATGCTTTCTGTGTTTCCTTTAACGACTTCTTTTTAGTGCTTTGTGTTGTCGTCTTATTGATGAAATGTATATTGCATTTTTAAATGATAGTTTTGTTTAAGTTTAAATAAAGATTTTGTAAAAAAATATATTATGCGGTGAAGTAATGATTGTTGCATAGATTTCTTTTTCACGTTTAATATTAAGCATTCTTATGATGAATATGTTGCTGTGATTTCCTTTGTTTTAAATCCAAACCTGTATATCATGAACCACACAAATACACTTAAATGATATTGTCCTTGTTATAGAATGGATTAAAGAAATATTGTTTTGAATAGTCAAGTGTAAACTATAGACTTGTTCTTTTTGGCACCGACATTATGGATACTATGCGCGTGCAAGATCGAGAGTCCTGGGTTCTAATCCTGTGAGTAGCGGGAGTCATGGATGCACATTGCTGATGAATCCCATATCAGTACGAAACGGTCGTCCAGTGCTTCCAAATTTTTTTATGATGGTCTAACATCGATCGATTCAAGATTTCAAAGTAACCCAACAATCTCCACTGCCCTATGTTGCAAATTACTTAAATGTTCAATAATTTGAAACAACATCTAGGACTTTGATTTTTCGTTTGAAGTCAATCTAAGTAACGAAAGTGATTTATAACCGAGTGTCACACTTCGTTGTATGAAATGAATGAGGATTTCTTTGTTAAACGGTTAAATAATACTCACTTTTCAAAAATATTTACTTCAAATCTGTTCTCCCGATTTTTTTCTATCAGGACTTTTTAGAACATGTTGATCCATTCGAATTGGCTGGTGTTTCGTCTGAAGCAGAATTCGAAAGTAAAATGTATCAGTTGTCTGAGTTGTATGAACCAAGAGATACTGAACCGGCGAATGAACCAATTATACCTGAGGTAAATAAATATCCTTGAAATGTCTCATTTTTCCTACTGCCTTTGTTGATATGAAACTGTCATCTGCTGAAGCACTGTTTTTTTTTCACGTTAGAAAATTTTATGAACAAGTTCAATTTTTCTCATTGATCATTTCATGCAAACAAGTTGAAAACTGTTCTTATAGCGGATCAGTAATAGTTCAGTGAGTGCATATATCAATGCACGTTAATAAGACTCCGATTCCTGTACTGCTGAATGGCAACTGCCCATTACTAATTGTTTTGTAAAGAAAATTGTTGAAATACACCGTTCTGAGAATTCCATTTTGTATTAAACATATAACACTGAATAGGGTCATTATTATGGTTTTTATCATAGTCAAATCCTGTTTCTAAGATTTTTCTCCCTCAAGTCCATTGTTTATTTTGATTTAACGACTAATCATGTGAAGATAGAACATCTTTACTGTGTACAGATTGGTTCACTTCACTTTGAGTTATCCATACTTTAGATGGTGGTACAATCCTAAATATTCGAGGTCTACAATCAATGCTTATGATCCATTATTCCCATAGCCAACCAATCCAGTCCCTAAGCCGTCATTGTTTTTTGTACGATTACGATAAAATAAAACAGATAGAATATGACTAACAATAAAACCTATGATATATGTTTAGTCTGCATTGGAGATTTGTCATCTGGATGTACCTTCACCCTAGAGTTGATGTTCACTCTGCGACTCCAACCTAATCTATTCAGTATCTATCAATTTGTATCATAATTTTTTTTATATTAAGACAGTTCGCAAACCAGATCCAACTAAGATGGATTGAATTTTGTGTCTGAACTATCAACAACAGTAATAATGTTAATTAATTTAACATTAAATCAGACATGAATAAAAAATATCTATATCTATATATATATATATAAGTTGATGATTTATGTAAATTAACTGAATCATTTCGTCATCAAATACAATTTCTCATCTCGTGATCATATCAACGCCTAAACAGTTGAATTTTGTTTAGATGATAAAATGGATAGTTTTATGTATTTATTTATACATATAAGTGTTGTTGTTGTTGTTGTTTTAATTTTTTGCATAATCACATTATTTCGTTAAGTAAATAAATAAATGAAGCACTTTTTCGTTTGCTGTTTACTATTCCAATGTTGAAGATAGAATAATCTACTTCTTTTCTTTCTTTGGAATAACAGTTTCTTGACATTCAAATTGTTGATTATTTGTATATAATTGAGTTTATATTGTTGACACTGTACTTACTATCCATTTTCGTCATCGAAACAACGTCGTTACTCTCTCTCTCTCGCATACTCTGTCGCACACGCACACACACACACATTAATAATAGATTATTAGCATTTACTAGTGAATTTTAATTTAAAACTGATAAAAATAAGTGAGTTTTATAAATAGCAATGATTTTTGGTACATGTGTTTTGTTATATCTAAAAGTGATCGAATGGATGTTGTACACTTGTATGTTGATGTTCCATTCAAGGATTCGGACTCAGTACTTTTCACTTCCAAACACCTAATGAAGTTATCCATTTAGCTATTGAATTCAGATTACTAATAACTTGTTTTAATTTCATTGAAATTCAATTCCGAATGTCAGCAACTGTATAATCCAATCTCTAACTAATGATGATATTAACTTTATGAGGTCATAAAAGTAATATGAAATTGACAATCAGTAGTTTTACATTAGATTTGCGTATAAATTACAGTAAATTATACAAGTATTTATGTTTTTCCAATTATAAGTGTATGTTTTTGCTTCACTAAACTTGCGAACTCATCTAAGTTAAATAAATATTAAAAAACTAGAAGGATTAAACAACTTTCTCGTTCTAGTAGTATCGAAATCATCTTCATTGCATATCCACGGCTTTTCACACGGGAATCAAATGCACTACCTCAGGTTTTGCACGAAAACTGTCTAGCCGGAATTCAGTGATATGCAAGTCTACCTTCTTTCACATCTAAGACCGTACTTCATGGATTCGGTTCCCAGTTGTGGAATAGTGGACTAGACAGCCACCCCAATGATTCCATGTTCTCAGTGTTTGTCTAGCTTAGATCAGCTTATGGTTTTAACAAGTAAATTCAACAATCTCCACAGTTGTACATTAGCTATGTATACATATATTTGTATGTAAAATTGATTTCATTCTGAAAATCTATGAAATTCTATTGTTAACCTCTTATAAACAATATTTGAAAGGAGTTTTCTTCATGATACAGTACTTTTCATTTCTTCTGTATTATTTGTTATGTTTTCTCTTATGTTGTTTTGTCTTCTTGGCTAAATATGTATCATTTTATATTGACAACAACTTATTTGTTATTCATATTATTTATCACTGTTGTCCACATTGTATATTCACAGGAACGTCATATGACAAAAGAAGAAATACAAGCTGCACAACTACTCAGTAATGTTTCATTAAAAGAACGTATATCCATACCATGTGTATTACAATTTAATCATCTACTCAATGCATCGAATACTACTATTCATGCTAATAATCATAATAGTAACAATAATAATAATAATAATAATAATCATAGTGGTAATAGTAATAGTAGTAGCAATAGAAAATCACCTCTATCATTATTAGTGCCCTATTCATCTTCATGTACATCATGCAGCACTGTTGTTGTTACAACTGATAGTACTAATAATTGTAACAACAGTACAAATGAACATAGAAATTCATTAAAGAAATCTACTAATCATTCATCATCATCAACAACAACACAAATCAGTGCAAATTTCAACACTGCTACTACCATCACTACAACAACTACTACTACTACTTCTACTACCACTAATAATCATGATGTGAATAATACTAATCATAATTATAATGAACAGCTTCGCACAGAAATACAAGAACGTAAATATTTACGTATTCCTAATACATTGTCTATCTCTTCGCATACATTTCATACAACTATATCCGGTATGTATATTATTATTATTATTATTATTACTCATGTAATATTTATGAAATGAATTGATATTGGTATACTTATATCAGTCAGTCAGTTGCAACGTAGAATGTCGTACGTAAGTACATAAGTTCATGTTGACATACCACATTAGCACAGAGACGCAAATTGCAAATCGAATCCCATAGTGATACAGATAGTAGAGGTATTAATGGTAATGAAGAAGACTAGGATTCGAAGATATTATTCAAGAAGTATAATTCAGTGAGATAAGGTTAGAAAGACAAAGATGGAGGTGCTGACGATTCCAGAAGATTAGGATTTGAGAGAGCTCAACGAATGGATGCACTTGCCCCCATTGCGAACGATTTTGAGCCGTGTCGTTCAAGGTCTCTAACCACTGGTGACTTTCGTCTCGCGGACCCCAATACGTATATATATATATATATATATGTGTAATAATTAGTTGTTACATTGGTTGTTACATATTGAAATTACTCAGAATAATTTCATTGATGATGACGATGATGGTGTGGTGTTGTTGTTAGTAGCCGCCTATGTTACATGTGAGAATAGTCATGATCATCATCAGGCTCTATAAGAATTGACCAATGAAAAGCAAAGAATCAAGTGACTTTTCTTTTTTTTCCTGAAATTTTTAAATTTTGTCTTAATTACAAGAAAAAACAAACAAACAAACAATTTCTTAGCAAATAAATAAGTCCATCAATACTATGCATGTAAATATGTAAATCTCTTGTTAAACTGTCTGAAACGAATTATATTTCTAAATTTATTTCAAATGAAAATGTCAAACCAAATTAGTGCGTCAATGATTAAGTATAAAATTGGTCATCCCTTTTTTTCCTTTTTCTCATATATTTTATAATTTGGACGAAAAAGAAAACGTTTATCAGGTGTATTTTGAATAGTTTCAAAGCGTGCCTAGTGTCAAAGCAAGATCGAAGGTCCCGAGTTTCAATCCTGCAAGGTGTAGGAGTCGTGGATGCGCACTGCTGATGAGTCCTATCCCAGGAAGAAACAGTCGTCTTTCAGTGCTTCCAGGTTTCTAATGGTGGTCTAACAATGATTGATTGATTGATTGAATGATGATTTCAAGTGTGTAAAAAAAACAATAATCTCCATAACTCTAATTGAAAAATGGATTCAAGTGTTTTTTTCCCCAGTAAATAATTATTCATTACTTGTTACATATTTGACAATTATTCGAACATGAATAATGATCTGATTGAAAACAAAATAGCTCAAGTAATTTGTAATTTGTTTCCTTTTAAAAGACTCCTGTTGTTGTAGTACAATACAATACGCTTATAACATTTTTGTATTGATCCATATTTTGGTTTTGCTGAAAGCATACTAAGTCAACCCTTGAATCGCATATTCTTTTGAAGTTAACTAGCTAACTTCTTCTAGTTGATATGAATATCCGGTGTAAGAAAAAAATCTACCAGAAGAAATGGAATTTATTTATTTGTAGTTGAAATTTACCTGGAGTATTGATATTTTTCTGCTATTGAAAAAAAAAATCACAAACCATTTGACATTATTATACTGTGCACACATATGCAGACATGTTATGGATGCTAAGAGATTTTACTGTGAAAAATGTAATTCGTCCATAGTTTCCTCTTTTTTTTCACTACTTTTTTCTTATACCCATTATGCCTGTGAGTTGCTTCTAGCGGGACAGGCATATATAAGTAAGGAAATCATGTGCCTGTGTCTGAGTGTGTGTGTGTGTATGTATGATACCTGTGTCTGTAATTTTGTCATGTCAAGACTTCACTGATCATCATGATAATATTGATATTAAACTGTCATTTGTTTCATTATGTCTCAATGTTTTTCATCAAAATCACAAGATAACACGCACACAGAATGCAAGAAAATTGAGAGTTTTTCTTTTGCCTAGCAATGAATAATACCATTGTTCCATGTGCACATGACTGTGTTGTATTATAGGTCTAGACTAATAAAAGATTGTAATTTTTTTATTCTACAAAAATCCTAGAAATTTATGGTGCGATTCATCAGTTCACATATTGTGCTTGTAGAAAGGAAAAAGCAACATTGATGAATCACATTATATTGAATAGATTTATTGGTTGGAAATCGATGAAATACAGCGAATTTTACCTTATAGACTTGGACTATTTGAATAATTTTATTTCTTTTGTTTGTGTATTATTATCATTATTATCACTAGATCGAAGTATAATCACAACAAACCGATATGTAATGAATATAATATACAACTAGTTGAGTCACTCTCTCATCAGAGCTGGGGTTAGGAAAACGGTACTAGGTTGAGATGGTTAGGACATCTGTTACGTATGTCCATCCACCGACTACCTCGAGGACCAGTGTTGTCTGTGTTAGGGATAGGATGAAAAAAACAAGCTAGAGGCGGCCAAATCAAAACAGCACAAATCCATGAAATCACTGACAACTGGATAGAGCCACGTTCGTAGGTGTAGATTAGTTGGTTGTAGTCTGCGAGACAATTGTGACCTGTGATTAGAGACTTTGAATGACATGACTCAAAATCATTTGCAGTGGCGCAAATACAACCATTATTTGTCTTCTCTCAAATATCTAATCTTCTGAATTCTTCATAGCCTTTTTTGTCTTTTTAAATTTATTTTACTAGAATTTGTTTCTCGAATCATATCTTCGATTCTTATTCTTTACGACTACTGTTAATACTTCTACTACCTCTACCACTGTGGGATTTCAACTGACAGTATGACCTCTGTGCTAATATGGTATGCTAACTTGAACTGATGTAGGTACGTACGTACGAAGTTTTACGGTTTAGCTGACTGACTTGCTATCTCATCAACAACAATTATTGTTATACTTTCCTATATCAAAAGATAACAGCAATTTATTCACAAATAACGTTAAGCTGCATAAGATAGTCAAAGTCAAACAGTGGAATTAATTTTATGAGGATTACTGTGAAAGAGTATTCGCGTCAATCGATAATGGTTTAACATACGTACACTCATAATAGAAACAAGGAAACAAATGCTTCGATCTGCAGTTTAAATGATGATCCAATTAAAAACAACGAAAATAGTAGTGAAATTGCAATTTACTATTCGACAGTTAATTATATAATTGAAAATTACATCACAATTGACCCACTTGATGACTATTGCGAGATAATTTTGACAAAACTGTGTAAATTGTCTAATTAATGACTAATCTAGTTTGTTTGCTTAGTTTTAATTCACATCATTTGTACAAGAATAAGGTGATATTTACTTGTTGAATAGAATTTGAGTTTATAAAGGGAATTTGAGTGTATGACCTGCTTGTTGTGAAAAGTTCTATTCTGCAACCATTAGACTAAGATTGTATTTTCTCAACGTATTCTAATAGGTGTCACTATAGCAAACTAGGGTAGACAGATATTGGATAGATATTACATACTCCTTAATCACTGATGCATTCACATACCAGTACGTTTACTGATAGTGCTTAAGCAGAATAATGTTTTTAATAAACAATAGTAGATATTTATTTGTTGGCGACGTTAGATCCCTAGAAAGGTCCTGATTTTGTAATTTTATTCTGAATTTTGAATTTCCTTGTTTTCGCGCCAGTTGACCTTCATCTTATATTTCCCTTCTGATTATCATTGGTTGATGGATTATTTTAGAACGTTATTTTGTGGCTCTCCCAAGGGTGTTTCTATCATTGTATAAATAAGATTAATTTGTGTGCTTAGCAACCTCGTATTTTCTGGGTACTTGTATAATACATTCTCTACGCCTTATCAAGACTTCTTGATCTAGTTAGCAGGGCCTGGGACAAGCGATTATAACAGCCTATCGGGTCACTTTTTCGTTGACCTTCGTTCTGGTTGCCGAGTAAGGTGAACTGGTAATAGCATTCAAGCATATCAATTGATGAACATATCAGTATTAGACGAAGTTTCAGTAAGGAAACTCCTGTATTGGTTTTTACTTTTAAATCTAAGCTTTTCGGTATGTGATATCATTAAAGGATTAACTGTTAGATGTCTCATAATATACTAATCTGTGAAGTTTACAAATAGTCTGTATCTTCTCAACTGTTTATTTACCATTCCGAATACTTGTATCTATATAAACACTAAAAAGGTCATGATTTTTGTTTTTTGACATGTAGATAACAAACATTATTGATTATTGAGCATTGAAATAAATAAATATTATTCAATTAAACATTTTGTTTGGTGATGTATTTGAAGACTGTAGATGATATGATTTAGAATGAATCACAATTAAGTAGATGTGTTCACTTTTCTATTTTCATCTAGATATTAAGTTCCTTCATTCACATACTTTTTCATTGTTTTTTTCTAAATACGATATTCTTAGTGTTTAAGCTTTCCTCGTTATCATTGCTATACTATATTATTTCGCTCCTCCTACTCATTAATTCATCTTGTCACGCTGTTGTACTATGATAAATTCGATCATCTTCTATTTGTCCCACATCTTATAATATTCTGTTGTCTTTTTTTGCATCAGGTGCTAAACATCAACACAGTATGTCTGATAGCCATGTCATTTCTCCAATGCTTTCTCCTTGTCATCAATCAACAAATTCAGTGATCGGTGTAACAACCGCTTATTCTGCCACAGCTGGATTATCACCGCCATCTACACCTTTCTCGTCTACATGTGGTGGTGGTTGTTTGCATCAACCACCACCTCCACCGTTACCACCTAGACAAAGACGTCAAAGTTGTAGTTGTTGGAAATATTCAAAATCTATCAATTCCACTGGTACAACTCTACCAAAAATACCTACTCCTCCACCATCTTCTGTTCATTCATCAAATAGTTCATGTGTTTTCTTTTCAACTACGGAAAATTGTAAATGTTTGCCACTGCCACCTCCACCCCCTCCTCCTCCTTTACCTCCAAAGCTAAATTGTTCCAATCGTTCAACAACAACAACAACATCAACTGTTCCTATCCCATACAATCGATCTCCCGGTGAATCCCCTATGCATTCGAAATTTTTCTCTTCATCCATATTAAGTCCAGATAGTACTATTGAGTGTAGTATTATTGAAACAGCACCTCCATTACCGCCGAGAAGAAATACTGTCAATAATAATAATAATAATACTCATAGTAATTTATCCACTACAATATCAGATCATCGTAACCGAACACCTGATTGATGCATAACAATTTATTGTATAGTTTGAATATTATTATGTACTTTTATACTGCTGTATATTTATTCTTTCTTCTCGAACTATGCCACTGTAGTTCAACGCATTCTTTATTATCATTGATACTGATATTTGTGCTAATACAACTTTCATATTCCTCATGTTATTTCCTTCTTTTCCTGTGTATACTGTGTGTGAATACTTGGTTCACTTACACATTTGTACAAGATCCTATATATAAATATCTACATCAATAGTGGAATCTCATCTCAGCTACACAATTTCTATTTGCTTCTTATGAATTAACTTCTATTACTTTGCTTTTTTTAATCATTCTGAATACATTATTTACTTGTCTACTGGTTCTGATTAACAAAAGAATTTCAATTAAGATATTTTATTTTAAGTTCTTGTCTCAATTGTTTTTCCACATATAATACAATACTACAATTGATGTGCATTTGATGTAAACTTTTTTACTGCCGCTCTTTGTTTTCATTTCTCTCTCTCTACAAAGTACCAACTAGTTCAAAAGTCAAGAGAGTGTCAATTGTGTGTTTTGTTTGAAAATTTTGAGTTTTTAAAAAATAAACAAATGCAATACTTTTTATTGTATGTAGAAAATCAATTGTTATCATTCAGAATCCTTATTCTCATTCCCCCTAATGTGTTTTCTTGTCTCTCCATTTTTTTTATCACTGTTACTTTTCTTTCTACTATTTTAAATGTATTGATTGTTTCTCTGCAGTGTTTCAACTCACTCTGATGATGTAGAATTTGGACGGAATCCGTTGTTGGATAAATGTGTGTATTGTGTGTGATGCGGTGCGGTTTATGATGATTGATCGATCTAATTTAAATGGGTAGATATATACATAAATCTGTGATGTGATGTTTAGTCAAAACTAGTGTGTGTATAACTATTACTTTTTCGTTGCTTTCATTGTACACCCGATTTTCATCGTCGAATTCATGTTACAATAAAATCAATCAATCAATCGATCAACAAATTCAAGAAATGAACATTGAACACAAGATCGATAATCACCTTGATTCTTTTTTCTTTTTTTTCTCATTGTCCTTCTTTATTTGTGTATTTTTCCTCCTGCTTTTCAAGTTATTATTATTATTAATATTATTTTGATGATTTCTTTTCCCGTACTCCGGTGTTGTATGATTCATTTGTTTTTTTGTAGCATAAATGCATTTTTATTATTACTATTACTATTATTACTATTATTATTATTATTATCATTATTATTATTATTGCGTTGTAGCATGAAATGTATGTTATTATGTGTATATTAAATTGTAAAGAAACAAATTGTCTATCAAAGTCAAATTATAAGTCATTGTAATTCTTTTCTTTTTTTTCCATGTACTTTAACGTTTATTTACTACTATATTTCAAACAATCAAAAACAAGCAACCTGTAAGAAATAGACATATATAGTTGTATATATGTAATTGATAACGAGAATGTGTGGTTGATGCTGTTTTCATTAAGTGAACATTTAATAATATATAAAGTACAACAATTTGACTTTCTTTAACGGATTATTTTTTTTCCTCACTTGTGTTGATTGGTTTCTTTTTTTTTGGTTATTTCCACACATATTATTTTTTTTCTCTTTTTCCAAAAATTTCATTTCAATACGTCTATCGGTCAATTATGAATAATCTTGTTTACGCGTGTTTTTTTTTCTTCTTTTTAAAGTTTGCATTATTCATTGAGGTTGTGATTGATGTATGCGCTTTGACAGTGTGTCAATGAAAACGATTTGTGCATCTATACATATATCTATCAATAAATATAACCTATGATGAACACAATCCGATTATCTAGTTAGAAATCAATCTGATAATGATTTTATTTATTTACTACTGTCTATTTACACCTGTGTATATATTATTATCATCATCATCATGATTATTGTAAGTGTTTTGAAATTGATAATCATCTTGTAATCTTCACTGCATAATTATTTATTCTGGAAATTGTTCTTTATTCAATCAACTGTTTACTTAATTTCAATTTGATTGATTAACTTGTGATCATCAGTGTGCTATTCAGTATATATATATAATAGCTGCCGTCAGCTTACAATCCATCCAACTGTAATTGTATTTTATTATTGTTGATATTTCTTACTGAAATTCAAATTTCATCACGTGTGTATTGTTGTAATACACAAATTTCTTTAGCATTATTATTATTATTATTGATTATACATAGTGCACAAATACCGATTTCCTTTTGCCTTGTCATTATTTTCTCTCTAATAAAATGATTGAATGAATGAATGAATGTGTAAAAAAAATATTGACAATTTTTTCTTTGTTTTTTTTTAGTCTACTGATCATTCTGATCTAATGAAAACAATTCATACTTTTAATTATTTTTTTCCCCTTCCTTGACTTAAGTAAGCCCCCCCGTACAATGATGATTAATGTATAAATTTTTATGAATTTTGTCATGATGATTTCTAGAAACTCAATCGATCTTGATTAGTTCAATTTATGATGCTTATTTTCTTAATTATACATATATATATAGTTTCAAAAAAAAAATACTGATTGTTATTTCCGAGCAAATCAAGAGCTGATGAGAAATTTTATCAGAAAATTAAATGTTTAAATAATAAAAAGTAAAAACTATTTCAAACAAGATTTTATAGTAAAGTTTACAGATTTTCTTTTTTTTATCCCCCGTCGAAAAGCAAAATGTTACTTCAGGATTAGATTACGTCGCCATTGAAATTAGTGATAGGGAGTTAAGCTGTTGAGCGTGTTTACCGCTCCACTTATCTTTAGAATCTCATAAATGCTGATTGCCTGGTGTGTGAAGAAATCTCAGCGCGGATATAGAAGGCCCGACTGGTTTTTGCCAACTTGCATCACTCATGGGGATGGGCGAGATATCCGTTTGCTAACCGGATGACGAGTCTACTGCTCAGAAGTTCGCTCCGTCCTACCTTATGACTGTTAAACATGGTAGGTAAGAGTAGAGGACATTCTTGGGTTACTGGTATTCGTTCATAGATGTCTTCGAAGAATTGTTTGTTTATCCTGGGACAGTCGAGTACTAGGTTAAGTATGGTAAATCAACTGATGAAGTAGTAAGTATTCATTAGTTCGGGTTGTTAAGACATTTTTTACGTAGATGTAAAGTACATGAGACGATGCAAATTACGGATTTCGTCATCTATAATTAACCGTAAATTGTAAAACAAGTATTCTTACATTAAAATTTTGTGACTAGTTATCCAGCTTTTAGAAACAATTATTTATGAGATAAAAAGGAGGATATTATTGTTCATGCACTGTGATCTCACGTGAGGTTACTGAAAAAAAGTGGTTTAGTTCCAGTGTGAAGCTGATAGAAAACAGAATCTATATAGTGATATCAATACGCCAAATTTTTCTCGGGTGATTGTAAAGTAGGAATGGGATAAGGAATATTGTCGCGAATGATTAATTGGTACCATAGTTAAGATCAAGTATCCCTGGATTTAATACATGAAAAGCTGAGATATTGGTTTCTAGTGATAATTAAATGCTATATTGTAAAATCTCAATGTTGATATGATTTTTGTTATTGTAAATAAACCTTACTAATGAAGTCAAGAGTTGACTGTTGACATGTTTCAATAAGTAATGAAATAAACTATCCCTAGTCTCTCTTTCAATATGACCTGCTTTCGCTTATATCATACAGAAAGTCAATAAGACTCCACTTAGCTTTCAATACTCTCAGTCTTTGAATAACAAGAAAGTCTGCAGGGAATACTTGTGAGGATTCTTGAGTCTTATCATTTGTGTCCGCGCTGAAGATGATACACTCTCCCCGAATTGGCTACTTGATCAACAAAGCGACAGTAGATGAGAAAGTTTATTTGACTACTGAATTACGTACATCTATACTTGTTTATCTGTAACGTATACATTCATTCTTTTTAGAAAATGAATCCAGTTAGTGGTCAACCATATCAATTCATCCTTCGGAACTCCTCTGATGGTCATCAAGTGATCTTACTGTTCGACCACTTCTGATTAGCTCTTTGTAATACGTTGGTGCTTAAACCAACCAGATGCTGGATTCTATTCTCAATGTGAACATCAACAATACATTCAGCTAACCGGTTTGAAACAGGAAGATATGTTCTCTCCGAATCCCATCGTTAGCTGTAGTCCAACTTTAGTCTTATCATAAGTTTTATGTCGTCATTAAACCAATTGCTGATTGTTTCTATTTGTGTACTTCAAAATCAAATTATGTTTAAACATATAGACTGTTTGTTTCTCATCATAAACACGGATAAATGGTTGTTAGCAATTGCAGTTGAGACATTAAACTAACCAATATGAATGAATTATTTGAGTTTCAGTTACAAATATCCTAAACAAATAAGCATGTAATTTTATAACTTAGTTTCTAATAAAATATTTTCATTAATTACAAAATCAGTGAAAAGATACTTTTACTTAGAGATGAACACTAATACCGTATTTGGGCATGGTTAACTAAATGTACTTACATGCCGGTGTTGGTGTCAACTTGAGGGTTCGGACCTAGTACCTTTCATCCTCAGTGATCAGCTTAGCTACCAAGTCCGAGTAGCTAACCACTTATTCAATCTTGTACGGATGGCTTCGATATAGACATTATGACACGAGATTATATAAACTGATCGAAATTCAGTCAAAATATCAACAGTAGAATGATGATCTAAACCATTACAAACTAAATTAAACCGAAATCAACAGTAAACCAATGGAATAGGAATGAAGTTTCAATGTTTTGGTTTTTTTCACTGTTCAATTTAGTGGCAATCGTATTACTTTATCTACACATAATTATCCACATTTTTTGAATTTCCTTCTTAAGTCGTTTCGGTTAAATCTTTATAACATGGAGTCATTGTAAACTTGTCGATTAGCATAAATCAACTTATGTTTTAATTTTATCGAGTTACTGTTGATTACTTACTACTCGTCATAATCTAAACTGTTAAGTGATCCCATCTAGTGGTTTATACATGGAAGACAATTTAAAAGGTATCAACGATAATTCCGTTGATTTTAAAAAATATTAGTTATCTGCATTATTGAATACTTTTGTCTGTTTATTAAAATTAACTGTTTCAATTAAGTTATGAAAATTCCTAATCACCCTGTATGCTTATATTACACAAGGTAATCAAATGGTTTTAGACATAACTAACTATTGATTGCTAATCTTTTTCAACTTTTCATTTTTAACTGAAGTTACATTTTTTTTCCAAATACATTCATTAATGTGACATAACTGTGTTTGGATAAAAATCCAGGCGTTTTTTATCACCTATGAAAATTTTATCGATTAACTGACCTATATTATCAATGAATATGTGACGCTTGAAATCGAATCGATAATGATAGTAAGTAAAAACTAGTAAAACGTGAATTGTGTCCAATTGGGGACGTATGTTAACTTGCATGTGTGTAAGTATGTACGTATGTATGTCTGTTCCAACGCGGTTGTATGTACATGTGCGTATGCATACCTAGGTATTTCTTATCCGTCATATATTGATGCTAGATCAAGGCTACAAAGAGAAAAATACAAGTAACCTAGATTTTACAGATACTGTTTTAGAAATATAAATACCATCAAAATTAGAAAACAAACTACGTGATTGCACACAAATGCATATAATGGTTGATTGAAATTAGTGGTAAATAACACGTGATTTGTGTACATATATATATATATATATATATAATTTATCGAAAATAAAAATGTAACTTTTTTTTATGAAATAAAAGTGATTTTATCATGATAACTAAAAAATGTATTAGTTTTAATTAGTTTAAATTCAATTGAAACTATTTGGATTGATCCAGGGGCTATGTGACATTTTGGAAATACGTTGGCTATGTATTATTGAATTTTGAAAAAGTGTTGACCGATAGAACTGTTGATAAACAATATGTGAACTATATATAGAAAACACTGTCTCATTTGAACAATAAATAAATTAGAATTTGGATAAGATTTATTTGCACATTGAGATAATCAATCAATCATTGTTAGACCATCATTAGAAACCTGGAAGCACTGGACGGCC